AAAACACTCGTCCACTTTGATAATTTCGCAATACGTTCTCAGCTCACTCGTCCTCTGACGACAAAGGCGTTCAATTCTGTGCCAAAGTCACACGCTATTTATGCCGTTTGAAGGGACTATTTACTGACGCTGTATCGGTGTGTTAGACGTTTGTAAACTAAAGCTACATTAATTGTTCTGCCGGTGCACTCATTAAATATGCAAAGTCAAGACGTTCACTTCGAGTTATGTCAGGATCTGATAGCACGTGGAGGAGAACTAAATGAGAGACACGCGAGAGGAACATTATTTTCCGCCTCAGCGGAAAGGGTTATTTTAAAAATGAAGACAGGCCATAACGTCATTAAGAAGCGAATTTCGACACCGGTACACATTACGGAAATAGCCTCAAGTGACATATTCTCCTCATTTATCAGCATATTTGCATAGGGCAGTACCGTCATGGGTTCAGGAAAGTTTTAATTCGTGGGGCTTGCACGCAGCAAGACGAATTCACAAGAAATGGCTTTTTTCTCTGATCAATTTTTGCGCGATGTATTGTTCTTCGCTGTTGGTGGAGTTTCCTCGGTAGCGATTTTAAAGATCTGGGAAAATAGAGAATCATTGCTGAGAGAAATCAGGAGACGATTTGACTCAAACGAAACCCGGCAGCCAGAAGAACACGACGAGAGGTTTGACTGAGAAGGTAAGAGTTCTGTAAGCTATGAGAATATTTTATCAAAGTCTGACAGAATGATGAATATACTGGAGCAAGCTCGGTATATGGATGTTCCATTTATTGTCACTGCTCTAAGCCAGACTATAATTTTTTACTTTGGAAAAATTCGTCGAGGTAAATTTCTTTTCACGCGCCCCCCGTGCGAAGTAAAACAACAAGCTGAGGCAGGATCGCGCACGTTTTGCTCGCGCTACTTTGTGAATGAATATTCGGAGTGATCATTACGCTGTGGTCAAAAGGGCAACACGGCTGAACGCTGATAGTTCGTTTTTCGTTTCAGAAGCTCGCGTCTCATGGGAAACACTTGAAGACAGAATATTTAGAAATCTTAAAAGTTTCCAAATCTTGAATAAATCTAATCCTGTTATTGTTTTATAGTTTCCTTTTGTGTTTTTAGACAAATGCGACTTACGGAGGGACGGAAAAAGAAGAGTAAAGATCTGTTATTTGATTTACAGACTTCATCACACAACAGATTGATTCAAGTTAGAACAGAACTTGTAGTACATGTATATCTTGATTTGTATCAATTTTTATTGTAACATAGAGATCATAGACTAGAATCACCGGCTGTTAGATTTTTAGCTGACTCTGTGTAGTGCATGTCCATTGGCAGGAAAGCTGTTTACATACAAGACATTGTTGACGCGGATAAGTTCCGCATTTTTGAGCTGCACTAGTCAGCCTTTTGGTGGTGCTTTTTTTCATTTGTGAATCTTCAGGTAATAACTAAAAATTTGTTCTATTTACGCTTTGTTAAAACGTGCATGAGATGGCAAATGTTAATAGATCATTGTATCGTAGGATTTTTAAATACTTGCAATTATATTGCGTTCTGTTTTTGTACTTGGTCACGACGCTTACTACAGGTCTGACCGCACTGTTGTTTTCGCAGGTGTAAATAGTTTTCTTTAAAAAGTCTTTTTTTTTAAGGATTTTAGTCAAATATATTGATGTGTGAATGAAAGGTTAACAAAAAAAGAAAAAATTCAACGCCGAAAGAGAATTCGCTCTTGGTTCTTCTGTAATGGGGGAATGGTATTTGACGTTTTTTCAACGTTTGGGCGAATCCCCGAAAAGTGAACTCAGCCGTTGATTGGTTTAAAAGATGTCAATTTATTCTATTTGATTCCATAACTTCCTCTGAAAGTGAAATGTTACACGTGGACGGTTTTCATTTCATTTGGTAGAGAAGCTAGAAACTTTACTTCAACCGTGTGTTCTCAACCTAAAAAACACATGCCCTATGATTTACCAGCAGATGAATTCAAGCATCTGAAAGCCTACGCAGTATGAAAATAATTTAATAAAGGGGTAAGTTTCTAAAGAAACTGTGGTGCTGCGTCGGTGGGAGAGTATAGCAGGTAATTTAGTGTTAACAACTGGGTTGAAAACGTAAATTAGCCACCGTAAAGGGTAAAAAAGCTGACATTTCGAGCGTTAGCCCTTCGTCAGAGCGATTGCGGTGGCTAATTTACGTTTTCAACCCAGTTGTTAACACTAAATTACCTGAAAATAATTTAGTTTTACGTAACATCTCCAGGAACGCTTCATGTAAAGATGAACAGAATGGCCACGCGCAATGGGCTTGTAATATAAAAATCTTTAATACGACTTACTCTCGGCATTTGTTTGGGAAATATTTGTCCAAGAGCATTGAAAGCAGCAGTATGTTTATCAGTCGCAGTCAACATTGAATCGAATTTCGTGCCCTTGCGTGGTAACTATTCAGTAACAAATTGACTCGATGAGCAACAAAGATAATCACACCGATGAAGACTTGAAAAACAGTAATTGTGTAGTCGAGTTATTCACCTGACATTTTAATCTCAAGGGTTTTGATCGAAATCCTAAAAAATACAACAGCAAACGAGTACTTGTACTGTTTGTTAAAGAGAGAAGTCTAGAATAAAAAGTAAACTAATGTAACTGGCGTGACATTCAAACGAGCACTCGAGTTATCGTGTTAATGAGCTGTAGTGAAAAATAGGGAAATCTCTAACATGACACTCGTAGACAAGACTGAAGTCGGTCAATCGCAATTTACTTCGGTAGGGATGGTTGTTTGGATATCGCTCTTGATTTTAACTTGGGACTTAATTGAGCCGATAGACTAGCTGATATCTTAAAAGCTTCAGAAAAACGTGAGCATCTTATCGGTGCGTTTAATTCTTTCTTGCTAATTCATAGTTAATTTCTCGTTGTATTAATTTTTTAATACAGAATGTTCAAACGCCTTTTTAGATTTCAACCCAGTTTGATGGAGCATAACGCTATTATTTCGTCAAACTAATTTGTGTCGCTCCACCCGAGCGTTTATGCATGGTTGAGCTCTGCTCCTACCAGCGAAGATGAGAAAGAATGGAAATATTCCTGTAGAATGATTCTCAGGTGTTGTGACCTAACAGGAATCCGTAGAACTGTTACATTAAAAAATCTGTGAATGGATTAGGTTAGGTCGACTGCGTAGGTTGAACCTGTTGGCTGGTTGCCGAGTCACTGCATATTCAGTCGACTAAAACAGCTTATCGAAGTACCTTCTGCCCTAACGCCATCATGTGAGCCTTACCTTATGACCGGTGTCACAGTGATATGTGTACCCCCGTGATATGTGTACCCCCGCACACATATCACTAGTGATATGTGTACCCCTGGTAGGGATACACAAAACACTGAAGCTTTGCACCCGGGCCTTTTAGAGCTTCAAAGAAAACATGGTGGCTACGAGGAACAAATTTTGTGGTTTTATATTTTAAAGTTTCCGATCCAAAATATAAACGGAGGAAGATCACAATGCAACTGAATAACAAGGTAAGAGGTGTTTTTATATTTCCAAAACCTTTAAAATAGTTACATGGATTTCAGTCGTTTCGCCAGCATTTAATTTAAGTACCAACGATTAGTTCGCTCGAGCCACTGCTCGAAACTAGCGTTTGTCCTGTCGTTTGCGACAACTTAAAAGTGTGTTTGCGCAATAAGTTGTTTTGGTGGATAAAGGTCTAGAACTTTACCGCGTTTGGAAACTATTTCGTGTTCACGTTCCGTAGTTCACATCAATCACTCACTATACATCAAAACCATTTGAATTCATTTTTAAACGGGGCTTCTATGTTGTTGATATTTTTTTTTGGTTTGTTTTTGTTTTGAAATCTGTACGGCCCTGGACAACCAAGTCCTTATCATGGTAACCGAAGTCTTGGTTTTCCAGTATTTGCCAGTATGGACAGCCTGGATATTTTTCTGCACTGTTTTTGTTGTGTCTAATAAGTGCTCATAAAAACAACAGGCCAACTAATTTGAACTACATGCGAAAGATCAGGTAATTTTATTGATAAATCAACATGGTTGTATAGATTATGAAAATGATTGTTAACTGATAATATTAATCTACTAGTAAAGTGATATCCACTGCATGGTAAGCGATATCTACTTGCAATGTTTCAGTGTTCCTCAAATGTATATGTACTATCCAATAAATATTTCAGAGCAAACTTTTGTTCTACTTTATAAATGTCACATATTCTTGTAAAATAGCAGTAACACTACAAAAAAACTTAACATTGTTTCAAAGCCTAATAATGCTGATGAATTTGTGAACAAGCCACCTGTAAATCAATGGGCAAACTCTAAAACTGGGTTTGTTACAGAAGTGAAACCTATCAGACAATGCAAAAAAATATCAACAAACTCCAAGAAGGGAAGTACCCTCTGGAAAAAGGCATTTATGGATAGGCTTGTTAACAATGACTAACAAATGGTGATTTTTTTTCTTTTTCAAATTGCGATACTTTTTAATGATTTATTCCATGGTATTGATTTCATCTGTAAAACTCTTGTATTTTATGTAGTTGACAATTAGCACCATGGCTTCATTGAATTACCATTGCCAAAATCATTTACTTTTCCTTTTTCTTGTGCTAGTACTTTAGCCTGAGTTGTCATTGAAGTGTTTTGGCCTGACATTTTGTTGAGTGGTGAGACTTTTTCAGTTTTATGAGGTAGGGGGTTTAATAGTCTTCAGAGGGGTCATGCCAGAACAGTTGGTTTGAAAGTGGAGCCAACCAAATAAAAATGGTCAGTTTGGAGAGGAAGGGGTTTAACCCAAATAACTACTCTTAAGTGTCACACAATTATGGTAACAAGGGGTGGGGGCAGGGAAAAATTTTGATGAAAAGGGGAAGTCATCACATATTATAGTGACTATCTACCACCCCACCACATAAAAATTGACAGTCCCTAATATTTTCAATAACCATTTGCCTTAAAAAATAGATGTCTGTATCTAAGCAATTTGGCAGTTATTGCACTTCCATTGAAACCTTTTATACTTGAAAACTTTGTCAGGAATTTTTTGGCAAGCTTGATGGAACCACTTCTTGCAATTGGTGCATTCTGCCATCTGGTCTTTGGTTGGATTGTATGGGAGGCGGCAGTCACAGTACACTGGCATGGCAACAGTCTCTACCCTTTCGATCATCTCTTTATCCCTGTCTGATAATATTCTTCCATGGAAAATTTCATGTCGCCAGCTTTCCTTGGTGCCACTGAGTACTTCTGAAAGGTGATCTTTGATTACTTTGTCAAAGCAGGAAGCAATGTCCTTCTTTGAAATGTTCTGTATTTTTTTGTTTGGTTCAAAGGGCTGGTATTTTGCCGGTTGCTGAGCCCCTGGCAGATTAGGTGGTTTTGGCTGCCTGGAAGGTGCTTGCTGATTAAGTGATGTTTGCTGTTTGGAAGGTGCTGGCTGATTAAGTGATGTTTGTTGTTTGGAAGGTGCTGGCTGATTAAGTGATGTTTGCTGTTTGGAAGGTGCTGGCTGATCAAGTGATGTTTGCTGTTTGGAAGGTGCTAGCTGATTAAGTGATGTTTGCTGTTTGGAAGGTGCTGGCTGATTAAGTGATGTTGGCTGGCTGGAAGGTGCTAGCTGATTAGGTGATTTTTGCTGGTTTAAAGGTGCTGGCTGATGAGGTGATGTTTGCTGTTTGGAAGGTGCTAGCTGATTAAGTGATTTTTGCTGGTTTAAAGGTGCTGGCTGATGAGGTGATGTTTGCTGTTTGGAAGGTGCTGGCTGATTAGGTGATGTTGGCTGGCTGGAAGGTGCTAGCTGATTAGGTGATGTTGGCTGGCTGGAAGGTGCTAGCTGATTAGGTGATGTTGGCTGGCTGGAAGGTGCTAGCTGATTAGGTGATGTTGGCTGGCTGGAAGGTGCTAGCTGATTAGGTGATGTTGGCTGGCTGGAAGGTGCTAGCTGATTAGGTGATGTTGGCTGGCTGGAAGGTGCTAGCTGATTAGGTGATGTTGGCTGGCTGGAAGGTGTAGGTTGATTTGGTTGTGTTGGCTGGCTAGAAGGTGCTGGCTGGTGATGTTCTTTTGGCTGCTTGGAAGGTGCTTGAAGTTTGGGGCACTTCGACCGCGGCATTGGTGTTGGCTGATTGGGTGGTACTTTTGGTTGGGGAACCTTTGTCCGTGGCATTGGTGTTGGCCGGTGGTGTGGTGCTGGCTGTTGGTGTGGTGTAGGCTGCTTGGATGGTGCTTGTTGGGATGACATTAACTGCTGTATTGTGGCCGTTTTGGTTGGCGATAGCTGCTGGGATTGTTTTGGCTGCTGCAATGGTGTTGCAGGCTGCATAGATGGTACTGGCTGCTGCGATGGCGCCTGTTGTTGATGTTGGAGTGCTGTCGCTGAATGCTGAGAAGAACAGTGAGGATGCTGCAATGGTGGTTGTGCTGTCTGCTGAGCTGTGGATTGAACCCTGTACGCTTTGAGGTCTTTCATGTTCACTATCCTTCTTAGTTTCTCGCCACTTTTTCCACGTAACCTGCAGGTTCCCTTTTGTAAGTCAACCTCTTCTATGGTGTATGGGCCAGTCCACTGGTCTTCCATTTTGTGCCCCTTTTTTGTCTTTTGGAGCATATTGCGGCGTAGAACAGCATCACCCTTCTTCAATGTGCAGTCGAAGCCTCCTTTTCTTTTTAAGAACTGCTTCTTTTGCTTTTCTTGTGCAGCTTCTATGTTTCCCTGCACTCTTGGGAAAAGTGCATCTCTTGTGGCTGTCATTTGTTGCACATGCTCCTGGAGGACATCCTCTGAGTTTAATTCCCTTGCCAGTTTTTCAATTTCGCTGGGGTCGTTATCGACGTGCTTTACATACTTTTGGACTTCAAGAGGCAAACGTGGATGCCTACCATACATTAAATAGAATGGGCTGAACTTGGTGGTGTTTGATCTGTTGGTGTTAATTGCAAAAAGAGCACCATCCGTGTACTCGTCCCAATCCTGATCGTGGTCATCCGCAATCTTCCTAAGGGTACTAAACAAAAGTGACAAGTGCAGTAAATGGCTTGAACCCAGGGGTAACATGTGAAAGTGGAGGCTGATCGTCCGGGTGAGTGTGGTCCTGAGAAGGACTGTTGTCGTTGGTAGTGACTGACGTTTCGACAACCTGTGCGGAAGTCATCATCAGAGTCAAGTGAATGATTGTTGTCGGTAGAATGTTCTTATTCCAGTTCGTGGAAAATGATTGGCACCAACCATTTTATACGAACTGGAATAAGAACATTAGGTAGGTAGTAATTAGATGATGTATTACCTGCTCTTGTAATTCTGATAATATGTAATATTTAACATCTTTGCATTCGCTTCAGTCCGTAGTTTTAACACTGGAATCCCAAGCCATTACCGAATGGAAATAAACTTTGAAAGCACTAGCTTAGCTTAATGATATTTTAGGTAGCATGTCATGCCCTCTTTCATCTCACTGATAGGAGTTAAGAGTTATTTTTAGACAGAAAATGATTGCAACGCTCACTTCTTTATTGACTGGTTTGATCTCTCATCTAGGCCATTAGACTCCGGATGATATGCTGACGCGATCCTCTGGTGGACACCAAATGTTGTCATGAAGCGCTCGCACACCTGCAACAGAGACAATGAAGCAACGTCATGCAAGCCCCTACACAGATGTCTGTCAAAGGTTTCCGTTGTATAAAACGCTGACCTACCTGGTTAACGAATTCTCTACCCTGGTCTGAAATGATGTGAGCAGGGGCTCCATGGCGACAATATGCTTTGTAAAGGCCCTTTGCTACGCTTACGGCACTCTTGTCTGGCAGAGGAATTGCCTCTACATACTTGCTAAAGTAATCCGTCATTGTCAGAAGATAGCGGTTTCCTTGGGCAGAAACTTTGCCGGCATCTATTAAATCAATACCGACTAGGTACCAAACTTTAGAAACCACCTTCACGGGATGCAGCACGTCGTAACTTTTGCTTTCACTGGTATTACGTTGACACCGGTCACAATTTCGAATCTGTTTGTGTAAGAGAAGGCCACACTTAGAGAAGCATTGAGAGAACATAGAGAAGCCTATGATTCTTTTATTACAACATCTATTGGAAGTAAAGAAAATTCATTGTTTTATAAATATTTTACCATTATTGTTGTTAAATGCCTTTTATTATATGGCTGTGTCTCACAAGTACTGGGAACTACAGAATTCACAAATTTGACTGACTATTTCACATGGCTGATCTCGCTGAAAGAATCATGCTCTTTACTTGAGCCCGCTTTTTGCAAAACCGCGACTTTTCAGGCCTCTTTTTTTTAAATAATTGCCACTGAAACGCTAGTGTTAAGATGCATGAATTGTGACAGACCGTGATGGTATCAAATGTTATTCAACACCAATGCCTCTACGTCTATACATTTTATTAAACTTACCAATTCAACAGTATCCTTGTAGTAAGAGGGCCAGTAGTAGCGCTCCTTAATTTTTTGTATGGTGTTGTCCCGCCCAGCGTGGCCCGCAAAAGGTGAAGAGTGACACTCGTCGAAAACTCTTGTCTTTTCCTCCTCTTGAATGACCATGCGGTTAAAGGTTAATCCATCGTTACCACGGTCGACGTAGAAAAGCGAGCCTGATTGTACATCAAACGTGAACTGTTTCGAAAGTCTCCGTAACACTCCTTTTTCACGCTTGCTTGCGCCCTCTGGATACTCTTTATCTCTCAAATAATGAACCAGATTTGAATATTTTGTGGCATCCATCTTAATAATTCTCGTAAGATGCGAATTTCCCGCGAAAGAAAGGTCATAAGTATACAAGGTCCAACTTCCTAATTTGGGCATTGTTTAATAGAGGAATTTCCGGTGGGTAGAAGCGTTGCGTGAGAACAGTTAAATCAACGTAGCATCTACGCCTAATGGAATAATTTGTTGTATTTAAGAAAGGGTTCCTGGTTCTATAAATATGCGCCCATGGGTGCGGAATTGAAATATTGATTAGAAATTGTTTTTGGTAAAGTGTCTAGCCAAACAAAAGCGCTTACAGGCCAGGGATACCAATTTTACTGCGATCAACGTTCACTGATATGTGTATCCCAACATATCACAAACGTTTGCTTCCCACTGTGCCTATGAGTGCGATTTTGAAATATTTTATTGATTAGAAATTGCACTGGGCTAGAGAGGCCAGGATACACACATCACTACTGAATCACCGTCCAGTGATATATATCAATAAACATCAGGGGATACACGTATCACAGAAAAGCGATCGCAGTGATTTTAGATCACACTTCTGTTAATTTTGACTCAATAATACACTTACAAGCCATACTTAGCCAGTATTTTGCTGGACAGATAAAAACGCTTGCTTTAGTAAGGGGATACAAATACTAACTACGATTGCCGTGATATGTGTATCCAAAGTGTATCCACAAGATATAATGGGGATACACATATCACTGAACGGCGATCGCAGTGATATGTCTATCCCCCGAGTAACTCGCTGTCGTCTGTCAATTTGGAATCAATAATACACTTACTAGCCATATATAAGCTTAGGTAGTAATTTGCTGGACAGACAAAAGCGCTTGCTTTACCAAGGGATACACATATTGACAGCGATTGCCGCGATATGCGTATCCACATTGTATCCCCAAGATGTATTGGGGATACACATATCACTGAACGGCGATCGCAGTGATATGTGTATCCCCTGACTAACTCGCTGTCGTCTGTCAATTTGGAATCAATAATACACTTACTAGCCATATATAAGCTTAGCTAGTAATTTGCTGGACAGACAAAAGCGCTTGCTTTACCAAGGGATACACATATTGACTGCGATTGCCGCGATATGCGTATCCACATTGTATCCCCAAGATGTATTGGGGATACACATATCACTGAACGGCGATCGCAGTGATATGTGTATCCCCTGACTCGCTGTCGTCTGTCAATTTGGAATCAATGATACACTTACTAGCCATATATAAGTTAGCTAGTAATTTGCTAGAAAGACAACAGCGCTTGCTTTACCAAGGGATACACATATCACTTACTACGATTTCCGCGATATGCGTAACCCCGAGATATGTTGAGGATACACATATCACTGAACGAGAGATCTCAGTGATATACGTATCCCCTGGCTAGTACGATGTCGTCTGTGTACTTTTTAAATTTGTCAATGACACATATGATTGGGAATCAATAAAAATTGCTGTCAGTTGGTGAAATATTTCATGCACTTACGTACTAGCCAGTAAAGGAGCTAGTAGCAAGTAATTTCAGTGCTAGACAGGCGACAAAGCCGATACGATTGTAGTCACCAGTGATATGTGAATCCCTAAGATATATTTTTGTTTAAATGACAATTTCGATTCCTTTATATTTCCAATAGATTGTTTGATGTTTGCTACTGGCCCATAAGAACTGTCGGACTCGCGAGTCGTGTCTTTACAGTTCTGATTGTGGAAGATGGTTCAGTGAACGATTTGCGTCCATTAACACAAGTTAGCCGTAATTATTTATTTTTTGGAGGGGCGGGGGGTGGGGGATACACATATCACTGGCCGCCATCTTGGAGGGGGTACACATATCACTAGTGATATGTGTGCGGGGGTACACATATCACGGGGGTACACATATCACTGTCCGGTGTCACAGTGATATGTGATGATTAAAAAGTACACAGACGACATCGTACTAGCCAGGGGATACGTATATCACTGAGATCTCTCGTTCAGTGATATGTGTATCCTCAACATATCTCGGGGTTACGCATATCGCGGAAATCGTAGTAAGTGATATGTGTATCCCTTGGTAAAGCAAGCGCTGTTGTCTTTCTAGCAAATTACTAGCTAAGCTTATATATGGCTAGTAAGTGTATTATTGATTCCAAATTGACAGACGACAGCGAGTTAGTCAGGGGATACACATATCACTGCGATCGCCGTTCAGTGATATGTGTATCCCCAATACATCTTGGGGATACAATGTGGATACGCATATCGCGGGCAATAGCAGTCAATATGTGTATCCCTTGGTAAAGCAAGCGCTTTTGTCTGTCCAGCAAATTACTAGCTAAGCTTATATATGGCTAGTAAGTGTATTATTGATTCCAAATTGACAGACGACAGCGAGTCAGGGGATACACATATCACTGCGATCGCCGTTCAGTGATATGTGTATCCCCAATACATCTTGGGGATACAATGTGGATACGCATATCGCGGGCAATAGCAGTCAATATGTGTATCCCTTGGTAAAGCAAGCGCTTTTGTCTGTCCAGCAAATTACTACCTAAGCTTATATATGGCTAGTAAGTGTATTATTGATTCCAAATTGACAGACGACAGCGAGTTAGTCAGGGGATACACATATCACTGCGATCGCCGTTCAGTGATATGTGTATCCCCAATACATCTTGGGGATACAATGTGGATACGCATATCGCGGCAATCGCAGTCAATATGTGTATCCCTTGGTAAAGCAAGCGCTTTTGTCTGTCCAGCAAATTACTAGCTAAGCTTATATATGTCTATGGGGCACATGTTTTCTTTGAAGCTCTAAAAGGCCCGGGTGCAAAGCTTCAGTGTTTTGTGTATCCCTACCAGGGGTACACATATCACTAGTGATATGTGTGCGGGGGTACACATATCACGGGGGTACACATATCACTGTGACACCGGCACTCATCGTATTTCTAAATCTTCCAGCACGATTACTTGGTCAGCGGTATTTGATTTTGACGGTACAGTGATGCATATATAAAGCAAAAAAGGGAACTTTTCAAAGATGGCGGACGATGATGTTGAAGAACTTCAGGAAAGTCTATCAAAATTTGTAAGTGTTGCTTTTGGTGGAGCGCGCATTAAAGCTCTATTAATACTACCGAAGGCTCATTATATGTTTCCTGCAGTGCACAGAGAAACCAAATACCCACCTCATCTTGGTAGCTGCTCAGAAATGCGTTAGTGGTGGAAAATGGACCCGGCTTTTGGAATGCTTGACTCGATCTGACCATAAGGTTTGTGAACATTTGTTCACCATCGATAAGAATTATTAAACGTCATTAAATTAATATTCTAGATGTTTTACAATTTTGTGTCTCTGGTTTGAAATATTGCATAAATTATTCTATGCCCAGTTCATTTGATTCTAATACATGAAGATAAAGAAATTGGGTCGTACTACAGCTAACAGCTAAACGACAGTGAGAAGGAAAGTCTTTCATTAGGATCGCATTAGATTTAAACCCACGCCTAATGAAGTTTAATTGCCGAGCCACACATTAGGATCATGGTCAAAATTTTTTTCGTATAATCAGTACTTTTAAAGAGCAGAAACTAAGTTTCATTGTTTATCAGTACTAAAGTGGGTTTGTTCTTGTGAAATGATTAATGGTTTGAGCTTGGGAGGCACTCTTTGCCATGTTGTCAAGTCTTTCTGATAAGGTAGTCTTGAAATGAGTGCTTTAAGTGATTGACTGATTTTGATAACTTGAGTTGAATTTTTTGACTCTGTTATCAAGTTGACTTCTGCTCCTGTTGACAAAACATTTGATTTAGTGATTATCACCGGCAGAGGTCACACCTATTCATTGCAGCCCTGAGTTGACGTTTGTTTTGTGTATGCACAGGATGCTCTTGAATTTGTTGGTTGGGAACTAATTGGAGTCATATCTCAAGCTATTGCTGATGACTTTGAATCAGATGCCCTTGAAGAAAGAAAGAAAATCCTTCAATTAATCGCTGAGGTAAGCAAATTAAGTTACTTTTCACAAAGTGGAGACGAGCTGTGCAGTTATTGGTTTTTTATTTAGCTTCTGTTTCTACTTAATGAAACAAATTGGAAGGTTTAAAACCATAACAAACAAACAGTTGTGATTAATTTACCTTCATGTCATAGCTGAAGACTGATAAAAATTATGTTTCTAACTATGATCACCCTTTATCAGAGTAATATTATATGCTGTGCACTTAGATATCTACAAGTACAAAAAAAATGTCTAATGGTTCTTTTGCCATTTTAGGCCTGTTTCAGGATTCTACTAAAACCAGTTTTGTTGAAGTTTATTTCTTTTTTTTGTTTTTCAAAGAAAATACTCTATTTTTGTCTATGATGAAAAAATGCATTAAGTTGACATTTGAATCATAAAATATTTAAATACTTGAATCAGAGATCTCATGTGTTTTCAGGTGGTTACAATTCTTTTTTTATGATAAAAGTTTATTTCAAATATTGAATTATTGGTGTGAAACTAACAGAGATGCAGTGCAAAGGAGGTTTGCATTGGAGTGTTGGAACAACTTGACTCTGGGACAGACTGCCATTTTAACAATTTTGTTACTCTGCTGGATACCCTTAAGACAGGTAAATAAAAAATATAATGCAAGATATGATAAAGAAGACATTTAGCTAAAAGATTTGGGTGAGTAATCATGTCTTTTCTTCCTTTAGAAGGTGTTTTCCTCAGGTTTTTAGTTGCTTCGTTTTTCTTTTTTTTTAAGCAATACACAGGCTGCAAGAGAAGAAGTCAAAGTATGTTGGTATGGCACTTCCATGTGTGACAAGATACATCAAAGGTATTCAACTCTCAGATGAAATAGAGACAGAGAAAGAGTCTGGCAGTGAATGTCTGAAAATGCCATCCATCATGAAACATGTACTGGATTTTCTCAGACCATTGGTGCAGGAAGTCAGCTTGCAATCATCCTCTGCTGAAATAGTAAGTATATTTACAAAAGCTGTAGATAATCCATTGACTTAAGATCTACCTGTAGTATCCTTAAATGACAGAATGACAAGAGAGTGACAAAGTAATGGAAGAGAGTGGTGAGACGAATATAAGACCATAGAAGAGACATTTACTAAGCTTAAACATAAAGACATGCTATTGAAACATTAGCTTCAAAATAAAAGCTGATTGGTATGAGCAGTTTTTTAAGATGCAACAATCTTCAATAACCAGCTCTTGTACATACAGTTAGGTCTTAAGCCTTCAACTGAGTGAAGATAAAAAATAAGCAAGATATAAATTTTGCATAACCAGATATAAAAACTTTATTTCTATTTATTTTTAAGTGGATATGAAATAAAAAGAAAATTAACTTATTGTTTCTTTAGTCCCCCTCAAGTTCTTGCATCAGCCAATTAGGACCAGAGATTATCAAATGGTAGGTTCTTTGTTCATTTATTTAATCAACAAATAACAAATAAAATAACTTTTTGCTTTGATTGGAAGGTTTTTGAGCCATTTTAGTGTAATATTTATTTTACTTTGTGTGAAATAACTTGGTGTAATTTATTGACACTTAGTGTAGTTAAAATCAATTCAAAACAAAATTGATTTAAGTTAGGACAGATAAGAAACTTACCTAGCTTTATGAGGGTAACAATCAGACAATCAATCAATAATGAGAAGTTAGTCAATAATAAGAGAAGGGGAAATTCTTTGATAATTTATAAATTTAAGACTTCAAATAGCAGTTTAAAATGAGGAATGTGCACATTACCAATTGATAATGAGACATATTTTTATTATTTATATACCACAAAGGTGAAAAGTGATTATCGGAAGTGCTGATTAGCTAGTTTAGAAGTGAATAGCAAGTACTATTTACCCCTTGAGCAGCCATGACAAACCACACATCAATAGTTTAATTTCTGACCATTTTATTGAAAGAAATGATAAAACTACGGTAAACCTGGGGGTAACTTGTAATAGTGTAGTTTAATCATCAGGGTGAGTGTAGTCCTGAGAAGGATTGTTGTTGGTAGTAGTAACTGACATTTCAACAACCTGAGCAGAAGTCATCATCTGATGATGACTTCCACTCAGGTTGTCGAATGTCAGTCACCACTACCAACAACAGTCCTTCTCAGGACTACACTCATTCAGACAATCAAACTATACTCTACAAATAATAAAACTATTTTTTATTAATTTTGTATCTGTGTGGTGTATATGAAAACAACTATTCATCTCTGTTGTTCAAAGTAGTGGATATTTACCTTTGTGGCTTGGTAAATACCCACCACTATTCACTTCCACTTTGGTAAGCAATTGTTTATTAGTTGTATGAAGTGTCAGTTGTATAAAAAATGTCGATAATGTATTCTTAAAATCTCTGACATAGTTTTATCCTATTTGTACAGTTTGATCCAGCTCTTGGATTATCCATTGGTTTTTGTGGATTTAGAAAAACATTCTAAAGAAAATGCAGACCCTGATAATGAGGATGATGAATCCATTTCTGAGGAGAAATGTTCTTTGACTGTAATGGAATACAGAACAATTGCACTGGAAATTATGGTATGTTCATAATTTTAGATAGACATGAACCAAGAGCTGGCATCATGTTGTCTGATTGTTATGTTGAGTGTAGACTCTTAGAGGACTCATTTGATCAGTATTAGTGACTTACATCCTGACAACCATTTTTATATCACTTGAGTCAAGTCATGACTCCAATGATGACTTCCACTTAAGTTGTTGTAATTTCAGTCATTTATTACCTCCAACAGTCCTTCCCAACAGTACTCTCATGTAGATAATCAGACTACACTGTTAAGATTACTAATCAACAAATGTAATCATGGCTAACTGTTGTTTTCACTATTCTTTTTTTATATTTAAATAGAAATTCATTCATATGGCTAATGGATCGTATCTGTACCTCATGGAATACACTTCTAAAACATACAACAATGTTCAAGAAAAATCAAACAAGACTTCAGACAGAGATGTTTCCACAGAAGAGGAATATGATGATGAGGATGAGCAAGGTAATTGAAATAATACTATAAAACTTTCTGTAAATACTTTTAGCCAGTCCTTTTATCATCATAAGGCTGAAGTAAAGCCACTTATTGCAGAAGAGGCTAATTTAAGGAGGCTCTTCAAATTTGAAAAGGTATCAGAAATTTGACTCTAGATTCTGCTCTTGAACCTTACTTTTGAAAACTTTTCCCTTTTGAATACACATTTTTTTTAAATTGCAATTTAATTTGCATCATTAATGGGCCCAGCATGAGTTAATTGGTTGAATGTTTAAATGCTCTTCTATGGCTCTTTTTTCAAAGACATTTAAAAAATACTTTTGAGTCATTATTTACTATGAATCTATTAATGTACTTTAAATGTTAAGGGCTTTAATTTGTATTTAGAATAATAGATAAAGTTTCTAGCTTACTTAATTTCCTTTTTATCTGTTTTCAAGAAAGAAGCTGTTATCCAGTGTTAGGCCTTGGCTGTTTTGTTTATTTACTACTTGTGGAAAAGATGGAAGACAGAAATATCCCTGCAGTTTTTAGGTAAGTGGCTAAAGGGGAATTTATCCAATACATTTTCAAGTAGAAAGTTCATGAGAAGGAAAAAAAACCGTTGGATGACTCTTAGATTAAACACCAAGTTCTCAGAGTTTAAATTATAAGAAATGTATAGCAGACAGCTGGGAGAATTCATATCTAGATCTTGGGAGTAAAAGGTTTACTACTAGTAAGTTGAAGGGTGGCCTTAGTCTCTTTCTTCTCACTGAAGTATTTATCAACTCTTGGAAAAAAACCTTTTTTGTATATTTTTCACAGCTTTAGATATTTACTAAGAGTCAACATCAAAAGCATCCTCTTCCTTCTTAGCAGGTCAGTTATTTTTAGAAGAAATTGTTTTATTTCTTTTTAATTCCAAGCACCAGAAGACTTGTTCTCTTATAAATAGTGGGAGACTAAAGGGTACACCCATGCTCAAGGGTGCGACCAAGGGAGGGGGTAGGATACTGATTATTCCTTATTTTTCTGCATTGGATACAAAATACTTTGTAATCATCATTGTAAATAGCTTCAGGCAATTTTGATTTAGTTGCACATACTATTGGACTAGTGTCTACATATAAAATACAAAAAATGGATGAACAACAATATGATATATTTAGGTATTTTTGATTAAAAAGTTTCTGTACTAGAGATTACAAAAGACTTTCAACACCTGAATACACAAAAGGTTTTGGCTGAACTTGTTAGCTAGCAAAGGGAAAAAAGTACTACAATAAATGTAAATCTCTTAAACTTTCTCCTTTGCCTTGCAGAACAGAACACGGTGTCATTTACAAGGGTTTGGTGTGTATTTTGTGAGTGCTTCAGCTAATATTTCAAAAATGTTTTTCCTAATTTACATTCATCTTATAATTTAAATGTGTCGACTATCTGCCCCCTAATCAATTTTCATAATGTTAGCACTAATAAACGTTTGGCTTTTTTCAGGGACTGTTGGAGACATTGTCAAAAAGACTGAAAGATAAGAGTTTGGTGTACAATCAGTACGAGTTCAAAGATTTAATGGACATTGTTAAGGTGGACACCACGTTTGATTTTCAGCTGATTTTGTCACTGGGTATCCGGTTAGATCGAACCATGGTTAGATTGCTCCTAGTTAGATTGCTCCACTCGAAAGTTAGATCGCTCCATCAAATAAGTTACTTCGCTACCAACATAAGTTACTTCGCTCCATGTTGTAAAGTGAAGTATTACTTACCAATGATTTTTAAAGTTTATAGGTGATGATGTGTCTTACGACGATTCGAGTAGATAGTATCCACTCTGTCCTTCAGATTAGCCACCGAGCTACCGATCGTGGAATAAATTATATAACGTTATATTCTGAAGTATATTGAAAAGGATCATTCAAATACCAATACTATCCACTGTGGCCCTTTTCGCTGTTTGATGTAAGGAAACTGATATCCGACATCTTTAATTAATAAAGTAGATTACACCTCGTGAGTCCCTTTCATGACGCTTTATTTGTTCTTTCTGCGTAGCTCGGATTTATTTCAAGCGCGCGCGAGCGATATTAATCGATTGTTCGGTAAGATATTCACGTCATGAACTATCAATTTAGATACGTTAGTTTTGCTACTTTTACCTTAGTTTTCTACATGGAGCGAAGTAACTTATGTTGGCAGCAAAGTCACTTTTTGATGGAGCGAGCTAACTTTCGAGTGGAGCGATCTAACTTTTGGTTGGAGCGATCTAACTGGGAGCGAGCTAACCAGGATGCGATCTAACCGTAATTCTGTCACTGACAGTGCCTAGTACAGGAAAGTTTTTAAAGTTTTGTTTCGTATTTTAACGGCAGGCTCTTATAAATGTTATGACGATGTGTTCATCAAAGAAATTGGTAAGTGCACATGTGTTCATAGCGATGTTCTTACCGATTTCATACGAGCTACTGGAAAAGAAGAAAGTCATGAAATAATGAGTAGGGTTCATAAAGACTGAATATGATTTTTTTTATATAGAAAAACAAAGAAATACATATTTTAATTGCATGGTCGTGTTTACGCCACTTTAAACCAACTTCTCGAACATTAAAAAAATCCTGGAAAGTTTTGGAATTTAGGAATTCCAAAGATGACGATCAGTGTCTTAGTTTTATTATCTTGCTTGGTGAATACCAATACTCTAAAAGTATAACGCACAGTGGATCGTAACAGAAGTGTATTACTGAAGTTGTATGCCTCTGGTCTCAACAACCCTCAAAGACATGTGAATGCTTAAGAACACACACTCCAAAAGTGCTCAACATTTCAACGTTGTTGACATTTGATTATTTGATGCGTTTGTTTTCCTTTGCGCCACAGAGATTAAGAGCAGTTCAAGTCCTTCCGAATCTGGTATCAAAGCTTGACACGAGAAGTCGATACGGATTATTATAGTAGGTACATTTTGTGTGCCTCTTGTAGCAACTTAGAAAACTTAACACTGTATATAAATAAGAGAAGATTATTACAACTATTGAGATGGTAAATCTGGTCCAAGGAGGCTGGCACATGACTCTAATTCCGTCAGGACTGTAAACAGGGATCATGTTTAAGGAAGAAGTATCTTCCAGAAATCATACAATGTTTATCTCCTTTGTTAAGGATTATGTGTGAAAATATGTAACTGACCGCGTCCTGAGATTCCGACAAGTAATATAACCGTTTGAAACTTTTTTTTATATATACAGTCAAACCTGTATTAAGCGGCACCATATTAATCGTCAAAGTCCCGAATTTTTCCGCTCAGTTACTGTAATTTTTACCTCTGTTAAACGGTCACTTCTATTCTATTGGTCGTGGTTACCCTTCACCTTGTCCCAGACGGCCTGTCTGTAGTGAACGGTCACTTAAGCAGAACCACTCAAATAAAACTTGAAATAATATTTCAAGTAATATCTCCCGAAATCAATGTTAGTTTAGGGTGTTTATGTCATTCATAGGTTAAAATGGTGGTTTTTTATCGTGTTGTTGTCGTTGTTTTTTTTATTAACACCCCTATTCTGTGAACCTGTATGAAGTAGTCAACCTGTAATTAATGGTCACCCCGCCATTTCCCCTGGGTGACCGTTTAATACAGGTTCAACTCTATAATATATACATATGATAAAACGTGCTTTACCAGCGTTCGATTTACTTTACTGTCTCGAAAATGTTACCATCTAAATTAACAATTTCTTTCACATTGGTTTTTTTTTTCAGCACTGTTCTACAAGATTGTTCTCATCCCGGGGTGGCAGGCCTTTTGATTCATCTCTTAAAAGAGCAAGTTGACCAAGCTTTAAGTGTAAGAGTTGTCTGGTTTGATTTTCAAAAACACCTGTACCATTGTAGATACTGCTAAGGAAAGTCTTTTGCTCCTTTATGTGCGTGATATCAAACAATCGTAGGACCAAACAAAGAAACTCGATGTATTATTTGGCGACCTAAAACCATAGAGTTTTTGCCAGGAATAGAATTTGCGTCGCTAGAAAAAAAAATGCATCACAGTGCCCAGCGTGACTGCGCACTTTTACTTGATTTCTTTTTAGAAATTAAATCGCGAAGTTTGTTATAGCATTCGTTTTGTTTTCTGTTTTTAGACATCAGAAGATGAACCTTGGTTTCAAGGCAGCCGTCTTATGTCAATTCTCCAGTTAGTTTTCAAACCTCCCTCGGGAGCTGGCACCGATAAGGACCTGGTACAGGAAACAGATAGGTAACTATGACATATGAATTTAGCTTCTATGTACTTTTAAAAAAGTGTGATAATTTAAGAGACTACATCGAGGAAAATTCTCTTGAGGCCCTTTAAAGTAGCTTCACACGTTTATTTAATAATTGTTATTTAATTTATGTATGGAACATGATTTTTTTTTGTCATACGTTCAGTTGTGTTTTGATAGGCATCTTACTCCTCTCTTTGTAGAGTCATGGCAGCCCTGAACTGCCTAAGATTTGTTCTTCTTAGAGATGAGAGCGACAAGGTGATGTAACTAACATGGAGTATCAATTAAGAAACTTACGGTAGAACCTCTAGCAACTGGCACTTCCCGATAGCTGACATAAAGTTTAATTTAATTTAATAATAAGTTCTTATATAGCGCATTAAAATTGAACTCTATGCGCTTTACAATTACAAATTAACAAAATTTCGATAAAAATCCTATACATGCAATTCGCTACTCTATCTAAACTAATGAATTATTACGTGTTATGCATATGTTTGACAACGTACGATATCAAATAATCTGGTGGCTTAATTTTTGAAAAGATAAGTTTTCAATAAGCGTTTAAAGGAGTCAACAGATTCGGCGTTTTTTATGCATTCAGGTAGTTGGTTCCACAAATACGGTGCTGCGTAGGAGAATGCTCTTTGCCCATACGTTTTAGTTCGAATTGTTGGGACCTCAAGTAGATTCATATTTGATGAACGGAGGTTTCGTGCTGGAATATATCGACTAAGAAGTTCAACAAGATAGGTTGGAGCCATGTCATTTAGTGCTTTGTATGTTATCAACAGTATCTTGAATTGAATTCGTTTTGTGACCGGGAGCCAATGAAGTTTCCTAAGTATAGGTGTTATACTGTCTCTTGATTTGGCACCGACTAACAAGCGGGCAGCTGTGTTTTGGATCCGTTGGAATTTTTCGATGTCACAAATCGGTAGACCGTACAATAGGCTATTACAATAATCAAGTCTCGATGAGATAAAGGCGTGTATCAATCTTTCATTTTGCTGCGTCGAGAGGTATTTACGAACGCGACCAATATTTCTGATTGCTAGAGACGACGATTTACAGATGGAATTTATATGCGAGCGTAAGTTCATCACAGAATCAAGCATGACGCCTAGGTCTCGGACAGTATTAGATAAATTAATGATATCATCTCCAATATTGATATTACAGAAAGGAGGATTTTTTGAGAAGCGTGAGAGGAAATGAATGATTTCTGTTTTTGAAGGGTTGCACTGCAATCTGTTTTTCTTGGCCCACTCCATGATTGCATTAACACATGATTTCAATCTTTCCATGCCTAGCATTCTGTCAGAGGAGTTTATCTTTATGTAAAGTTGCGAATCATCGGCATATATCATACAGTTTAGGCCATGTTCAGCAACAATGTCTTCTGTAGGCGAGGTATACATTAGAAAGAGTAGTGGACCAAGTACTGATCCCTGGGGTACGCCGTAGGAGATATGTCGAGGCTTAGAGATGGAGTGTTTGATCTTCACTGACTGAACACGATGTTCTAGGTATGATTTGAACCATTTTAGTGCGATACCTCTAAATCCGAAACGTTTCTCCATTCTTTCAAGTAATATGTTATGGTCGATCGTGTCGAACGCAGCGGAAAGGTCTAGCAAAACAAGTACTACTTCTTCTTTTTGATCTACAGCTCTTAGGATGTCATTTGAGACTTTTATTAAAGCAGTTTCAGTGGAGTAGTATTTGCGGTATGCTGACTGCATCGCTGGAAATAACTGGTTCTCGGCCATAAATCTGTATATTTGATTTGCGACCACCCTTTCGATTGTTTTTGAGAGAAAAGATAGATTTGCAATCGGTCTGTAATTTGAGAGACAGTTCGGGTCCAATGAAGGCTTCTTTAAAGATGGACATACCAGGGATTGTTTTAACTGATCAGGAAATTCTCCGTTAGCCATGGAGGCGTTGATAATCTTGGTTATAATTGGCGTCAAGTGTGGAATTGACTTTAGAATTCGTGTTGGAATGGGATCCAGTTGACAAGACTTAGTTGGAGATTGAACAATAAGTTTGTGAACAATATCAGCAGATACAGGTTGAAAAGTTTGGAACGACGAGGTGACTGGATAATTGACGTTGATGTCGGGTGCTTGGGCAGTATGGGAGTCCAAATCCGATCTTATTTTCTCAATTTTTTTGATAAAAAAATCGTTGAACGTTTCGGTCAATGTATCCAATGAATCATTATTAGGGAGTGCAGCAATGTTCTTCGATAAGAATAGGCGAGATACCATCTTGAATAGTTGTGATTGGTCAGAGGAGCTGATCAGAGTCCGATAATAGTTTGTCTTTGTCGCTGTTAGAAGATCATTGTAGTGTTTGCAGGAATCAATAAATATTTCTTGGTGAATTTGAAGACCAGATGAAATATATCTTCTTTCATGACGACGTTTGTCTTGTTTAGCCTTACGAAGTTCATCAGTATACCAAGGAGAATGCGGTCGCAGAGTGACCCATCTCTCGCTCACAGGAGCATGTTGATCAAAGATAGACGAGAGATTAGTATTATATTGTGTAGTCAGCTCAGTTACACAAGACTGTGGATTAGTAATGAGATTAGATTCTTCGATGTCTTTGATCATACTAGCTAAATCGAGCCTTTTGGTGTTTCTGTGTTTAACATGTAGTGTAGAAGGTTTCGGTTTTGTACATTTCACCTTACAAGTAACCAAATTATGATCTGAAATATTGTCGGCTGATAGAATGCGAACATCCGTTATAACATTATTCTCTTCACGAGATAATATCAAGTCCAATGTGTGGCCCAGGCGATGAGTGGATCCAGATACATTTTGAATTAGATCAGTGGACTCAAGGAGATTTAGAAAGGAGGCAGCTTCAGGATTTGATAGATCATCAACATGGTAGTTAAAATCACCGGCAATTATAATGGGCTGCCTTGATAATGTAAGTTCTTCAAGAAAAGATGAGAATTCTTGCAAAAAGCTATTTCTAGTGTTGTTCTTTTTGCACAGAGGAGGGCGATAGAGAACAATTAAACGGAATGTCTCACTTTTGTTGGATATGCTCACATCTAAGTACTCAAATGAGCTTGTGTTCATGATGGAATTTTGCAGTACGGTATAACCATCTCGTATCAACAAAGCGACTCCGCCGCCCTTACGATTCCTTCTTGGTATGTGGTGGAGTTTAAAATGCGGAAGAATGTTGTTGATGTCAGTAATAACATGGTTGTCATCCTCGGTTCCTTTAAGCCAAGTCTCTGTTATGGCCAGGATGTCTAAATGGTGGGAGATGACCAAATCGCATAAATGAGTTGATTTTTTAACAATCGAACGCACATTGAGGAGAGCAAAATTACTGGTGGTCGTGGTCCTAGCCATGCGAAAAAACAGGTGTCAAGGTTCCCTCCTTGTAAGGAGGGAAAGGGGGGCACTGTTCTCTGCCAGTTCAGGATAATGATTGTAACCAAGCTTCGGTTTTTATACGAGACAAGTAAGGAGGCGTACACTGTGCAGGTACACGCAACCAACCATGCTATTGGATGATCAAATAGATAGAAAGATCCCACCAGAAAATTATCAGCAGGTCGCGTGCTGGAATGTGTCCGATCTTTGCCAATTAAAAAAGGATAAGTGCTGAGTGCTGGGTTCTTAAATCACCTGGATCAAAACTTTACCACCGTTGTTTCGATAAAGCTTCAGACTGACATCTAACGGCTCAGCAGAGTGCGTCACCTTTGTCACCTAAGGTCTAAAAATCTCGTTATGCAATTCGAATTTCAGCCGGCATTGTCATCTTCACATTTCATTTACTTACAAAATATGAAATTCCTGTTTGTGATATTTGTCGGGCCCGTGCCTTCAAATCTCTGACCAGTTTACTTTTTCATGAAACGTAGACTACAGTATGGAGAAACTTCACAACAATCGAAAAGGATTTCACGGAGCCCTTAAGACAGGCATCGAAAGTGACCAGATTACAATACCAAGCAGAACTTGCAAACAAACGGGATGAAATGGCAGGAAATAAAAGTAAGGTTACTTTTATGGTGCTTTTTTTTTATAGATATTTTGTCCAATACCTTGTATTGATAGTCTCGTGGACCAAATGGCATTTGATTGCTCAAATAACGGTTATAAACAACTTTTTTTTTTCAATTCTGAAGGTAAAAATATGGAACAGAGCACTGAGTTCAGCGTTAAAAGTCCTGATGGAAAAGCACTGGAACTAATGTCGCTCGCAGACCAGTGTGAGGTAAGTCTATCATGGAAGTTCTCCTTCCCAACTAGCACTCATTTTTTTTCTGAAAAACTGTGAGAATTAAAAGTTGTCTCCATATTTATTTATTCCTATAGCTTGGCTTACGTTTGCGCTTGTAGCAGAAGGTGGGCGTTATTTCTTGCGCTTTGTTCTTGCTCACCCTTTCCAATGGCGGTAGTTAAAGTTATGCAACGAGACCATGACAGTATCTTTCAGAGAATTTATTAAAGTGATGATACTTGTCTGTTTTTGTCGGAAGGCTCTTCAATCTGGCTTGTACTCTCTGGATATGATGGACAGTGTACTTGCTCGAATAACAGAGATTGCTACTATCAGAAGCAAAGGGGGAAAGTGAGTTGATTTAGAACACTCGGCTGTTGGCCTGCACTCTTTGGTTCTAACCTGGAATTTAGCTTTGATGGAAGGTTCAGACAACAACGTTAGCAAGTTGGGTACTTTGGTAACCAGAGTAAGACGAGCAACAGTTGCACTTGGGGCCACCTACACTGTCCACATTGAAGTTATTAAATTGTTATCTTGCGTGATTACAACATACTTGTCACGCTTTAGAGTCTCTGGCCTGAATGTGGATTTCAAAAGGATGTTAAAGCACTCTGAAACCAAAGTAATATGAAACGTTCAGAAACACTTGAATGACAGTAAACAACCAGAGTTGTAGAGTGCTCTGAAGCACTCGCGTGACAGTGAGCAACCAAAGAATTGTGAGGCGCTCTGAAACACTTGCGTGACGGCAAACAACCAAAGAGTTGTGGAATAATTTGAAGCACACGCGTGACAGTAAACAACCAAAACACTTGCGTGACAGCATAAGTCAAAGGGTTGTGAAGCGCTCATCGAACACTTGCGTGAAAGCAAACAATCATAGAGGTGTGAAGCGCTCTTACACTTGACAACCTCTTACCACTTTGAGCGTGGTCCATATTTTTGTGGTGAACAAGAAGGGGATATGAACACGAATGACGAATTCTTAAAAATTTGAATTAAAGTAAAGGCCCTTTGAATGTTCATGTAAAAGCGAAACGTTAATAAAAATAACACGATCCCGACCTCGACACTCGATTGATAAACAACTTTTGTCATTTGACTCTGATAATGATTTCCGCTCAGGTTCATTACAACCGACAACAGTCCTACTCAGGACCACCCTCACCCAGACGATCAGACGCAAGGATCAACGTCCCCCCCTTTCCCGGCCTGGTTTAAACCATTAACTGTACTTGTCACTCTTTACAGACGTAAATCAACCTGCTTCCGCATGTGTGTTTTATGTAATATATTCTGTGTGAAGCAGAGTGACACAATGATACAGACATTGACTATCGTTATTTAGTTGTTTCTTTGATACGGGAACCTTAGTCCCTTTGCCAGACTAAGTAGACTTCTCCAGTACTTTTTGTGATATTTCAATGGCAAATTAGGTGGCAGTCGGTTCCTAATCCACCAAGTTTTTATATATGGGTCTTTTTCAGGTTACTGATGTTACAAAGTTGATTTCAAAATTTACAATTACAAATACGTCTCTCTTTTGAACTTCACAAAAGAAAAGAGAAACCTAATGAATAAATGAAACATCATGGAAAACTCAGTGGCCTATAAACAGCTATTATACTAAAGTAAAGATCTGGTTAAATACGTAGTAGCTATGTTTGTCCTGATCGTGTCAAGAGAGTTCACATTACTGGTAATTTTCAAGAAGCATACAACAGGTGTTAAGATTTTCGTGTGAACTACTACTGTGTGATATGGGAACAGATGAAGACAAACCAATGGCCAAAATAAGTGTAAAATTTATCAGTCATCAGAATAGTTTACGGGTTATTTTCGCGAAGCAAACCTGAACATGTGTTAACAAGTTTGTGTTAAGTAGGTACTAATTTGGATGAGGGCACAGATGACGTCTCGTCAACGGCGAAAACGTTTACATTTATGTAAGAGTTATTAGAAATTTTATCCACAAAATATTGATGATATTCATAACATGAGTAAAACTACACCACAACAAAATAAAAGTACATGTTTACTCTTACATAAAGTCCGCAAAATTTCATTGACACTTACATCCATCAGTGCTTGCGTTCAATTTTTGTTCCCAAAACAGAATTATTAATTTGGTACTGAATTGTTTCTCTCTCTGGCTGAAAGATAACACATAAACAAAACTGTTAAAAAACATCGTCATCAAGAAACGAAGAAAGGAGTTTTGTCAAAGTTCCTTTATTTTCCGGAAATAATCAAGATAATGATCTGTGAAGTGGATCGGTTTCGTGTTTATTTCATTTTATTGTGGGTCGCCCATACCAAACAATTTTTGCCCAAGCGTTTACCATTAGTTACAGGACAAAAGTAAGCAAACATGTCTGACGAAAACCTGGATGAGAGAACGCGTTTTCTTCTGAAATCTCACACAGCCAAAGAACTGGAAAGGCATCTTCAGCAGTTAAGACAATTTAGATTACTTCAACGAAAAGAGAAAACTGAGGAATTAACAGATAAAGTTTTGTCTCGAAGAGACCCTGAATTACCTCTCGTTCAGTCGTCTTCAGATTGTGGCTCACACCATGTCGTCACTTGTTTGCCTGCCAAGGGTTCAAACATTCAGTCTAATGAGCCGGGGCTCACTAGTTTCGCAGAGAGCAACTGCTACAGTTTGTGTATTCGTGGTAAAAACTTTGAAGGAATGAAACCAAAGCAGCAGTTTTTGTCTGCATCAAAATCGAATTATGTAGCAAGGAGGCAGAGAAGCAGATACTCGGAGAGCCTAGATGATCGTCCGTTGGTGGTGTGTCCTGCTCCCAGTTTCAGGTCCTGGTCAAGAGGCCAAAAAGAGAAAAAGAGTCGACGAAAACAGCGAGAATTCAAAATGCGAGGGGTAAATGATGAGCGATTTTATTCAAAGTATCAGCAGCCAAAAGTGGATTGCTTAAACCTGAGGGAAATTCTACACCAGGTACAAGAAATAAACAATTTTAATGAAGATCATGCCAAAGAGAAACTCGTTGCTTTGATGCCAAGTCATAAGATCTTGATGGCAGGGGTAGCAAGAGCTAAGGAATTAACAGTTCAAGAAAGTCTATCAAACAAACAAGAAAAGAAAGCTTGGACAGTGCCGAAGTTAGCTACACCTGTTAGAAAAGAGCAGCGCTTGAAAAAGCTTTTACGAGGACAGCTGATGTCATGTTACGACTTGGGACCCGTACTTAAGCCTTTTGTGATTGTGGGAGAGGAAATGAGTCGTAGAAATAAGCAGAACAGAGAGAAGCTTAAACTTGATTTCCCGCCGATGAAGCAAGAATTTTTCCCATATTCTGTCCCCCATTTACGATTGCCACTACTACCTTCATCAAGGAACGAACTGGTACAAATATCAAACGTTTTGGCAAAATGTGAAATAATTCCATGGCAACTCCAAAACATTAAGATTAAGTATACAAAAAGGCGTGAGTCTAACAGGACTGTTGACGCACACGAATCAAGGATTGGAGAAGTCGAAGAAGTTAATGATTCCACACAAAATTGCGACAAACCAATGCTCAAGATTTTTGTCCCGTCAAGCGGCTGGGAGAAATGAACTTCTTTTTTCAAAATTAGGATTGACACTAGTCTTGAGTTAATTGCTTACAAAACCCATAAACCTCAATATGATCTTCGCGTATCAAACTCTGGCTTTGTCTGAACGACCCTGTATATTTACTGATAATCTTCTCTATGATCCAGTTTCACCTAGGACGTGGTAATGAAAAAGAAAAACTTCTCTTTCTGTCATCATTTAAATTTACATTCGTCCACAAGGGAATTTTGCATTCTTAATTGACCAATCAGGAATGAGATATCTTTTGAAGCAGGTAATAAGAAAAAAACTCATCCCGTTGGGTCGTTTTGAAATGCATGGTTACAATTATTGTTAACTCAGTAACATTATGAGACTCACAAAGGCAGGTTCAATTCCTGGAGACTGCTTGCCTATAGTAAAAAGACCCTTGTAACCAGGACAGGCCAAATTCCACTCAAATGACTGGTGCGCTGTTTTCACCATAAGAGACCATCTTCACTTCAGGGAAGATCTGAGTGCGATTTGATTTAAAACTCTCCTAAACGCTTGAAATACTCTGTTTTCCAGTGCTCATGTATGAATAAAGGTCTCTTTAGGACAAGTCTATTCAGCTAGTTACGAGCCACACAATCAAGTTATCGTCTTCAAATTAGTGTTAAGCTTATCAGACATCCAATGGCATGGTGTCCATACGCCAACACGAAGTTTAAAAGTTCCAGGTTCATATGTAGGGTTCCCACCAGTTTCTGTTGCCCGTTTTCGCCACAAAATCGTCACATTTGAGTTTGATCGGGTATTTACCATAAATTAAACAGATTTGAAATTGTAGCTTTTTGTCAGTAGTTTTAATTTGTTATTTTAAGGGTTACGATGGAGCTGTGCTTTCAAAATGTCGCTTGCAACGGTGAGGTAAACTTCTCTCGGAGAGGTGTTAGTTTCACTGATTAACTTGAGCTTGTATATCTCCCAAACGAGGTAAGTCACTTTTTTTGCAGATTTAAGGCGATAAATTGTCGGAGAAATTTTCAGAAAGTCTGCTACGCACTTTCCATGCAAGCCATCTCCCACCTTATTAGTCTTCCCTATTGCTATTCCTCTTCTGCCCCTTGTTACCATAGATACGTATTGTGCGATGAGTTAAAAATAAACGCTGGCGGGAATTTTCCCGGAAGTCACTGAATCGAGGCAAATTCTCAGAACACCATTTTGTAGTTTTCGCAAACTGCAATTCCTAGTATACTCAAATATGGCTTCTGCGTCAGAGATGTGTTTGAGTGACGCCGCATTAGCAGTCTGTCGGCTTGTAGAAGAAACAAAGGGGCATAAAACACTAAAGTATCTGGGACCTAGCTGTCTTGTACATTTCTCCGATACCAGCACCCCTAAAATTCTTTCTTCCACTTCCTCGGGGAGAACTTCGATTTCAGAGCGTGCGTCAAGCTATTTCTTGGTTGCAAGTGCCGAAGTCTTGAAAAAGACCCAGATCGAAGCCTGTGAGAACAATTCAGGCCGCTCCGTGAAGATCGTGGCCGAATTTGTTCGGGCAAGAGACGGAAGAAAGCTCGAACGCAAGACCCTGAGTCCTATTAAAGTGGGCGGTGAGTTGTGCCGAGCACTCGACGACATCGTTGAATCAGATGGGATGATTTTTATAGCCCTTACCGGGTTAAGACGAAGTATCTTCAACAAGAGCAACTTGTTGAGTCGTGCTTTAGAAGTTGCCGAAATACAAGGCAGAAATTCATCTGCACGGATGGCATCAAATGACCTACGGTGTGTCCTGTTTACGCTATTGACTTGCGGGAAAAAGGCATTCCAACTGCAAGATAATCCTGAGTTTGGAACCAAGGTCTACGATCTTCTGCCGTTTGACACAGTCCTAACCTGTGAAAATCAGACGCGATCTTCGAGGTACTTCTTGCAAAATGATGAGAAAAAGCGCTTCCTCAACGAAGATGAATTTCCAAAGAACGACATTCCTTTTGGAGCCATCATTCTCAAAAATGTGATGTTTGCAGGAGTGCTGAACTTTGACAACAGACAGCCTTCGCCAGTTTTTGTCGAGAGCAGTTTAGAAACAGGTAATAAGTTCATCATGTTTTGCATGAAAATGTAAAGTATTATTTCTGCTGCTTTCAGATGGTTAAAAAATTAAAAAACTGACCCTAATCAAACTTCCTTTAACCCAGAATGTTTAACCTGCGGAATTTTGACGCGTTCATTCCTCTCCTAAGATGATTTGTGTTTTGCAGCTTCTATCATAGATCTATTCAAAATCTCAACACCATTTCTCAAGGCATTTGTTCATCGCTGACTTTGATGAATTTCTTCCTTGAATTTCCATAGTAGCTTGTGTGTGGCATTCTGTTTTGTGAATCTTTGATTCTTTCAAAATTCTTTGATTCTTTGAAATAGCTGTTATATACTGGAATGTTTCAGCTCCTTTAGCACCATGTATTTCTAATATCTGAATGTGCGGGTCAAGCATATCTCCCAGTTGACAATACAACATCAATAATTGAACAGTGAACAACTTTTTTATGTCTGATCAAATCAAAAATAGATGCCATGCACTCAGGCTACTTGTTCATTTGTTAATACCCTGACAAAAAATAATTCAACTTCGAGAGGCAAATTCATAGGAAGGGTGACATCAGTGGTTTTGATAAAAGCAGCAGTTACCTGCAGTCTATAAGCATATTGCCATCTGTTTAGCATGCCCCTAGATCCCCCCTTGGGGAAAAAGCGGCCTATTGCATATGCTTCATTGACTTGCTTATTTTGAGAGCTTAGAAAGAAAGCCAACTGTGTTTGTGGCTCAATGAACCCATGAGTCATGTATGATTTCTTTGTTTTCACTGTCTTCTACTGCTTTTTGCAACTCTATCACTGATAACATGGTCCAAAAATTACAATCTTTGTAAGTTCACTCCACACAATGTTTCTCTTGCATAGGATCTAAGCAGACCATCCAGAGCAGGTAAGATAGACCCATCTTGCCTGCTTGGGTTGCCAATCAGGATTTGCTTCATATTGCCCACGAGGGCAAATCATTTTCATGTGCTTATGACATAAGTTATTGAAACCCCTGGGTGACATAGAACTTAACATAGACTAGCTAACATGTCATTTTTACACCAGTTCAAGAGACTGTTCTCAATCTCATTCATAGTCTTAAGATGTTATCTTGGAAATTTCTAGACTTTCAGAAGTTGTAAGTATTGTAGTGGGACTTTGTAAAAGCATTTTTATGCTGTTTTATAACAACAAACTTGTTGTTTCATATCAGATGCTAGAGGGAAATTTACCAGTGTTTCTAGCTCTGTCCAAAGCAATTGAACCACATTAACCCTTTAACCCTTAGAAGTGATTAAAATGTAACTTCTCCCTAAAATATCCATATATTACCCAGCAAACATGTAATAAGAATATCCAAGTTATCAAGTAGAAGTTGTTATCTTCATCTAACACCAAATTCTTATCACTAATTTACAAGGAAATGTGTAGCAGCTAGAGGGGAGAATTAACAATCAGATCTTGGGAGTTAAAGGGCTTATAATTACTTCAACAGCAATTCAGAGATGTGATGAGAGAGAAGCTGAAAGGCTGGTTGGTGCAGTAGGTGGGATTTATCCATTTTTAGATCCAAAGAGAAAAGAAAGATCAGAGGGAAATGATAAGACTGGCATTTATGGTTTCCCTCAGCCTGCAGTCACACCCTCAGCCTCAGATAAGTTTGTGGCAGGTTTTCAGTCAACTAATGACAACAGTGGTAATGAGGATTTGAGAACAATACCGTGTGCAACCAACCAGGCTGAGTCAGGTAAGAAAAAAGAGGAGTCAGGCAAAAATAGTAAAGGTAATACAGAAATTAAGACACACCTTTATCTCAACTTACTTTGTACAATTGTATCCCTGTAGAGATATATTTGAATTTGATCAGGGCTACGTGACCAAGAATCAATCACAGTGCTCGTTTTGTTTGATCAGTTTGTCCAAGAATCAACCAATCACAGTGCTTCTTTTATTGATTCAAAGTCTAGGTATATAACAAAGTCAAATATTTCCAAATTTCAGATTTTCTACAGGGTTGACATCTCTGAAAATGCTTGTTGCCAGCAAAGGGTGATGTCTCTCATTAAGTGAAAGGAAAAGGGGAGCCTATTAGGAAATTTTGAATTGATCCCTGAAAGAAGATCAGTGTAGGCATGACTACAGCATTAAAACTGAACCTAGAGATTGCCACTTCCAAAATAGTATGCATTAATCAGTTGTGGTTTGTCATTGTGGTAAATAACACTTTTAAAGGAGAAATATGACTGTTTGTCTCACAATATGGTCACTTAGGATGTGGATCATGACATTTCGACTCCACACTACTAGTCATCTTCAGGGGATGAGGTTGATTGAATGAGTACGCATCACCTAATTATGCTGTTGTGCTCAGCTGTGACTATTGGATGGAATTCCATGGCTTTGATTGGACCAGGTTCCCTCTGGTTTGCATCTATAAACACCAAAAAAAAGTCTGGCTTATGGATGTGAACTGCTAAAACAGTGTGACCCTCATCTCAATCTGAAAAATTTTAAATTAGTTACTGTTATAAATTAGGCAATGTCTTTTAGAACTGAATGCAGGAGACCTTAATCCCTGAATTGCAGCCTAGATCAAGAACACAATTTTCAGAACCAGATTTCTTGATCTTGACTTAAATGCTCCTCTTAACTTCACATCATCAAAATGGCTTTCAGATTTCTATTTTGCAAATCATTAGCATATTTCCATTTTGCTAGTCACAGATTTAAATCTGCCACCAGAACTTTGCAAAATCTCCACTCATTCGATCTTGTGTTGTTTAGGCCATAGAGCACAAGGGAAATTTGAGCTCCAATACTCATTACCCCCATTACCTCAGAGATGCCTTGAGACCCAAGGAGCATCCACTGACCTAAACAGCCATGGAAGTGGTTTTCTACTGTCTATCAGGTGTAATCAATGTAAATTATCGATGAATAACTCAAATGCATAATGACACTTACCTTATTAGCATCATCACAAATCCTTTTTTCAAAATTATATTTTGGAATCATTTTACATTCTCATTTTTGTACTTTTTTAGTTTTAGTGGCTTTCATGGAACATTTAGTAAAGGTCTAGATATATATTATCCCTAAAGTGAAATTGATACTGATCGAGCAATGTGGCTTCTCATTGTCAATTTGACTATTTTTCAGATGAAAAGGCCACCCCAATTGAAAACTCCTGCAGATCTTTGGACAAAAGTTTAGATTCCAACAGAGTTGTATATGTGCCCGTAAATTTGCAATCTGCTGATAATGAAAATCAGCCTGCAGGAGAATGTTCAGCACCTGAACTAAGCCCTGAAACAGGGACAGGAGGCTCAGAGGAAGAAGTCCAAGGAGGACCTGTAGATGAGCAAGTTCAGGGGTCAGAGGAAGAAGGAGGGAAGCGGGTAACAATACAGAAGAAGGAGGAAAAATCTGTATCTCAGAGATGCCGAGCACCTTTAACTGCCATGGTACCTCAGGTAACAACAGGAATCCAGAGGAACCCAGCAGAGATTCCACTGGCTCCAGCAGTGCCAGGAGGTCCAGAATACTCATTACCCCCATTACCTCAGAGACGCCTTGAGACACAAGGAGCATCCACTGACCTAAGCAGCCATGAAAGTGGTTTTCTTTTCCAAAATGGAAGGTACAATGAGTTGCCTGAAGGAGCCCAAGGTGAAGTAAGGGAACAAAGCTCATCAGATTCTTGTCACCCAAAGAAAGAAGAGCATCCTGAAGTGAAGCGCTCCATCTCTATGTCAACTGGGACTAAAAAGACATATAAGTTAGGTAATGATAGCTTGTTTATCATCCAGATGCACAAATATGTTTACATGCAGGTATTAAGATATAGAGGGACCAAATAATGAGTTATTCACAACTGTTACAATTTCTTCAAATGTGATTGGTGCATTAGCTGCTTTATTTTTCACTAATCATTCTGTATAGTTGTCATCAGGCAGTGCAAGTAGACAGTTGGCTGTAATTGGACAGTTGAAGCAGCCAATCATATTAAGTCCACTCAACTAAATCCACCAATCACAGAACTAACCATAACAACAACCACTTACCCTGAAAAAAAAAACTTCCAAAATTGAGGAATTTTTTTACTTTAGACATTGTTTGTCCAAAATTTTTTTTTCTCAAAGTTGTAATGGTTATAATTATAAATGGTAACTGTCATATTTTTGACAATGAGAGTCTATATTTATATTTTAATTTTATTTTGTTATCAATTTACAAATAGATGACCTGCTTAAAGAGACCTTACTGAGTTGTCTGGAGCTTTTGGAGGCTCTGTGTCGAAGTTTGGACAAAGAGTATAAATATGGCCTTTGCAAATACTGGAAACACCTTGCTGAACATTTCGGCATCTCAGAACAAGAGTACCAGAGGTTTGAATTTCAACCAGTCTTCAGTCCTACCGAGCTGATGTTTGAATATTTGCAAACTGCTGACCCAGATGTCACAATTGGTTGTCTCAAAGTTGGGCTAAGGAAAATTGAGAGGCATGATGTTATCAACTTGCTTGTACAACATGAAAAATGTGGGTTTGTTTGAAGTGGCTAGTTGAATAAAGTATACCATAAATAACAACTTATAACATTTATTTTCTTTAATTTAATACTTTTATTGAGAGAGCAAATTAACATAATTATTGTTTATTATTTATAACTTGATAAACTTAATTTATTTACATACCCATCCTGAGGTGGTGACCCATGACAAATATATTTTTAGTTAAACATCTTGATTGTCTCTAGTAGCTAATTTTTGTAGATCAATATTTATTGGGTTTTACCATTCTCATTACATGTATATCATAGATTTAATTCATTTGACAATCTATCACATCTTTTTTTTCAGGTGATCCATTGGCACTGAATGATAAAACATTGGTTTCCAGCCTGTTCGACACTGATCCTGATATCATTGGTGAACTTGCCTACCTGTTAGATATTCAGAAATCTGGAGTTAAAAAATGGTCAGATTTGGCTCCTAAATTGAACATACCAAGAAGAACTTTCAGGATGTTTGAAAATTGCACTGCTGGCAATCCAACAGAGAGGGTGTTTGAAATTGTAACAGTTCAAAGCCCCAAATTAACCATTGGTGAATTGATCAATCATCTGAAAGCTTTGAAAAGACATGATGTGATCAAAGCAATTGAAAAGAGCACCAAGGGTAAGTTCTGAATGGAGCAAATTTGAAGTTAATATGTCAAATGTAAAACAGCAGTAATGCTTTGCTTTTGCTTTACTTCACTGTGTGACTGGCTCAGAAAACTCCCACCACTTTCTCAGGTAATCAGATTCAAAACCCAAACCAATCACAACTTGTTCTCTTGTGTCTACCCTGCTTAGGCAATTTGCTCTGAGTTCTCATTGGCTTCTTTAGATTTTGTTTTTATATACCTTTAACACTTTCAATCCCAAGATCTCACTAGTAATTCCCCTTACTGTCTGCCATACAATTTGTATGATGTTAGTTTGGAAAATTTGATTTTTCTCTTTACCCTCATCACTTTTCATGTGTCTGCTAAAGGGCTGTATAATAACTGGAAAATGCAAGGGTTGGACAGTTTTGAATTTAGTGTGTTGTTTCAATATTATTGTTGTTAACTTATTCACTTTTGAAATTTTTGTTACTTAGTTAGAGTGATGTGGGATTTGTGTTTATTTCTATTAATAATTTTAAGGCGATCGTGTTGATTATTGTTGTCCTTGTAGTTAAAGAAAGTTCTGTGATAAAAGAGTTGGTTGCAGATGTTGAAGTCATGGAGGAGGTGTGTGACTTACTCAATCAGATAAATCGCACTACCACAGTCTCTGGATTGAGAAATCTTGGAAACCGATTAAAGATTAAGAAAGAAATTTTGGATGATCTTTTACCCTCTATGGAGGTAAACCAAAGTCCCACAGAGGCATTGATTCGTCGTCTTGGAGGTTCCAATCCAAGTCTAACCCTTGTAGATTTTATATGGGCACTACATGAAATTAGCCGACCTGATGTCATTGTGTTATTGGATGAATACCTTCCAGGTATGGAATTTTGGTGATGTGGATATTATCGATATGGTTGAATTAAATAGGAAGCAAATTATAGCATGATTATATTCTATGTTTTGCACATTGTACTGTGATCATTTTGATGTCTGTTTTTGTTTGCCTGTTTCTAAAAACAAATCAAAACTAATGAATCAAAGACTCTATGCTCTGGAACATTGGAAGATCAGCATATGAGTTTACTGCAATGAAGGAATCTGCCAAGGACCTTCACCCTTTGACCTTTAAGAGTGACTAGAATCTAATTTCTCCTTACAATATCATCCCCAGAAATCACACTTTAAGGTCACAAAAATAAAGGAAATGATCAACATCTAAAGAAGTTCTTGATTGTGAAACAAATTCTCCTTGAAAGCCCCTCAGGAACTATTTTGAGAACAGTATGAAGAATATGTATACTGAGGTTAGGGCTTAAAGGGCTAATAATCTGATAAAAATGACATTACCCAGGATAGAATGTCTGCAATTCCCTAAGGTTAGTTCATACCAACCAAGCTATGTCAGGCCGAGCTGAAAACCTGCAACTCAGGTGAAAAACATGACACTAATTAAATTAACTCAAGCCAGTCAAGAGCAAAATTGGCAGCTGTGCCTAAACTCATATACATAGTATCTGCAGGTTTGCAACACCAGATCCTTCATTCAAGGCCAAAAGCCACTTAAAACAGGCCCAAACCTGAGTTAAGTTTCAGTTATCTCATTTGCAGGTTCTTGACAGCTTAATTATCTTGTGTATAAAGTAAGGACAAGCAATGGAGCTTGACGGAGTATTGGTTAAGTTTGTAGGAGAAGGCACTTAAAAGAATGCTTAATACCACACGTAATAGGCCAAAGATTGTCAATATGCAAACAGACCCACCACTGCCACCAGCTAGTTGTGAGGTAGTCAGTTTGATAGGCCATCATTCTAGGCTTGGCATGACAGGCTTCCAATCTTATTTCTATAATTAGTTTTGAAAAGATCAACAGAATCAAGTCCTCACAAAAGCATTTACAATTAAAAAGAAGATTTTAGAATCACATTTGTAGGGATGGTTGAATTTTAAAGGTCTCATATGTTTTCCTTTCCTAGCTGGATGTGTTCAAAGGCTTTTGATCTCATCTTGTAACTGTGAGATATGCCAGCAAGTGTTGCCAAGACAAAGTGGAGAAAGTTAGAGACAGTTCGAAGTGTGTATCGATGGACGAAACATTACGGCATTTTTGGCTTCTTCAGAATGGTGACTTATGATCAACCACCATGGTTATTCTCCTGAAGCTGGGCAGGCAGAGGTTGATAATAAACTAAGTTCCTTGGAGCAATTTCAATCCAGTATCTAGTTTTTAGACATTTGAGTTGGTTGAGTATGCAGATTATTTTGTTATTTAATAGGAGTAATACTCTCACTGTGATAAAGTCTTATTCCAAGAAACAAAACCCAAATGGAGATGTTATACATTTTTGATTAGCTTTTAGCCATAGAAATGATCTTTTATTATTAATATAGTGAAAATTAATTTTAATAAATAAGAAGAAATAACTCATATTACATCTACTATAGTAACAAAACTTTTAAATTGTTGCCGGGCATTGGGGGTGCTGAAGAGTTGTGGTGGAAACTGAGGTTTTTTTCCTTTTTAAAACTATAAAAATGAATTTTTTATTATAACCATCTGAACAAGATTACCAAAAGGCAAGGAAAAGAAAAGGAAAAATGAACTTTGTATCTCTTTCTGGCACCCTGTGGTAGAGTGAAATGTAACAATATCTAAAGCAAGCTAGGTAGTCATGCCATTAGTAGTCATTGAGTTTGGCAAAGGATTGTAAACTTATTTGTGGTAGAAAAATGTGATTAAGCACAGCTGGATTAGGTTGTGTAGTCAGGCCTGTCAGACCATACTTGACTACTTGATTATTCCACAATTTAAGGTTACTTCCCACCTTTGTGGGTGTCCTTTGGGAAAAAATTCATATGCGCACTAGTTTCACTAAAACCCTAGCAAACTACACATCACAAGAGAGCTTAATAACTGCAGTTTACAATAAAAATATCATTTACGTGACTTTTCTTTTCTTTATTTATCTTTATTCCTGGAATGTTTTGGCAAAATTTGACAAAAATCGGTCAAATTTATAAAACCCTATAAATGTGGTTGTATTCCTCCCAAAATCAAATGTAAGATTTTAGCTCATACAGGCTTGCAAATAACTTGCACCATGGCAGGAGATTATCTTGCCTCCTGAAACCACAAACCAATGGGACAATGGTACCTTCTGGCATTAATGATGATGGATTAAGATTTCCTGGGAAAAGTAACCCACTGCAGACACCTTTTCTTTATATCTTGATTGCACTTACAGAAATTCAGACTACCCAGATAGTCAGCCTAAAACCATTTGCCTCTTGGTACTTCTGCATTCATGCTGGTTGTAGGAGTTTAAAAAGTGAAAGACTTGAACACTGCATTCAGTAATTACTGGGTTGACTGATTTAAAAAATGAATATTAAAAACTGTATTAAAAAGAGTCATTTGTAACTTCACATCAGCTTTGAACTCCATGTATTTGAAAAGCCTTTCAAATGGTTTTTGTCTTTGTGGCCATGGTTTCAGTAGGAGCACTGAATGTATAAAATTGCAGTTAACAAGCAGAAATCAACTGTATAGCTACATAATATATTTTTTATCCCTCAATTCTAAAATATGTAAGGCACCATTTTATGCAAGTGTTTTATTACAAACATTTAAGTAAAAAATACAAATTTAAGACTTATTCCATTTAAATACTTTTAAAAAGTAGTTCATGGCTGGTCTGACACAAACTTGTCACATCTTTCCTTTTGGAGTTGTATAACCTTTAAACCCCTCAGAGTAACTGGCTTCTAATTTTTCCTTACAGTATCACCATTGAGTCAAATGTAATGGTCAAAAGAATAATGGACATGATCACCAACTTAAAAAGATCTTGATAATTAAACACATACTTGTCATCAAAGGAAACATAGAGCTAGGGATCACTGAGGAGATATAAATACCTAATTAAATGCATTAGGGTGTAAAAGGTTATTAAAGACATGTTGAGCCTCCCTCTCTAAGTCAAGATGTTTGCAGTCTGGCCTTCACTGTGTTTTATATGCCTAACTGAACTTGTAAAGAAATTTGTTGGAGAGTACTTTGAAAAGATTACCTCTAGTCTACTAAATATGGCAATCTAACTTAGCTTAGCTTTTAAAAAGAGCTCTACTCTTCATTACTAAAAGGATGTGGTTCCAAAAAAAATACTTAACCTCTTCATAAAAAAATACCCCATCCTGTATCCAATGAGACAAGCCTTTGGGACAGGTTTGAAAAAGTTTTCATAGAGCTAAGTGTTGAGAAGAATGGCGTGGTTTAAAGTACTCCCTAATTTCTCTCACTAAGTCATTTCTCTTTACACGTTCAAGAGCATTACAAAGCTGACCCACTGTTAGTTTAGTCTTGTTCACAACCAGCCATTCAAAGAACTGTTCAGCAGGACTCTTAAGCTTCTCTGTATCAAAATCTTTGTAGATTTTGCGAGGGATATCATAAGCAAATGCTAGGTACTTCCAGTCTTTTTTCTTGTTCAAACAAATGTAAAATTCATCTAGATCAATGTCTAAATTAATCACGTCTTCCAACAGTTTGCAATTGCCATCATCTCCTGTAAACAAATAAAATTACTTAAAGTATGCTGGCCAAAAGAACATTATGACAAAAACTTGCACTAAATCCTATGCATTTTGTTCCACATTTAGGACACCAGTTTATTTGTTTTTATTTTAGTAGGGGTTTAGTCTTAATGCACACTGATTCCCCCCCCTAAATTTTAATTCTTTTCTAATCACAGAAAAATTAACTCACACTCATCACTAAATCTTTTAAAATTTTTTCTTTTTTTTTAACTGAAATGCCAAAACGGTTGCCCAGCAGAATTCTGCATAGGGAAACAATCGAGAGCAAATTCTTTTAAATTCAGAGCAAATTACTTAATTTTTTTCAAATTTTATGAACAGTCTAAAATTTTTGCAATGTTCATGTTGAAACAAATTAACTCCCATTCTTCTGAAATAAAAAGCCCACTTTTCAGTTATTCTAATGTGTGTTATTAATCTGGGTGCCATTAACTGAAACTGACATTAAGTTTCCAATTCAAAAGTACCTAGTAATAAAAATAATAAATCAGATGTTAAATTATTTATTGAAAAAACTGATTCATAAAAACCAATTCACCTTTGAGGAAAGGTTCTAATTTGCATAGGACATCAGCTCTTCCCTTCAAATTTTGCTTTACTTTTTGGTAAAGATTTTCCACTGTGAGATCTTTCTGTTCTGAAATGAGGTATTCCATCAAGTTCTTTGCTGGATTATGCGGAAAACAATATTCAATTGTATTCAGAGTTACAGATTTGATACCAAAATAAATGCCTAAATGCTTCCAGTTGCAGTTAACTCGTGATGACTGATCATCCAGCTTCGTGATGATTTTGGTAACCAGATCACTGTTGGAATTGGACACCAAGAAGTCATTTAATGTTTGTATAGAAATTCCATCATCTGTTTCTTAAAAAAAAAGGAAAAGGAAAAAAAAAGGATTTATTAGCTGGGAATATATTAATATTTGCTCATTTAAAAATTGACACCTCGAGACCTTAAAGACCCGGCCTGTGAAAGTGTGGTACTTGAAAACTCCTTGTGAGACTTTTCCTTTGAGAAGTAATATTCATTCATAGTTTATGACAAGAGTAAAATATGTACCTGATGAAATGACTGATTTAATTTCCATTCAATCTAATGTATCCTTCAGTTGTTGTATTGATTGATCCATCAATTTTTATATTTGGCAGGATAAAAATTAAGACTTTGGCATTTAAAACCCAAGAATACTTTGATTTCTGACCACAGGTAAAATAAACTGATTGAGAGTGTTTTCAAATTTAAGCTGAGTTTTCCATGAAAAATGCTATTATACAGGAGGAAAAAAAATTGTCTTCTAAGGTGGAATAGAGAATTTTTTTCCATGATGTTCATGTCGTTGCAAAAGTGAGTGACCCACGTTTGAAAAAACTTAACACTTACAAAATCAAGTCACATTATAGCAATTCCATGCAATAGCACTGCTATACACCATGCAGAGAACGATTGTCTACCACAACAAAACGTCCCTTGAACATTATGAAATATGCTTAAACATGAATTTAAAGAAATTGATAAGTTTATTTAGATTAAGCAAAAGTTGACTATGCCAGGATTATTAATCAGTCCATTAATTTAGATCCAGTCCAAGTCAGTCTAATTCAATATCAACAGATGCAAAAATGATTTAACATACCCAAATATGCAGCTTCAATCATACCAGCAACATCGTTTCGCCCCATTTTATCATCTCTCAGTGCTTTAACCAGTTTTGCTATAGTAACAACTCCCCCGTCATCATACACATGCCCAGCCAGGACCTCAAAGAGCTGTAGAGTTTGGCTGTAGTTTTTGGGCAATTTACACTTGAGCCGAGTCCAAAAGGGAGCATTCACTTCTGTACTGCAAGCCAGATGTTCCCAGTTTGCTATACAAGGGTTGGCTGTGTTACCAAGTCCACGAATTAACTTGTCTAAAAGGCCCTTACATTTGCATTCTTGTAGTATTTCTGAAACTAATAACCAGGCAGTTACATTTTGAAATTCAATTTAAAGCAACATCTAAAACAAAAAGATATTTATGACATTAGGACACAACACACCAAGATGTTGATTAACAGTATAGTCTCATTGAAATGAGGCTAAAATTTTGAGTTGCACCATTTGTTATACCCGAAATAATCCCCTCATGTTTTAGAGTAGAACATACTAGATTGATAACATGGCTAAAAACAAAATAATATATATCACTAACAGACATTTTCAAGTTAGAAGGTAGCTGTCTTGATGAATTTCCATCTGTACAAAATAAAAATGTTTCCATCACCATTGTGATTGCTAATTACTTACCAAAACAATTTTCATAGTTTTCACTTGCTTCCCCCTGTGGAGGTGATTCAACTTGCAAGGAGTCTTCAGTATTTGTGCTTTCTATTCCCTGTTGAAGTGAGGCTACTCCTTCACAACCAGCTCTAGTGATAGCACCAGTAGAAGTGACAGCAACAGTGTCGGTGTTGAGGGTAGAAGAGACACCTGTAATGGTGGTAGTGCCAATAGTAGCAGCACTAACAGCAACATGGTCAGGTGCAGCAGTAACAGTGACAGTGATAGGAGCAGTGGCATCCCTAATGCCAGCTACAACAGCAGACTCAGGAGTGAGGGTGGGTGCTACAGTCACTGTGGGAGTGATAGCAGCAGCAGACATGGATGTTAGGGCTGGTGGTGCAGTCTCTATGGCAGTGGTACCCTCCAATGCTACATTTCACTTTTTTTTTATTCTTTCTATAGTGGACACTTAAGTACTTCATCCAAAATTCTGAGTCTGACCCACATATTAGGTGTGAAGATGAAAATTTCCTGCTTGTGGCTAGATCTTTTTCTGGTGCATGAGGCCACTTTAGAAACTTACTGTTTGCATAGTTACATATCATTTCATAAGTTTAGAGACAAAACAATTTTTTCCCTCTTGTACCCTGCTATTGGGACTCTCGCTATTACTGACACTAAATCTCCCCCCTAAGGATTCAACTGTAATTAGTCCAAAAAATCTGCCAATTTCTGTTCCTGAAGGGCTATAATCCATGGTCTTTTAAACTGGCAGGGCACAAAATCTTGAAATTTCCAGCTTTCCCATGACTTTACACTGAGAAAAGATATATAATGTGGTTAATTACAAGCTGAGGGAAACTCTAAGTATCATCTTTGGGATAACTGAAGCATTGATCATTGTCCCACTTTCAGTCTTTTGATGCTTTTTCCACCAGACACTGACAAATTGTTATATTTCAGTGGATTGTTTGGTTATTATACCTCTATCTATATCTCTTGTATTATCTTTAAGTATCTGCTTCTCAATCTCTAAATCCAAAAGTTACTGCAGTGTTAGAAAACTAATTACATGCATTGGTATCATTAACGTAAACATCTTAGAAAGATTAAATTTGAATAAATTTACCTCCTCCTAGGGAAGTTGCATTTGTTGTTCGAGAACCATCTTGGCAAGTATCTACAAAGTAACATACAAATTATAGTAACTTTTTAGTATTTATGATGAAACAAATTTAATGTAACAAATTGAAATTATTTCCTAAAGTCAAATAGCGTGATGTTCCATTAAAAAGAAAAACAACAACAACAAAGACTTAGATGGGGATTATCTAGTACGAAATCTTTGCATATCTTAACATTAAGGATAACGGATCGATCTTAACATTAGAAGTGAGACAACGTGAACATCCAAGAGTAGGTACATCGTAGGTAAGGCTGAGAATGTGACGAACGTATCTTACATTGAACATACTTATAGGAATGAGAGGGAAAAAGACAGGACATATAGATCCGTCGTCTGCAAAATCAAGGCATCCCGCCGCTTTAAATCTTTTGTCTTTGTTTTCTTGATGCATCAAGATCACACCACCATCTGGCATACGGTTTTTGTTGCGAATGAGTTCTGAGCGTGTCGTTAAAACATTTTGGTATTCTATGACTTCGAAAGTAATCTTGTCAGAGTTTTGTTCAGTTCTCCGCTGAATTTTCAGGTCTATCGCATCAAAAGATTTCTCTTTGTCCTCCACTAAAACACACAATAAATCAGTCGATGCAATTTGATTCTCGTTGGTCAACTCGAAAGGTCGATATGTAAATATGCTCTCCTTCTTCTTATAGCATTTACTGGGAGGCTCTTTTAACCGAATGAACAACAAGTTATAAGCTCGAAAGGCTTCCTGTAGATCTGCGATTTTGCGTAGTGGAACCGTCTTCACCTTTGAATTCAACTTTTTAAACTCCAAATAATAACTTTGCGAGGAATCTTTAGCATCGATACTTTGAGTGGCTGTTATGAGACAATATTTAAAGCTACTGGTTGGGTTAGGAATGATCAAATCCTTAACAAGGAAGCCAAAGCCTAGAGTTTCATCTGGCCTCCGACCGATTCCTTTCCTTCTAATTCGACACACTCCCAGCAGCCATTGGTCTTCTTTCCTCTCTTCATTCCGCACATCTGTGTATGCCATTCCATTCATAGTTGACTCTTTTGCCCGTTCGCCCTTTCTTCCGCCTTCACTTGAGTAGCCGACCGACCACAGTGCATTTCGCGTACGATTCATCCATGCAGGGTCAATTCCAATCTGTACAAAATATAGGTCCTCGATGCGTACATGCGGCTAACGAGCTGTACCGGTCATTCACTGATTTGTTGTTATAGAGTAAAAAATGGTCCAAAAAATGGTCCAGTCCATATTTTACCCTATGCCTTTCTTTAATGTATTTCAGAAACCACAGGTTTTGAATTTTGAAATCTATCGGTGGTTTCGCTTCACGCTCGTTAGGCGGATGTTACTAAAAGCGGTGTGGCGATAGGTTTTCGCGCACTAAACTAGACTTCGCGGGAAACGTACAATAACGGGGGCAAAATAGCTTGGTAGAGACCACTCGGCTTGTGAGAACGGAAACTCGTCACGATTTCCTGTTACACGGATATTTGCTTCAAGCGAGATTATACGGACGTCAAGGATTGACACTATTTGGTTCAACAATATTTTTATTCGCAGAGCACTCTAACATACATCATGCCAGAGTCAAAGCTAATCTTGTAATTGAAAATGCTGTACAATGTACTTGCTTAAGAACTAAGTCACACAAATCAAAATATTTGGATAAATATTCAAAGAAGCGGAAAATGTCTCTTTGAAGTCAAACGAAAACTATTTAAACATTTCATCTGTCAAAATTAAGGAAGAGGATGCAATAGACTCCAGGCCATTAAAAATAGGAAACTTAAGTGAGAATTCACAGCTCTGATATTGAAAATAAACCTATCTCAATTACAGTAGACCAGCTTGGGAAATCAAAGTATAAAAGCAATTAAAAAATTCCTGCTTATCCATGCGAGGTTGACGTTAACATCAGAAAACAGCAACGTGGAAAATTATGGTATGAAAGAAATTAAATTTTCGAGTACAAACTCTAAAGACCATTAACACTTATATTTACCTAAAATTTTACCAGTAATGAACAACGAAAGTACGGACATGCAGGTGTACAATGAAAGCAAGTAAAAAGCAAAATCTCATAGAAAAGGTTGTGATTATTCATCGTGGTGAATAACAATAAAAGTTTGTCTCACGATGTAGTCACGTGTGATGTAAACCGCCATCAAGTAAAATCTATTCCAAAAACTACTGTGGCTTTTATATATATATATATATTTTTTTTAACTTACTAGAAGGAAAACCCGAATGAACCCGAATATTTTAAATATGAAAGTATACGAATACATATGGAAAATTAGCGAATATATATGCCCAAAAAACCACAAAAACCCTGAGTATAATATTTTATGATATGTGTCAACGAATAAATTTTTCGGCCATGATTTATACAATGGTAACAACAATTTGACTAGAGCAATTCGTTCATCATTCTTTATAGCTCAACCAGTTGAGTCAAAGAATGAACAGATTACAAGAACTAAATTGAAACTTGGAAGATACAACTTAAATTGAAGCAAAACTTGAACTATACCACCGAAGAAATACTAAACATTGTCCAAAACTAAAACGCATGAATTGTTCCCCCAACAGCGAGAATAGGGAATTGGAAATGGGAAGAAAAATGGGAAAATTGTTGTAAATTTACTTTAATTATGAAGAACATGTATTTTTCATCGATATCCACGTTCTCTTTTAAAAAAGTCCAGGGGCAAAAGTCAAGGAACGAAATGAATTGATGACCGAGGAAGGAAGTAAGCCTCGAGGAACAGATAATATCCAAGGAAAAATATGCGAGCATATTTTCGCGCATAACAGAGGCTATCGTGTTCAAATATTTTGCAACGCGAGTAAAAATTGTTTACGAAAAGCTTACTGTTTTCTACGTGGGATGTTTTCTGTTGAGTATTCTCTGGTACGACTTTATGAATAAATAAACATTCCTTTCTTCTGTAACAACCATAAAACGCTCTTCCATCATGAATTTAATTATAAACGAAGACTAATCGTATAGGACGTAAGGTTTGAAAACTGGGGAGCATCGCTTGGGTGATATCCCAATTTATTACACCCATTTTGAAATCACTGGTGGTCCATGTAATGTGATTGGCTCTAATTGGTGCAATTTATTCATGAATCGCACCATTTTTGCTTTAAATCACATCTTTTTTCCAGCCAATGAGCAGGCCACACTAAAAACAAAACAACCAATCAGATTTCAAGGCTTGTTTAAAGTAACCAATCAAATTGCAGGAAAATGATAGACAAAGAGTATCATATGGCAAATTTTGCTACTTTTGTTTCCAAAACTCTTACTATTTCCCCCCCAAAAATGGATGAATTTAATTTCAATCCGGCTCAGTACTGCATCAACAAAATATTTGAAGTGACCTAGTCCTGTATTTGGGCGATTTCAAAATGGATGTAATAAAGTGGTAATTGAACCTCGTGTCGTGAAATTTTTGTCTGAAATCATACTTGTGATTTCAAATCAAACTCGCGCTGCGCGCTTGATCGATTTTGAAATCACGCATATGATTTCAGCCCAAATTGCACTCCACTTAGTTCAATTACCATTATATATCCCAGTTTTAGCTGGGGAGTATTTGTTAACGTGATGCGTTTAAACCAGTCGCGCGCGGGCAAAAATATTTGATGGATTATAATCGAGGATATACTCCAATTGATATTTCCTAATTTTCAAGCGATACGTCCATGACGGTAAGTCTTAGTTTAAGATTAATTTAAGGTGAGAGAGCGTTTTGTGGTTTTTGAAAAAGAGGGAATAGGTTTTTATGTTCATAAAATCGTACCATATCCAGAGAATACTGAAAAGTGAATATCCCACGCAGTGAACGGTTAACTGTTCGTAAACACTTTTTTCCCGTAATTTGCAAATATATGAAGGATAATAAACAAAATAACCTCCATTTTGGCCGGAAATATGCTCGTTCGTTCGCACAGACAAGATTACTCAGGTTTGCACGAAAATAATTGCACGGAGTTAGAAAGTAAATATCAATAATTAATTGTTAAACGTTTGTTAGGAGTTGTATAAATTTAAGTCTCTGAAACTGTTTCGAAACATACCCTGAACCGCAGTTTAATAAAGAGCAGTTAATATTGTAGAGCTATATTTACAAGCAAGAAAACAAGGAAATTCCGCGGTTACTTTCGAAAAATAAAATTTCACAATGTCAATCACTTCTTCCTTTATCGTCAGTTTTTAAGATTGAACGTTTTTGAAAGAAAGATGGATATCGGAAATCGGGCTTCATCTTTATATTTTATCAGTAAAGGTGCGGTTATCGAAAACGCGAGCCTCAAACATGCATTGACCAGGGAGGTTAAATTTCGTCAATTTCGGTCACGAAGAACAATGAAAGAAAACTTTGCCACAAGGTAACGAGAGCAAAACAAAGGGCCGTCAGAACGAATTCTAGAATCCTGACTGAAAATCCGGACATCTAAGCACATGCTAATTATTTTTCGTGTAATTCGTATTTATTCATTTTGTTGTTTATTTTTTTCAGACCTCCTCGTAAGTGTTTTTTAACTTTATTAGCGTCTTTCTTCGTCAGTTACACGAGCGCGTTTCTCATACCGAAAGTTATTTCGCAGTCCTCTTGTATTTAAAGCCTGTATTTTTACGCTAACCTTTTTTAAAGTCAGTTTACCTAAAGTCGTGCTTAGCGCAGTTCTTTGTTTTAGAGACTGATTTTGCAGTTATATATTGGGCGCTATCAATGTAAGGTTTTTTCCGTTTCGCTTCGTTTGTATTCATTTTTCTTTTGTAATTTGTTTATCTTAATTAGTTAACTTAGCTCTTATTTATATTTTGAATTTCAACCTGCCACTACTAATGCAATGTAATAAACAGTATTTTTTCGATTTGGAAAGATAACTTTTTTTTTCCGTTACACGGACATCCATTCGGGTATTTTATGGCTAGATGCTGGCTAGGTGGGGCGTTACACCATTTGTGAAAGCCGCATAAAAAATTAATGTAGCGTTTATTCAATCTGCAAGATTTTCGTACAAAACTATGAGTATCTATAAGTGACACCTATTCTGCTTGGTAAAGAAGCATTTTGTGGTCGTTTCTATTAAGTCTCTCTCTTACTACTTGTGAGGATATTCAACACATTCGCGAATTTCTTTTCCCAATTTATCTTAATACGCGGAGATCGGTACTCCACCAAAACCATCACTCACCCGTGGTATCTGCGTGTAGTTCTTGTCAGTTACTGGTAGCGACCATTGTTTTTTGGAAGGGAGTGCACATGATGAAAAGACAAAAACTGTTTTCAGACCAAATAATATCCTCAGCAGAGGGAAGTATCCACCAAAAGAACATTTGCTAGCATGGACCTAAGCTGACGTTTCGAGCAATAGCCTTTTGTCAGAGCAAAACACTAACGAAGGGCTAACGTTTGAAACGTCAGCTTTAGAAACTCTTAACGTTGGCCAATTTACATCAAATTTGCTTTTAATATACAATTCTGTGGATGAAAACAAATTTATCTTGTAACACCCCCTACAACGCATCACCACAGTTTCTTTAGAAACTAACCCCCCTAATAAATGTAAGGGTGTGAAGAACAGTTGGGAAACTATTTATTCTGCAGATCTTTTAATGACTTTGCGAGAAGTTTGGTTGGCTTTGCCTCAAATCTAGTCCGCTATAAGGGAAATACATGTTTCAATAGATTAATAAACTGAGTGACCCCTCATTATGCTTGTTTGCTCTTTTTTAGGGTTTTCGCCAAGATCTTGGAAGGTTTCCTCGTTCCGTCCCAACAAATTTGGATAGAATTCCCTATCCACTTTCTATAGTTTGACTAGTTAGTCTCATTAACGTGGCCTAAGTTAAGTTAGACGTAAGGAACCATTTTAATTCTGAAGGAGGGACGAGCATAAAACATCTTGTGCTTTTGACAAAATATAATTTTTATTTGAAATCAATCTGTCGTCCACTACATCGTCAAAGGTAAACTTTCTTAGGTTTTACGAACTAGCCCAACAAACTCGTTCCCATGGTTATCCCATCATGCTCCGACGACTAGTGCATCGGCCATAAGAGTGGTGTAAGTAGGCCAAAAAAGCCAGCCCTTCCTAGGGTAGGAACGCAGATATTTGTTCACTTTGTCAATCTTTTCATTTTCATATTCTTTTGTAAGAAATTTGTCTCATCACTCAAATGGAAACTGTACCATCTCGTCCACAAAAATGTTAGTTCTAAACGACAGGAATGAAATGGGTTTGCCATCTCAGATAGTTAAGACTTTATTCTGTTTAAAACTTATCTTTCTTTGCATACAAAACTCTTGTTAAAGTTCTTTTGCGACTTTGATCCCAAGGATAACAGAATTCGTTGCTTCTAGTAAGTCACAGTTCTTTCCATTAAGATACGTTTGCCATTGCATTTGACGGAAAATTAAAAAAATAAATCAAAACACTAGCTACTTCATTTTTCAATGTGGGATAAAGTTAGATGATCCAATAGTCATGCGTTTCACGCATTTAACTTTCGGCCTTATCGTTATTCTGAAGAAGCCTCAGTTTTCTGTTTTGTATTTATAGAGCCAAAAATACTCCTTCCTTCACTGAATGAAAACCACCCGTCGTAACATTCTAACTTTCTTAGGGTCTCGTAACCTTGTTCCGAAGGTTAACCCCGTCTTATTCGATTGGATGTGATTTCAAGGAAATCAGGTTAATCTCAGTTTCTTTCGATGTTCGAGTAGTCGTTTTTCGCACTTGCACATTATTTTCTCTCAGCCTTCAATCCATCACAGCAGATGAAGTAGTTCTGTCTCCTTCCTCCACGTTGCTTTTCCACTTGAAAGCCATGTGGGCTCTTGACTGGTTCACAAAATAACTTTGATCCGTCCATAGAGCTTAGTTCCCAGCGGGACGCTGTTCAAAGTAATTCCTTAAGTCTCTAACTACATCATTGCGCCCGATGCTTTCCAGAGCATCACAAAGCTGACCTACTTTTAGATCACTCTTAGATGTAGAGATCCAATCTAACAACTCTTTAGTAGGACTCTTGGGCTGCTGTGGGTTAAAATGCGTGTACGTGTCCCTGGGAACCTGCAGTGCGTTGGCCAGATGCCTCCAGTTCTTCAGTGCTTTGTTTTGTGAGTTTAGATCAACACAGATGCTCATCATTTCATTCGAATCTAACTTTATCCCATCCCATAAAGGTTTTTCAGGACCTTCTGTTGTAAGAAAAAAATACTCCCTTTATTAGTTTTGAATATTTTACCTCAGGGGTACTCAGACATATCAAAAGTAACAGAGAAGTAATGGTGGAGATTATCATACCTTTTTAACTCAAAGGCATGGAATTTTGTTACTTTCAAAATTTTGCATAGACCCTATCATGTCTAAAGACACAGAGAGAAGACTTCTGAAAAGGTTCTCAAGATGCCCAAAGGCTTCTCCAAAAGTTTCCCTCAACTTTATCTCTGATGCTCTTCGTTCTAAAATCTGGTGTTTTAGAAAAAGGTTTAACCCTTCACATAGACTTAGGATTAGGCTTAGAAATAATATCAATTTGGAAAATTCTAGTCACAGTCAAGGCTGTAATTACCAAACTTTTTTTTTCTGCTAAAAAACAAAAATATATCTGCAGGTGGGAGCTCGGGTAAGTTTAAAGTTCTCATTCCAAAGATGTGGAGGGCATATTCTCTCTGGGGTGAAAAGTCAAGTGTCGATTTTTACCATTATGGCAATATCAATTAACACAACAAATTGGCTTGGATTAGGGTTTGTTCCCAGCTCAGTTTAATAGCTTATGGTCAGTATCAAAGAATTTATTTTTTGGGGGGTCAATGTTATTCCAGTGACCCACGATTTAGTTCCAAAATATGAATATATACAAACCTACCGTCAAAAACAGGTTTCAACTTTTTTAGGACATCTCTTCGCTTTATTTCCTCTACTTTTGCATAGAACGTTCTCACTGTGAGACCTGGTTGTTTGGCGTGAAGATATTCCATTAATGCTTCAGTTGGATTAGACTCACCACATAATTCAATTTCTTTTATTTTTTCACCAGAAAGTTGAAATTGCCTGCCAAGGTCCATCCAACACGAATTAACTCGAGATCTCTCATCCAGTTTTGTAGTTATCTTTTCAATCAAATCATTGTTGGCATTGGAAGCAACAAAGTCACTTAACTTTGTTTGTGAAGCACATGTAGCATCTGTAGCATCTGTAGCATCTAATGAAAAGGCAATGTCACGACAGTCATTGACCCATTAATTTCTTAAGACCATTGATACTTCAAAACAAAATTACTTTCACTTTTTCTCAGTCAAACACCAACATCTAAACCATGAAATTCTAGCTTTTTAAATTTCCTTTCCCCTGCAGGTTAAAAAAAATTGGGATCCATTGCAGTGTTTTTCTTTTCAGGCAGTAACTGGTAAAAATTATTACCTGCAGTATCTCTTAGAACCACTCAAAATCATTAACAATTCTTAAGTACATAATAAGTTTCACATACAAAGTAAAAATCAGAGATGTTCGAAAGTCAAATTCCCAATGAAACCAATGAGAACATTTTAGAGTCAAGCAATTCCAAAAACTTTTATCTTTCCCACTCTTATTAGACCCAAATGCAAAACTTTTCATGCACCTATAGATATTCAAGGAATTAGGTTCCACTCAGGAAAAAAGTTAGCATCTGAATAGGACCTTGGATGTTCAAATACAAATGATAAAATAAAAGTACAATGATAAAACATACCTGGATAAACTTCTTTGATCATTTTAACAACATCATTTCTCCTTATATTCTTCAATGCTGTTATTAAATCCTGCACACTTTTATCTTCTTTTTCAACAGCCAGGAAGTCAATAAGTGTGCGAGTACAACTGCCCCTACTGATAAGTTTACATCTGAGCCGGGTCTCCAGAGGTGCATTCACTTGTTGTGTGCAAGCCAGATGTTCCCAGTTACGTATGCAACGATGCACTGTGTGGTCAAGTTTGCACACTAACATGTCTTCAAGGAATTTATCTTTTTGTATTTCCTCTGAAACTATTAGCAAGAGAATGAAATGAAGAAAATGTTAAATCATGACATGACCACCCAACATAACTGTCATGAGCTTGCAGGGTTACATAAATATAACCCTTCTTATAATTATTGATTTCATTAGACCCGCCAAAGCCTTACAAAACTTGACCCTTTCACTCCCAATATCTAAATACATATTCTATGCACTGTTCCCTATATGTTGCCTATGATTCAAGTTCTAAGGATTTGATGTTAAATCAAGCAATATCTTGTTGTCTATATTTTTCCTTCTTCTTTTTACCTTTCTGATGCCTCTTGTATGAAAGGGTGGATAACACTATCTGATGAATAAATCTCTATCCAGTGGATAGCACAGTACATTTTTTCCTAACTTTGGTCCAACGAATATCAATTTAACTGTTGGATAACATTATCTGCCCTCTGCACAACTGGACCCTGCTTGAAAATGTATGGATGTTGTACAAAGAACTTCTTTGTTGGTCACTCCCTGGAGTGAAAGGTTTAATCATGACTCGCCAACCATGACATTACATATTCTGTCATGTGAGGAGGTGAACAGAATAGAAATATGATTTTAGTTATATGAAATTCATATATTTGCACTGCGGTGAAGAAATGAAATTAAGAGATCCTCACACCTAAGAACACTACTGAAATCAGTAGTTGAAAATAGGACCTGAAAAAAATTCAGATAGGACCTGACAAAAAATATCTCTGTGATACCGGTGCAGAGGTCATGGGTTCAATTCCTGTACGGGCCTGAATTTTTTTCAGGTCCTATTTTCAACTACTAGTTCAATAATGTTCTTAGTTGCGAGGATCTCTTAATTTTATTCTAAAATCATATTTCTATTCTGTTCACCTCCTCACATAACAGGCTTAACCCTTTGACCCAAAACTGATTATCCTTTAACCCTTTAACTCCCAAAGTGACCAAGACAGAATTTCTCCTTACAATATCAGTACAATATCAAGCAGAAAAGAGATAAGAATAACGAAAACTATCAGTAAGGGCATTATAAGTTGATCCAATACCAAATTCTCCAAATTAACATTGCAAGAATAGTATGGCAGACAGTTAGGAGAACTACTGATTACTATTGTAGTATTTCTTCCTTCAATATTGCCCTTGAGTCAAACATTAAGGTCACATTAATCCAAATTTGTTTCAGAAACAATGAACAGCTCTTTCAAGATTGTTGGCCAAAGTCCCAAAAAGAGTAAAACAAGCATTTTTCATGGGTCATTCAGTTTATTTATCTATTGAAACATTTATTTCCCTCATAGTGGATGAAATTTTGATGTTGAGTCAACCAAACTTCTTGTAAATTCATAAAAGATATAGTTACTTGGAAATTTATGAACTTCAAGTGTAAAACTGTTTTTCTGAGGTAGCCAATAATCATGCCATTAAAAATAATGAATCAAATTAGTTATCAAGTTAGTTAATTAGTTATTAATTATCTATCAATAACTTACTATGAAGTTGTTCATATCTATTGCTCTGTGTGGCTGTCTCTTCATTTCTAAGGTCCTCCTCTCCTCTTTCAAGTGTTCTGTTTTGAGTGGGATCTGCAGTTTCTGTTTCTGGCCTCTCTTCCTGGATTGGAGGGGTAGTTAGGCTTGGTAAGCTGTTGTCCCTTTGGGCTACAACTCCTTCAAGAGGATTTTCAGGTTCTTCAATAGGAGCCCTTTCATCACCACCAACATTTCTACTACCAGCAGCCGCAGCACCACCAACATTTCTACTACCAGCAGCCGCAGCACCACCAACATTTCTACTACCAGCAGCCACAGCACCATCAACCTCACCATCACTAGAAGATGAAGCACCACCACCAACAGCAGCAGCCTCACCACTACCACGTACAATATTACACGAAGCAGCAGCACCACCCTCAGTCACACTACCAGAAGAAGCAGCATCAGCATCAACAGCAGCAGCCTCACCACCAGATACACTACCAGAAGAAGTAGCACCAGTAGCAGCATCAACAGCAGCACCACCAATAGTTATACTATCAGAAGAAGTATCACCAGCATCATGATCTGCAGTAGCACCACAACCAGGTACACAACCAGAAGTAGCAGCAGCACCACTAGATAAACTACAGGAAGAAGCAGCAACAGCACCACTAGATACACTACCAGAAGAAGTAGAAGCAGCATCAGCAGTACCATCAGCGCTTGGCTCTTGGCTATTGGGTGTGTTATCAAAAATAGTTTCTGCAGAAGGAACAATCCATTGGTTTTCTTGATCTGCAGGACCCACCTTTATTTTGGAGGTATCTCCATTCCTAGAACTGTCAAGAAGGTGTAAGTCTAGACCACAGGGTCCTTCAGATGCATAACTTAAGCTAAGAAAACTATCATCCGGTGATTTTGGATCAGACTGCACAGTTGAATCTAAACTGGCTTGAGCTTCCTCAACATCACCATCCTTCTGGCCATAAGATGACTTGTGATCTGACATTGACAGCTGTGAGCCACCTTTGCTCCTACTTTGTCCATTCTCTGCACCAGGTGGCAAAGTTTGTCCCTTGTTTTCCTGGTCAGATATTTTTTTAGATACAGAGCCATTCCCTTGCTTGAGTGCTTCTTTCACTGTCTTTTCTTTTTGGTCCCCTAAGTTCTGTGTAACATCATCCCCAGCCCTTTCTCCTAAAAAGAGACCAAATAAGTATATTGGTGCATGATGAGGCCTTCTATTGTACAACATCTATTCTTCTACCAAGGACTTTCCACCTTTGGCATGCCGAGCGACTGTGTGAAGTCAAGACTAGACTCTTCCGAGTATATACAATTATTGATGGGTTATGGCTCACAATGTTACCTTGAATAAGATGTGATCACAAGTTGTTTTTTTTTTTGGAACTTTACAAAAACTATCAGATTAATTAAGAAGGATACTGCATTTACTGATGTACACTCTTCTGCATTTGTAAAATATACCCGATGACTTAGCTAAGAATGAAGATTTAATCATCCCTGGAATAAAAATTCAGCTGCTCTCACTTTGTCAGGTTTCTGAGAATTCTTTGGGGTTAATCCCGGGTAATTATTGCAGTTTCATGGAGGATCATGTCGAAAAATTTACTTCCGGGACTAACTTTGCCAAAATCCGTGGAAATGTACAATCGGTATTATCGTTGGTTAAATCAAAAGTTTGCAATCACGGAGAACGATTACGTACGAGTGCTGTTGCATACGAAATAAAGTAAATTATCGATTATTGAATCGTAGGACTCGTTAGCTTAGATAAAAGTACCTCTTTGTTTCCTTCCGCGAAATGTATCCTTTATCCAATTTATAAGGGACGCCATGAAGAGTTCATTTGAGCGGCTGAACCAATGGAAGTCAGAAATCCCAAAACAGGAGCTTACTGATTAATAAAGGCAGTAAAGTCAAGTGTGATGTTTACCAACGCAGATTTAAGCTATTTCCAAGAGGAAATGGATAGACCTCTAATTCTCTCACAGCTCCTCTTGCGGAGCTGAAGAAAGAAGTAGTCATGTGATCGGGTGAACGGTCAAGCGGTTACCAAGCCAAAAGGAAAAGAAATATACTTAACATTTCTCGTTATCACTTTTTGATAGTTTTTACTGATCCTTCTCGTATTTGACTTCTCCTCGAGGCGTTTAAGATGTGATATATTTCGCGAGAGGAGGAAACGAAATGATGAGGTACGTTTTTAAGTCTTAAAATCGAGAATATTTCAAAAGACAAGGTAAAATTTGCCTACGAAGCACGAATTTCAGGTTGAAAGAATCCCCTAGTCAGTTGTGTTGTTACGTATATATCTCTGATTTCTGCCACAATGCAGAGCTTTTAACGATCTCTCCAGGCAAAAAAAAAACAAACAAAACTTCTTCAGTCGTTTCGAAGGAGTTAAGAGGCATGATGTGGAAAACAACTCTAAAAATTGTCTCAACTGCAAATATTTTAGACGTTTTGCTACTTCCGTAGAATAATACACTTACATGTACAGTTAACCCATACATGTACAGATAACCCATACATGCAGAGTCATCCCAGTCTAATTAAGTAAATCTGTCACAAGAAAAGATCAAGTGGTGGTGTTATTGACGTTGGGCATACTGTACAAGCGTGATTAATGGTTCGACATTGAGTTTTCATTTGTATGTTAAATCTGTTTATTAACCAACAAATTAATGGTATTGTTTCTTTATTTCGCGCTGATCAGCTTATTTACCAGTGTTAAAAATATCACCTCTGGGCTTTTCTTTGCAGCTGAATGCTTGGAAACTTGCTGAATAAGTAGAGAACCTGAATAGATGGCCTCATCACCCATGAGTGTGCATGATCCAATGGGAAATTCCCACAACAGAGGAAGAACAAAAACGAAGCAAGTAATTGAAAAGGAAGGTGCAAGCACCTTTAACTCCAGAGATGAAAATGATGGTGCTGAAGAGATAGATGATGGAGGATTAAGGGATTTTCAGGAATCAAAATTGAAGAGGCAGGAAGAAATGAAAAACTTAACAGATGTGATTAAACTAAAGTTAGATGTCAGAAAGGAAGGATATGTAGAAGAAGAAAGGAGTAACCAAACAGTGCATGGCACTAGCAACGGTAAGCCTTCTAGTGATCAATGCCAAAGTATGTTGAATGCCGCTTTAGAAGCTCAGCAAAGAAATCTGCATAAAAATCATGCTTCAACTCAAGATACTGTATCAAGTGATGATGGAAGGGATCCAGGAAGTACATTTGATGATGGCCATGAACAACAAAGTGGTTTAAACCAAGCTAATGGGACATGTGATGTTGCTGATGGTGCAGATCATAGTATTCATGACCTTGAATTGAGAGAGTCTTATACACCAAACTCTCTAGGTCAAGGTACTGGGTCCTTTCCTTCTTGTCAAGACAAACCTGATACTAACCCTAGTACAAATACAAATTGTGGTAATGAAGGAGCTGAAAGCATCAGGAAAAATCCAGCTCAGCGGAGGAATATAAGAAGTACATCTGATGATAGCCATGAACAACAAAGTGGTTTAAACCAAGCAAATGGGACATGTGACGTTGCTGATGGTGCAGATCGTAGTATTCATGACCTTGAATTGAGAGAGTCTTATACACCAAACTCTCTAGGTCAAGGTACTGGGTCCTTTACTTCTTGTCAAAACAAACCTGATACTAACCCTAGTACAAATACAAATTGTGAGAATGAAGCAGGTGAAAGCATCAGGAAAACTCCAGCTCAGCAGAAAACTCCTGAGGAACAGAATGATTATTCTCGTACTTCATCTGTACCTCCAACACCTCAGTCAAAGATAGAATCTAGAACTCCTGAAACTGTGCAGATAGTTCCTGGTGCAAACCCGAAAGGATTGGGGGAAGATGGAAAGGAAAAGAAGGGTAAGAGAAAAATAAAAAGAAATTCAGTGAAGATGATTTTCCAAGACCCACACCCATTCTCTAGTCATTAAGTCAAACAGAGTTTTCTTTAAACAAAGAACTTTCATTTTAACTGAATGGCAACTCCCTGGAGCTGCTAAAAATGGAGCAATTATGAATTTCAGTTCAAAAGTAATAATTGTTTATCTCCACCAATCTTGATGAGTGTTTCAGAATTTTTATACCACATTCCTTTACCAATCAAGTGTAAAACTAAAACCAATTGTAGCTCTCAACCACACTTAGCAATGTTTATTTTGAGTCCCTATCAGTCCCTAAGGATATTTTTCTTATTTTCGCTGATTGGTTTTAATGTACTTGTTTGCTTTTGCTTTGCTAGTTTTTGAGAAAAAAGAGGAAGGAAATGCTGCAGCTCAACAGTCTACAGGTTAATCTTTCTGCATTTGAGATGAATATAACATTTAATGCCTTGAGTTGAGTAGGTGGGACCTCTTGCTGGCAGAGACAGTAAAACTAGTGGCAGACAGGAAAAAACAGAATGAGAAGAGAAAGATCACTTTCCCTTTCTACTACACCTGCCTTGCTACTCCAACCTTGTTTTGTGGCTTGGTTGCCTAAATTTTGGTGTAACAATGGTTCTAGCTGCTACAGAGGCTTGCATATCATCAAAAGCACAACTTATTCATTTTCGAGTAGTGCGGATAATGCTAATATAATATCTTCCTTCTTAAGAGTATATGATTGTCTTACAATCTATGTCTAAACTTGTGTACCAGGTTGAGGCCCTTTACTCTGTCACTAAGTTGAATTGTTCCATGCATCTCTAGACAACTTCTGTTGAAAGTTTTTTTTTTAATCATCCCATTTATATGTAGTACTTGTGAAGTGTTTACATTTGTTTCTCCTGACATGGTGACCTTGTGTGTAGTGCTGTAGAGTAGGTTTGGCTGGGATCTTTCAAGAGTCAATTCTTCAATTGATTATTTTTATACTGACCTGGTTGTTTGTTTTTGTAATCACATGATAATAATTTTACCCTCCTGTTGAACTTAATTGATTCAGAGTAAGGCTTGATGGTCTATTGGGCCTCTCAAAATAATGAAATTTAGATATGCTTAAATTAGTTAAGTAAATTTACTTTAAAAAACTGCAAAACCTTGCATGAGAGAATTAATCAAATGGTTTACCAAGGTCTGCTACTTAGTTAAATTCTTTGCTTTTCCTTAAAATAGTTTTGTCCAAGATTGGAACCTTTTTCAATGAATACATTTTCCATTCTATTTGTGAAAGGAAAAGGACTTTGGGCTCACTTGCCATAATTGTAATTGATTCAAAAGCCTTAAAAGTTTTCATAGAAGGAAAAGAATGAGAGGAAACTAAATTTCAGATAAATATCTTTCTTTCCAGGTCATGAGCAGTTGAAAATGTTGGAAGTGATAAAAGAAAATTCTGAACTTTTGGAGAAGCTCTCTAAATATTTGGATCATGAGATGAGAGTAATAAGGTGCTGGAAACATCTGGCCCATGTTTTGGGTGTTCCTTCAGATGAAACCAGGGAGTTTGAAATGTACTCTGAGCACAGTCCCACAGAGGATTTATTTGTCTATCTCACTCAAGTCTGGCGTCCTGAATTAGAAGTCAAGGAACTCAAGCAGAAACTCCAGAAAATTCATCGCAATGATTTGATTGAAAGCTTGAACACAGGTACAGCATTTGTAGTAATAAATGATAAAATACTTATCACAGGTTCTATCTATTAAGGAAATTGCTTAGGGTGGGGAATGGTCAGAGAAAGGAAATGATTCAGAGCAGGAAATGTAATTGTTACACTTTAAGGACAATTTTTCAGTTCAGGATGCCACATTGTGTATTCAGTGATTTCCCACTCTCCAGTTACTTCGACATTGTAACCTGGTTCAAAGATGGTTTCAAACTACCAAAGAATGTTACTGCAATTGAAACACAATTTGTTTATTTCCTTAGCTAGATTCTGTTGCCTAATTGACTATGAGCTTATAAATAATTTCTTTTGTTTTAATTCTCTGGTTACCACTATTAAGCTGACATTTAATGTTTAATTTCAAATGTTTTTCTCAATTTTTATCTCAATTTTCCTCTTTGTTTGTTGCCGTTTTGTTTTATTTGTTCATTTATTTTCTGTTTGTTTGTTTTTTAAGGTATTGTTTGTTTCAATAACATATCAAGCTTAAGGCAGTACCAGAGGTTAACTCAACCTTTTTGGAATGCTTTCATTTTCTAAAATATTAAAGATTATTGTTGAAAATAGCCTAATTGCAAAATTTTTACTCAAATCTCATGGCAAAATAGAGATACAATCTTGGCCCTATGGTTTGCAGCTCATGCAGTATTTCCTGTAGATGACAATTCTGACACATCCATTTTGTAAGTTACCATTCGGGAATGAAATATGAATTACTTTCTTACCATGAATGGAAATTGAGAAAGAGTTCTACAGTACCTGGCCAATAATGTTTTCCAAGCAATGGAAACACAACTGTGTTTCATAAGCCTCTTATTCTAAAAATTTGTGATGATATTTCTAATTTTCAGGACACACCGCTATAATAAGCAAGCAAATAACCATGCACTATATTTAATTTATTTTACTACATTTAACAGATTGAAGTTGTTACTTTTAACTGCCCACACCACCTTGTATTTTTGTGGTACCTGATGATGCACTTTTCTTCTTTTCCCTTCCCAGCTGAATAATGGCAATTTCTTTAATTAAGAGAGAGCCTAGAACATTCACTGCGATCTCTCCTTTTGTGTTGCTTTTCCATCTCACTCCAATGCATAGCATGGGTGCCAAGATAGTCTCAACATCGCTGGATAAATTTCATTGCTACAGATGGTGCAAATGTTTATAGTCTCATATTCTAATTGGTTTGAGGGGAAAAAATCCATTGCAAGAGAAATGTGGCAACACTGCGCTTTTTTGCATTTACTGCTGCAGCCATTTATCACTGGCTTACACAAGATAACGATTGAAGAAGGCAAAGTAAACATGGATTCTCTGACAAATTCTGCCAAAGATATTGCTACTTTTCACAAATTAATGAGTGAAGCTATATTGTGCCATGCCACTGCAACATCATTATTTCACAGAATATTTATTTTTTTAATCTAAAACTTGGCAAACCAAAACTACATACTACATGTATGAGGAAAATTTATAGTGCAGTCCAACACAGTCCACAACAAATTGACCAAATGAAAAGGTATTACATCTTAACAGTAATTTTTTGTTTTCATTTTTTGAGGATAAAATTGTCAAAATAAAATATTATTTGGCAGACTGCACTGAAAATCTTCATTATCATTATCTTTGTGCATGGGCAAAACCATTTTGTGTAATATCAAATTGGCTCTGAATCATAGATTATATGTGAAAATTTCAAGTCTGTGCAACAAATCTGTCATGAGATATTTTAATTCCAAAATTGTTGAAAATTCACCAAATTAGCCTCGGGTACCACCTTCAGTTGTGGATCCTCTTTTTTCTTTAATTGTACAAGTGTAATTATAACATTTATTTGCTTGATTTTTGTTTCATGTCAGGGCTTTTCAAAGATAATATGAAGGTGGGTCATCTCATCTCTGGTGAAACAAAGTTCATTAAGTTATTGTCACCAAAACTTGATATAAACTCAAGAACCATTGGAAACTGGAGATCTTTGGCATCAGAGTTTGGTATCACAAAACAAGTGGCAGAGAAATTTGGATTACGTGGTTCAGGTCCTTCAGCAGCGCTGTTTCGGTACATTGCCTCAACAGAGAAGCTCCGTGATTTGACTATGTTGGAGCTGCATGACCATTTTGAAGGCATGGGGAGAAAAGATCTGGTGAATTTATTGAAAAAAGAGTTTGAAAATAAAAGCATTGAAGGTTTGTCTTTCATAGGTTAGGTTACTTGTCTGGTCGAAAAGTAGAATAATGTGCACACTGTACATAGTATGTTCAGGAGTGCCTAGATTCTGTTATGAAAAATTATGAAAACATTTCTGCTATTTGAAAAGCAGCCTAGAACCATGTGATCATGGCTTAAGTTTCTTTTTTTTTCTTTTTCTTTTTTTTTTTTTTCAAATAGAATGTGGAATACTTGAGACTGTAAAAAAATAAATGCCAATGTCTTTCTTTAATGGACCCTTAAGTTCAAAATTGACCATCTTTCCTACTTTGTTTTCTCACACAAAGCTTTCAACCTTTCTGATCTTAGCAGCATGTGGGAGGCTTGTCACATTTGAGCTTTAGGCTAGCTCAGCAGCAAGTTGTCATCCAAGTGTTCCATACACTCCTTTTTAGAAAGGCAGACTTTTCCCCATTTTCTTACTGTATCAAAATTCAAAGGGATACTGGTGTTCAAACTTAAATTATTATATTTTTTGTTTCAATTTGTAACCATTACAGGGAGTATGTTTGTTAGAGATGTGGTCGTAGATGAGTCACCGCTCTTAACAGAAATAGGAGACCGTCTTAACAAAGATATCCGAGCAATCAAGAACTGGCGCAATTTGGCATACAGATTGAAAATTCCCCCCGAGACTTATAAAGCATTTGACAGTTCTAAAGCTGAAGCAAAGAGCCCTACTAAGATGATGTTTGCGTGGCTTGCTCGATGGAAGCCAAATCTAAGTGTGGGTGATTTGCTGGAAGGCATCAAGAAAATTGATCGCTATGATGTGGTGGAGCTTGTTACAAAAGAGGCTGAAATAGGTGAGTGTACATACAGTTTAGCCCCTCCCAAGATTCACTGTTGCCACTGGGAGTGGTCAATTACAAATGAGGTAAAGCCAGGAAGACTCTAAATTTTGGTTCATAGCCTGTTGTTTTATCACAAGTTTTCCCCTTTAATGAACTTAACACTTCTAAAACAAGGTTGGCCTTCACAAATGACAAATGCACCTGCTAATACAACTTCCACTGGGCCATGAAAATTTGATCTCAGTCACTGGTTCAATCAAGTTGTTGTCAGAATATGGTTTGACTGGATCCCTATTGGATGAAAGTCTTCCATCAAAATTTTGTAACATGACCTTTTACATCCCTTTCACCTAATTTTCAAGAGGTATGCAATAAGATCAAGAGCAGTGAAAAAAAATTTCTATGATGCATCAGTAACTCCATACCTCTCATAGCATTGAAAAGCTTAATATAATGGTAAAAACTTCCTATATGGAAAAAAGAAGAAACCAGATTTCCCATCTTTGGGTCAAAAAAGACACAAAAGCCTTTTCCTTACCTTTGTTTGCTAGGTCAAATATTATGGTTGAAAAGGGCCCTAATGATGTACTTGTTTGTTTTTGCTTTGCTAGTTTTTCAGAAAAAAGAGCATGGAAATGCTGCAGCTCAACAGTCTACAGGTTAATCTTTTTACTTTTGAGATATATATAACATTTAATGCCTTGAGTCCTGTAGCTAGGACTTCTGTGTGGCAGAGAGAGTAAAACTAGTGGCAAAGGGGAATGGTGGCAAAAACAGAATGGGAAGAGAAAAATCACTTTCCCCTCTTGCTACTCCTCTTGCCACTCCTACTATTTTATTTCAGTGATGGTTATGACTTCTTCAAAGGCTAGCGTATCAATAAAAGCGCAATTTATTTGTTTTTCAATTGTGTGGAAACAGAAGGCCTAGTGGCTTATTCCAGGGAAGGAGGGTACACCAAGGTTCTAGTGATGTAGGTATCTGCCACATTGAGGGGTAAGGTTATCAGAAATAAGTCTGGAACAGCATACTCAAATCAGAGATGCTTGGTTTGAGTAGAGTATGATCAACTAGAAAGAGTTAGGAAGAATTTTATTTATGTTGATCTTTTTTTCTTTTCAACAAACACCTCTCTTCCTGGCCTGTCCATATTTTAAGCAGGGACACAAGTGATTATGAAAAAGGGAAGAACTTTCTGAGTAGTAGAAAGTTTTGGATGAAATAATTTTAGTGACCAGTGTAAGATATGGTTGAAAGTGAATCCACATATAGTGACAAATGTTAAAAGTTTAAGTGTTCCAGCAGCATTTAACCGTACATAAATTTCAATTGTGGATTATGCTAATGAAACATATACCTCCCTAGGTCTATGTAATTGTCTGGTGCTCATGTACCTTGTCGAGACCCTTTACTTTGTCAGTAAGGTGAATTGTTCCCTGCATATCTAAGCACAATTCTATAAACGAACTCAGCTCAGAGAACTTTTTTTTCAATTTTCCCATTTATTTGTGGTACTAGTGAAGTGTTTGCATTTGTTTCACCTTATCTGGCAACCCTTTGTATAGTGCTGTGTATAAAGCTTTCCTCCGGGTCTAAAAACGTGTGATGTTGCGTTGGTCTTCGTCGATAAATTGATGATGTAGTAAGTCCTATTTCATAAAATGATATTGTAGTGAATCCCATTTCAGTATGGCTAAAATAACCACACCTCATATTGACAAAATCATAGAAGGGATATTGTGGTCAGTTAGCTAAAATTTGGTATCTAATCTCTCCTAAGGAAAGAGAGCTAAAATAAAGGAATTATAGTCTATTTTTATTTTATTTTATTTTGTTTTAGCAAAGCAACTCAGTGATCTAGAGCAAATGCACTTAGAAAAGGACAGGGAGAAGTACATATTTTCAAATCTGGAGAAGAATGCTGACGTAAAGGGTTTTATAGTTCGAGGCAACTGTGGAGGAGGAAACTGCATGTTTCATGCCCTGTCCAGGCAATTGGAAATTAAACTGGGACGCAAAATCTCTCATGGTGATTTGAGGAAAGAGATTGTCGACTATCTTGAAAATCATCGTGTTCTGGTGAGGAAAACTACCTCATAATGATTTGTGAGATGAAAAAATACTGATCAAAATGGCTCAAAATGACTCTTCGGCGGACAAAACTGCATTTCATTCATTTTGCAAATTGATGTTTGTTTGAATAGCGCCTTTAAAAAAAACATTTTCAGCTGGTAGTGTGTGTAACCCCAGTTCCCCCCTTTAAACAAAAAAAGCATCTCTCTCCTTTACCGCCCCCCCCCCTCTCCCCCTTGCTCCCCTTCGTCAAAAGTGTTAAAGACGTGGCTGCAGAGACAAAAACAAACAAAAGAAAAGAAAACTCAAACTTAATTTTACGTTTTGAAAATATGAATTTTCTATAATTTTGTCTTTTTTAGCCCAAAGTTGGTGATCTTTCTTCGTTCATATGTGACAAAACATGGCGAGAATTTTTAGACGACATGGCAAAAGACGGCACTTGGGGAAACCATGTGGTGCTTGTGGCCGCCGCAAACACATATGGAACTTCCATTCGCGTGATTAGCAGTGTGACAGATCATGAAGATATTTTAGTCACTCCAAGTTACACATCCAGCCAAGACACTGAGACGCTGGTGCTGGGACATGTTTTTGAGTATCACTATGTCAGTCTTGAACAAAAATCCATGTCAGGTACAACACATACTGTCCAGCCAAGTGCTATCTGCCTTTCTGTGTCATGAAACATTCAATGACCGGGAAAGAAATTCTCGATTGTGACTCATACGCGTTTCTCATTTAGCCCTATTTTAGCTTATCGTTTGAAGTCAATTTTCGTCGTTCATAACTATTGCCATATTTGTCCTTTCTTTCTTTTAAATTTTTTTTACATCTGTGGCGCATACCCTTTAAATCCAAATGAGGGCCACGTCTTCCTAGTGTATATTGTCGTATCGAAGCTGCCTCACAGTCCGTGGGGGGGGGGAAAAGTCAGAACCCGCTGTGAGACCTCACTTTGCTTTAGCTCTCTCCTCTCTTTGATACTGGTGATGCAGTACAATTTTGGGGAGAGCATGTGAATGATCCTTTGTTACAGAAAGGTACTTTACCATTTCTCAGTTGAGTTCCCTTCTACAGTGCGCATAGACCAACACGGTGGAAAATATGGTTTGTAAACTTGATAGGTCTCCCGGGAGGAATTGATAATCCTCAGTTTATCGACGACAATGTTCGTTTGCCTTTGCCGGTCATTTCTTAGGATCCTAAACGAAATAATGAGCCAACTTATCACTGTTTATGTTTAAGCTATAGGAGGAAACTTCCAATCGTCATTTGAAAACCGACCGTTTTCAACAAAATCGGAGTATGGACAGCTTTCCTTCGGTTCAACATACCAGCAACGTCAGCAATGCTATCAGCAAGGATCGGCCTTAAATCAACCAGAGGAATCTTGTAGATCTCCAGGACCGTTTCAATCACAGAGAAACTATCTATCAAACGGATCCTTTATTTCATCAGGATCACAGGGCCTGGGGATCTGTCAGAACTCGCAGACAAAACGAGTGCCCTTCTTTGAGGAGGAAAGACTTGCAATAAAAGTGAGGCAGTTGCCAGTTGGAGTTTACTGCAAGATTTGCATGAAGCTGAGCGTCAAACGGAATATAACTTTTGACGATTTTCGTATGGTGGCTGAAAAGCTTGGCATGGATAGGGACACCATGGAATTTTTAGGCCAACAAAGTAACCCAGCTGATGTTATGTTCTCCCAATTTGGACGAAATTTGCAGGTGGATAAGCTGATCAGAATTCTTCACGAAATGGAGCGGTTTGATATTGCTGCTGTTTTGGAGGATTGGGTCGTAACAGGAAATTTCAATCAGTCCTAAGGCCTGACTAACATCAGAATTTTTATTCTGTAAATTTTAAGAGTTATTGTTTTCGCTACAAAGATGTAAAAGAAAGACGTTCACCAAACAAGAACTTAAGTGATGTCTTCCAGGTATTGGTTAAGAGTTTACTGAGTTAAGACAAAATCAACGAAATTGAAACAATACCCAACTGGTAGATCTGTCGATAAAAGCTGCGTCAAACTAAAGATCGGAAGCGACAGGAAACTTAAAGCACTTCTGGTGTCACAGGTCTGCATGGTAATCAAACCTTGGCCATAGCAGATTGCCCCACACCAAAAAACGAAATCGAAGAGAAGAGTTGAGGAAGACGAGTGGCTATATTTGTTTCGTTGTCTCCTCTCTTTTCTTATTTCTCTTTATACCACAGGTAAACGAGCCGAACGTAGGAAATGGCTCTTGCAATACGAAGGTGTGAGATTTGAAGGCAGACTTCCGGTGCTCGGTAAAATGCGCCAAATTTCAAACAGCGAAGAAAAAGGACGTATATTAATATAAGCAGACACGCACAGCTTAATAGTTTGAAATTTGGCGATCGTCGTCTGAAGATTCGTTGGACGTAGAACTGTCTCATGACATGGTGTAGTTACATTCATGCTTGACTAGGAATTTTCCTGAACTCCTAGCTTGGTAGTATATGAAGTGGAGTAGTTCGTTTTATAAAATGAATTGTATGGTTATTTAGACTATTAGACTTGTTCAATGTGTTAGCATTTTCGTGATACCAAACAGTTCAAGCGAATTTCCAAACGTTTGGTATAATCGGAGAAAAAAAATTACCAGAAAAGTTTTTAAGTTTCTCCGTGATATACAGTTTGTGTCTATATTTGCATCCTTGTCCATATTTGTTCTTTTTCAGTTTTTGCAAACCTCTTTAGTGTTTATCTACGTCAGTAAGATTTTATTAGAAGGTCTCGTTTAGTTTTAAGGCAATTTTTTACTATCGAATGGAAAACTGACTCAAAATATTGCGAGGCAGACAGCATGACCAATTACTTTCCAGGTATTGGTTTATCACGCAGACTAATCTTGAAGTAGCTCCTTTTATAATGGGATATGCGTAGGTTTTTCATTACTACTTGCTCAGTGTTTTTTGTTGTTGTTGTTTTTCTTTTCGTTGTTGATTTTGTTATTTTATTTAAACGACAAGTGGCATTCTGGAGGACTGATCATTGCTAAAAGAAGCCGATGTATTAAATGGTCTCTGTATTTAATTGGAAGTTGATGGGTAGAGTTCGTGAAAGTCGTGCCCCCACTTATTGAATCGCCATACGGCTGATCTACAGCCCAGCGACTGAGAACGTGAAAAATAACTTAGCTAATTATTTTGTGTTTAAGAAACAAAAAAAGGTTTAGGTGAACTGAGTAAGCATAGAAAATTACAATGGTAATAAGAGACTGAATGATTTTGTAATTAAACCATCAATGAACTGATACATGGCTTGGTTAATCGTTGTTTCACTTAGTTATTGATATTCATTTTTGAACTTAAAATTTACACAACTTATTTTTTCAATTTCAAAATCTATAGCTTATGATTTCGATTTCAAACCAATATCTCACTTGATTAATTGTTCCAGGATGACTTTGTCTCGCGAGGTTATTTTCATTGTCTTGGAAAAACGCCAGCTTAGACAGGATGGTAATGACAGCGGAGAGGTACAATTTCTTCCCAGTAATTCTTTTGGGTTTCTGTCTGTTCTGTTTTCGTCCCCCGCCCTTTACTTAAGAAGTTATATCAGAGCTGAACTTAAATCCCTCAATACTTCATTTCTTTAAATTCGATCCCAAATCTCTTGCATCATGATTCAATTTACAAAATGTAATTCAATTAGTTCCACTGCACACTCATACTCGCAGGCCTGTAGGAAAGCTTCTTCCACCGGCATCTGCAATTTTGCTTATCTGATTGAATTCTCCTTTACCTGTCCCTTTTTCGCGATCTCAGTAATTCCGTGAAGATACGAACAGTAAAACCGTGGTTAGGTTTCACATACTGTTGTTACAAGAAAAATTTCGAGCGTGACGAGGTAAAAGGAGTCAGGCGATGTCTTTCGCGCAATTTCGCTGTATTGCGCGGGATTCTTCGCTGGAAGGGAGTGCCCACAATGCATTGCGATTACTTAGAAAGCGCGCACATTTTCCAAAATGGCCGACGGACCCAACGAATTTCAACTGGAACAACCACCTTCAGACGGAATTTCGTCCGTCAAATTCAGCCCCAACCCGGCTTCATTTTTAGTGGTGTCATCATGGGATACAGTAAGAATCTCTTCCTCTGAATTAACTTCTTTAACGTTAAATCTGTCAGTTTCGTGCGACTTTAGTTCAGTCTGTTTTCTAACGCTTTAAGTTTTCTACCATACTTCCAACAGACAGTCAGACTTTATGATGTCCACAACAACAACATGCGTCTTAAATATAACCACCCATATGCTGTGCTAGATTGTTGTTTTCAAGACGGTGTGCACACTTTTAGCGGAGGACTTGATAATACTCTGAAAGTGTAAGTACGACCTAAGCGATAATCTACGCTTCATCTAACCAGGGATTGCAGTGATTAGTGTTTAAAAAGAACTCTGTTGAACAATCTTCCTTCTGAATTTACTATTTCCCTCTTGTTGGTCTTGAATAGTTGTTGGTGTTTAGTGTAAATTATTTGATACAGAAAGCCTTAGGAGAAGGTTACAAAACCACTGCACATTTGTAAATAATGCTGTGGCCTTATTTTTTATTGGATACGACCATGTAGCCCATACACCATGTACCACTGAAAGAAATGAAGGAAAAGTAGAATGAATCAAATTGTGATAATACCTGTTCTTTTGCTAGAATTGTAAATTATTGACTTGAAAAAGGCCAACCTGGTTCAAGAAAAGAGGTGGAGTAGTTGAGGGAGGCCACAGATAAAAAAACCCTCTATATTTAAGGAAATTGTGAGACTCTTTAGATTTTGATGACTAAAAAAATGAGCATTTTTAAACTGGTTTGAAATATTTGAATGTCTACACCACTTACACCTATAAGCTCATATATTGGGAATCAATTATTTTTAAAGCAAAAAAGGGGAAGCCACATTATGTAGCCACACAACTTGACTTGACAATCCTGTACTTTATGTGAGTTGTGTCTGCACTATATTTGTAACTGTAAAAATAACAATAAATGTGTTTGTTTGTTTGTAGCAGTTGTTTTGGGAAATGCAGCATACTTAGCGTCAAACTTTTGTTATTTGAAATTATTGATTGTTTCTTCAGTGTAGATCTAAACACTTCAGCTGAACAAGTTTTAGGAATGCATGATGATGCAATTAAATGCGTGGAACACTGTCCAACTCCTGGTATGATAACATGAAAATTGCAAATTTAACTATAGTAGGTGTAATCATTACTTATGCACTGTAATCTGTAGAGGTTCTGTTCAAGATATACCTAACCCTTTAACCCCCTAAGAGTGACTAGCTTCTAATTTCTCCTTTTAGTATCACCTCTGAATCAAACATTAAGGTCATGAGAATATTGGAAATGATCAACAAGTACAGAAGCTCTTGATTGTTAAGCAAAATCTCCTTTTCAGCACCTTAGGAAATGTATAGAAAATAGTATGGAGAATATGCATAATGATCTTAGGGTGTATAGGGTATTATACTGAAGACGTTAGTCTTAACAAGTAACCTGGGAAACTGTGCTAGAAACTGAATGACTTGAAGAATTATGACAACCACTTACAGACTTGGGTGATACATTTTTTTAATCTGATTTTTATATAGCTGTGGTGTTCACATTTTGTGCATGTTTCTCTGATCTGGGCAACAGACAAATATCCAGAGTCAGGCTTGAATGCAGTAATTTACAAATACCGGTATTTGTTCACTTCAAGGGTTAATTGCAACTGGTAGCTGGGACAAGTATGTCAAACTTTGGGACCCAAGAACAAATCAGTGTACTGGATCATATGAGCAACCTGAAAAGGTCTGTAACTGTGTAACTGTAGTCTGTGATGGATTTCTATTGTCAGAAGTCCACTTTGATTTTAGCAGATGCCAACTAGAAAGGAATTCAACAATGTATTTAAATCAAACCTACTGCTCCATATCACAATTACATAGTACTAAATTTGTCCATTATAGTTTGGTTTAGATCCTTCTTGCTTTAATAAATGGCGCTTAACATTCATGCCACGAGAAATTTAGATATAATGGTTTGAATATTATTAAAGTTTGGAATCCAAGACATTCATAGTGACATGATGTAATGATCGATGTCATCAATCTTCTAACTCCCAGTAGTGATTAAAATGTAACTTCTCCCTTTAATATCCATACATTCTCCAGCAAATAGGTAATGTGAATAATCAAACTTATCAGATAGAAGTTGTTATCTTGATCTGAAAACAAATTCTTGTAACTGATTTACAAGGAAATATGCAGCAGCTAAATAGGAGAATTAACAATCACATCTTTGGAATGAAAGGGTTGACACTTTCCTCATTTATCAATTAATTACCTGGCCATCCATAGAACTCTGACTGGTGTATAAGTACAGAAGGGTGTAAGTGCTAAAAGATATCCTTTGACTGAATATGTTTTGGTTGGTTGTCTTAGGTTTACACAATGGCTTCATCTGATGAGCGTCTTGTTGTTGGCACAGTAAGTACTATAAAATGGATACAAATAAATTCAGTCACTGTCATTTCTTTTTTCACTTCCCATCTGGCCTGAGGGTTAATGAAATTTTACATTTACAGAACCATAAGTGAGCTTAATTAATTTTCAGTTCATGTTGCTATCTTTTAGGCTGGAAGGCGTGTTATGGTATGGGATCTCAGGAACATGGTAAGACCAAAATAATTATGTTTTTAAGCTGCTAACAGTGATTTGTATAAAAGGTCAATGCTAACAGATACCTGTTTAGAGAAATGTCTCTCTTTAAAACTAGATATCTGCAGTTACCCATAACTTAGCTCTGGTCAATGTACATCCATTTTGAATCTATACCTCTATTTGGATAATGCCAGCAAATAAGATATGTCTTGGTTGGGATTCTGACCAATGTAAGTGCACTGGCTGAGTTTCATTAAATAATCAATCAATAAATTAGATTATTTGTACCCATTATTGGTGCACATTTTTCACAGACATATGTACAACAAAGAAGGGAATCTAGTCTGAAATACCAAACAAGATGTATCCGCACTTTCCCAAATAAGCAAGGTAATTTTTAACTTTATATAAGACTGGTTATTATGTGATAATTTGGTTTTAACATGCAAGTTGATAATGTAAATTGGCCATGGTAAAGAGTTAAAGCTGACACTTCAAGTGTTTGCCCTTTGTCAGTACAAATTACGAAGGGCTAATGCTTGAAACATCAGCTTCTGGAACCCTGTACGGTGGCTAATTTACATTTTCAAATTAGTTGATAAAACCAAATTATCTTGCTGTATCTTCCCAACCAATGCAGCACCACAGTTTCTTTTGAAACTTACCCCATTTATTCATTGGTTATTGTGTGACTTACTTCATTTCTCTTCCAGGTGTTTGGTTTAACTTGGGGAACACTAGTTTTTCTGCATTGCTTTCATGTATACATGTGCAGGCAAACCTTGGCTGTCCATACTTTAGTTGTTTAAGCTAGGCTCAGTTTCACCAGGAAGTGTGTTAGTTGGTGTAATCAACAAAATTGTCATACAGTTAAATGAGTGCATTTGGACAAATGAAGAGTACCATTTTGACAGTGACAATCCTTTTTGTACAGAAAGTTGCATATAGTCACATTGAATCACTAGTAACAGCTTTCTATGACCTTTGGTATCACAGGGTACGTGTTGAGCTCTATTGAGGGCAGAGTAGCTGTGGAATACTTTGACCCAAGCCCAGAAGTTCAGAAAAAGAAATATGCCTTTAAGTGCCACCGAATCAAAGAAGAAGGAATGGAAAATATATATCCTGTTAATGCTATATCTTTCCATAATGTGTGAGTATTGTATGCCTCTTTCATGTTCAATCTGAGGAAACCCCTGGTAACTTGAAGACTTGGGGGTACTAAGTACCACCAACCTACACCTGCATGAGCCTAATGAATTGAATTGATTGCTGGATTACCCTGTAATATTATGCCAATCATTATTGTTTAGTATTGTTTTAGTAGGCACACTTTCAGAGCAAAGAAATTTTTGACAGAAAATTAGAAACATCTGAATACACAAAACCTGTAGGTTTCAATTAATGTGAATTGATTTTCCTCTTTGGCTCACTTACTTGTTGATGTGCCATTATCTGAGACCCTGGACTACTTGTTACCTTTCAGATCTCCTACATTTCGATATGGCTCTTTTTCATTATTTCACTTTTGGAACATTCTGTCCTAAATCCTTTTTTTGTCCATGAGTTATTTGTGCATTTGTCTCAGTAATGTTTCTTGGCAATCAGGGTTTACTACCAGATCTGGGCTCTGTTGTTCAAAGGGCAGATAATGCAATCCAGTGTATAAGTGTGAACAAAACATACGGCGCTACCCACTGGATAGTGATTTATCCAGTAGGTATTGTTATCCACTGTTCTAACCACCAGAGCCTGATGAGTAAATTAATGTGTATTTTACCACTCCAATCATTTCAGACACAACACATTTGCCACTGGTGGTTCAGATGGTTTCGTAAATATTTGGGATGGCTTCAATAAAAAGCGACTTTGCCAGGTATCAGTGAATATATTAAAAAATTACATCTCTTACCATTAACCTGTGTAGCAGGTAATGCACAACAAAATGGTGGAAAAGTACCCAAATAAAGTTCAAATTAGAAATCCTATGGTCAGTGTTAAGAAAGAAAAATATTTATTTGAAGTGTGATATGGAGATACTTTTCCATAGTACTACCTGATTTTAAAGGAGGAACTCTTTGTCTTAGTTTCCCTATTTTTATAGTTTCCTCACAGTGTTGTGACATTAAAATTACAGTTTAAGATGATTCTGCAAGGCCTGGTCATTGTAAAAGATCAGACATTAATCATGTCTAATTAAATTTTCAGTTTCATCGTTACCCAACCAGTATTTCATCATTGAGCTTCAGTAATGATGGCAGCCTGCTGGCCATAGCTGTGTCATACATGTATGAAGAGGATGAGAAGGAGTAAGTTACATCATATTAATATACAATTATAGTGCTATGATATTATGTTCCATCCACTATTTTGTCTAGAGCTACAAATGCACAGAACCTTTGAGATAACAGGTGTCATGATAGTTAGATAATGAAACATAGTGCTCCTTTAGGTAGTGAGGTTATATGTTATCCTTTGTTCAGCTGGAAAAAAAATAGTAATCTCACACTGTATTTTACAAACTGAACAGTTAGCTTGGTTAGCTTTTCGCAAAGTCACGTCAAGCTTTAGTTGACACAAAACATTTTATTTCTTTTACTAGACATCCAGAAGATGCCATTTACATTAGGCGAGTTTCTGATGCAGAAACAAAACCCAAGTAAATCCAGTAAGAAAGGACTTTAGGGGAAAATCAACAGACTTTTGAGATCTGCTGGTCATTATTCACAGCATGATGGCATCAACTTATTTCAATTTGTTTTTGCACTCTGTTATTCATACCTGAAGGACAGTTTTAATGTACAAAGTATCCTCCTCAAGGTTATTAATCTCTTTATGTCACATTCCTTCCAATGAGACTTCAAGCCCTTTTATATTCCAAGGCAACAAATTTATCCATCATAAGTGATGTTTGCCTTGTTTGTTCTTGTTTAAAGACAGGAAGTGGCTTTCCAGTTGTGACTTATTTTGCCTGTGATTTGATGAAATATCTTGGGAAAAATGTTTTGAGCTATACCCTTTTCAATCTCAAAGTCAGAAAGCTATTTCTTGTTGTTGGTGACTTAACATTCCTCTGTGCCTCTAGGACATCTTGAGATAGCTATCTTAAGAATATTTTCATATTATTATTATTATATAATAAATATAGCTACTATCATTGATTTTCCTCACATGCTTTTTCTCATATGTGTGAAGCCTGTCTCATTTGCTGTCCTTGTAAGAATGCCTCCAGCAATCAAACAGTTTCTGGCAATACTTCTACCTGCAATCTTTAAATGGTGTTCATAATCTTGAATTCATTGGTTGAAAAAACCTGATGATTCCTCTTCTTGTTAAGGGAATTTATATCATATTTCTATCAGCTTCACAACAATCTTTGTGCTACAGTTTCACAAAGCAGTCAACAGTGACTTTGTTTGGGTTTACTCTTTCATACTGACTGTCTGACATTTCCAGCTACCAAGTCAATCTTCCTTTGTAGTAACTTGATCACAAGAGCTTGTCTGCATGTTTCCTTGTCACCTGGTAGTTTCTTTTGTCAAGGAAAGTTTATCCAAAACACGACCAGCAATCATTTTGTAGGCATAAGTCTGTTTTAATTGGATACCAGAAAATTAAAAATCAATACAGGGCTAAATGGGTCATCAAATAAGTTAGACGTCTAGAGTCATCAGTATTGGTAAGTTACCTGAGGATTGTCAGGTTGAGAAACTACAATGGGTTTTCCTGAATCTGAGGTTTCCCTGATGTCAGTATGAAGGGGAACATCACCTAGGAACAAAATTAACAATTATAGTGACGATAAATTGCATACATCACCTTGGCCAAAGTGTTGTCTTAGAATGTGGTTGGGAAATTTTCAATATTCGAGCAAACCATAACTAACCAATATTCTATGATGGCCTTGAAATTTGACCCAACCTCAAGTCTGGAAAATAGAAACTGGGTGATTAAATAAGTTCACTCTTTTAATCCTGTTTCTCCTTGGAATTCAGTAATTAAAATTTAATTTGTAACTCTTAACTTAAGAAATAATGAGTAATTTGTTGTGTTTACCCAAGAGTTCTAAGTCCATTTCCTTTGCAACACCTCTGGCACCATCTCTTCCAAATATGTAGGCTTTGTGTTCACACTTAGGACATACATAATGGCTCATATTTTGAATTAGTCCAATAACCTTGATTTTAAAGAGAGAAAAAATGATCTCATCAAAGAATGTGTAATTTGAAAAAAAGAAAATCAATGCTAAGATCACCCTATTACCATTTAACATTCTGTACAACACTTACTGGTACATCAACCTTTCTGAACATCTCTGTGCCTCTACAAGCATCAAGCAGTGCAATATCTTGTGGTGTGGTGACTATCACTGCACCTGCACAAATGTGTATCAGTATACAAAATTATTATTTGGGACCCATTTCAGCTGAGGCCATTAATAGATTTTGTTGAAAAGACTCTCCACTAGGGTGGTTAATGGGTACTAACGAATTTTCACTTAACCCCATCAAATGCAGGGTGATACCTTGTGATAGACCAGGCCCCAGTTGTTTGAAAGGGTAGATAATGCTATCCACTGGATTTTTTCAATGTGTAGTGCACTACCTTTTGCTAGCACTTATCCGCTGGATAGCAATGTATCTGTTGAATAGCCTAAACTGCCCTTTGAACAACTGGGGCCAGCATCACAACTTGGTGGAAGCAATACTAAAGATCTCCTCATGCTACCATAGTTAGCAAAAGTTAGCTGGTTCGCAAAGCCGGCAGATTTCTTTGTCACCTGTTATATTTTCTTGGACATGGTGTGCACAACATTTGGTAATATTCCAATCCCTTTGGACTGACTGACCAGAAGGCACTTCCCATTAGTTTATTCATTCACAAAATGTGCACCAGAGCTTTATTTTAAGACTTCAGATAATTGTGTGTCACCCAAAATTTGCCTAGCTCACCTGAAATAGGAATGAGTTGTGAGATTGACAGCTGGGTATCTCCTGTGCCAGGAGGCATGTCAATCACTAGAACATCCAGCTCTCCCCATGCAACCTGTCGTATTAACTTTTCCACCGCAGACATCACCTTTTGTGTCAAATACCAAATTAAAATTTAATTATTAAAAATTATCAAATTTACCTTCATTTCTGAGATTTGGTTCAATTTGGTAATTCTTCCTTAAAGCTGATATAAATTTCCTTCAAATCAGTTGAGAGAATTTTTAATGTTTTGTTAGAGATAACACCCTCCAGCTGATGTGTGTGTATTTGTGTCACCTGTTTGTTGAATCATGTGTTGAATGATCTAATTATTGTGAGAAAGAGTTGCATTCAAATCACATAGTTTGATGAGAAGATTTAATGTTTGTAACCGAAGATAACACACAATTCTCCAACGTTTTGATGTGTGTGTTCATTTCTAAATGCTGCAACAAGAGGTCCTTTTATATGATCACTAATTAGTTTGTTTAATCATGTATTGAATGATCTGATTATTGTGAGAAAGAATTGCATGGCTATGCATTTGTGTAGTACAAATCTCAAGCAATTTACAATTCTCCACCAAGGTCCTAACATTTGGATCTCTCTTCCTGTTTCAATCACTCATTTGTCAAATCTTCTTAGCTTTGAGACAAAAATGCAAGAGTTTGTACTTAAATAATCACTGGATTGGCCAAGCTGCACATTTACAGCACTTGCTCTTTTCTAAATGAATCTTTGTAAGTGAGGTGGCCTCTCCCATACGACCAGTGGCTTCTTGGGTCTCCCTCCTCTAAATTATATTACTGTAGATGAAGTTTCTTGTATTGTTAAATAGACAAATAGATGATGGTGATGATGACAATGATTACTTCCAAGAGTTAAAAGGGTTAATCAGAGTGAACTCACCATTAATCCTCTCCACACAATTGGTGCCCCTTCCTCTACCAGAAAACCCATAGACATACTGAGAAGTGAAAATATAATTTATGATAAGCGTGATGACTGTTTTATCACAGACATTACATTGAACACAATTTGATAGAGTTAAGTAGAAGCATGAGTAACTAGCAGTCACCCAAGGAAATAGAAATTCTAAATAGAAATTCTTAATTCCTTATGTGATAAAAAATACCATGCTAAGTTAATTTATGAAAGATGTGACCTTACCAAGGCACTCCAAAATTCACCAATGGCTTCATCATGTTTTCTTTAGACAAATAAAAGACACAGGTTAATTCAAACTGGTATTCTTTAAAAAATTTCATGCAAGGCCTTGCAGGTCAATGGTATTAATTTTCAAATATTTAAAATTTTTAAAAAGTTTAGTCAGATATTGTGGACTAATATATCATGGGCCACAATGGTCATTTCTGGGTCTAAATTTAGGTTACAGTCATTTCTTTGATCATAAACATCAACTTTGTTTTCTAAATGACCCCTCTTGACACAAAATGCACAAGAGCTGCCATTTGGGGTACAATTGAGATCAGATCTCTTCCAGCAATAGCAGCTTTTGGTTCAACTGCAACATTGTGGATAAAGATAACTGAAGCATGCCTTTATTCAGATCATGATAATCACAGAGCTCCAACCTTTTGTTAGCTCTGGCTGTCCTCTTAAGTTCATCATTTTTGGTATAGATGGTCCATAAATATCTGCATCAAGAAGCCCAACACGCAAAGACTAGTACAAGAAAAATAGCTGTTTCTTAAATTTAAGACAGATAGTTTGACTAACATTTTTCCTGCAGAGAAAAAATTCAGGAGAAAAAATCATAACATTTCTAAGGCTTGTGAAAAAAAAAATGTTTCTTTCTTTCCTTGAATGACACAGTTTCTATTCATGTCTATCATCAACTGTGAAATCATAACAGTTGTTTCCTTCCTCTTCTCAACCCAAACAGACCTAAACAACCCTTAACAGCCTGAGAGGTAAGATAGAAAGTGCATAAGGCAGCTAAATCTATCGAGTAGATCTGCATATTTTAATTATTCCCTCCATCAAATAAAAACAAAAACAATTTTAAAACAAAGTATAGGGTATTGATTAGTGGAAAGGATTTGTTGAACACAGCTGTAGCCTTTTGGAAATCTTCCTCGTTCTCATACACTGACACAAAGGACTGTCCCCTCCACCCTTACTGTCAGGGTAGAAACATTTCATGACACATACATGCATGGCAAAGTACAAATAAGCTTTCAGAGAGAAATGTTATTAGTAATAATCAATAATTAAAGCAATATGATACAAAGACCAGTCATACCAGAAAATCTTCTAAATTATGGTCTCTGCCTTGAGGTAACAAAGGCAAATTCTCAAAATTTGCAAATTAGAAACTTTAAGATGGAAATTTGCTGCTACTCCATTCACCACAACTAGCAATGAGATGCTTGATTTAATTATGTACAGCATTAATCTAAATTTCAACTTCAAACCTGTTTGCTTGCTAGCATTCCCAAAGCCAGATTCACTAGAAAAAGTAACAAAAGTCAAATCAATATCTGAAGAAACAAAATGTGTTAAAGAAATTCACAATTGGTAACTCATCCATATCAATTTTAGAAGAGTTTTGGAAGAGGTCTAAACCTAAGAAAAATTTGATGGTCCAATGATTATGGCTTGTAGAACTCAACAAAAAGGAAAAACACATGAACAGAACCAGCAAAGATCAACACCATATTAGCTGACACTAGGCTTTTTTTCCCTTCACATGACTACTTGCATCTAAGGGTATGTCATAGCAACTAAAGGAAGGGCTTTGTGACTCCTTTTCATCTGATGTTGGACATATTACACCATTTAGATCAGACATTTGGTACACATTTCTATAGTATCCAGAACTGAATACTCCCCCCCCTTCCCCATCCCTGACCCAAAAGAAAAGGAGTAGATACTATATACACACTATATTTGACTGAATTGCAATTAAAAAAGGAACCAATAACTTGAAATGGGAAATTGTAACTACTGCTCTGAAAATTAGTTATTTTCAAAAACATTTGTGAAAAGATATCAGGAACTACTTGATATACATATATATGTCAAAGTCAGGAACTATATGTCAATGAAGACTTCATTCAGTGACTTGCGATTTATACCTGAGGTGGTGGATTTTCCAACTCCTCCCTTGCCAGATGCTACCACTACCACATGCTTGACACCATCAACTGGCCGCTTTTTGGGGAGACCTCTGGCCATTTGTTGCTTCTGATGTTCTTCTAATGTTTTACTCCTATTTTTGATGCCCTTCAAAACCAGAGGAAAAAAGAGCATTGTCTTGTTACAGTAAATCCTCACTTGAAAAACTTCTGGCAAATTTCAGCCAAAACTTAATGGTCCACCCAGTAGTCTGACGTGAAAGATAACTTACCCTCTCCTCTAGGCGTATGGGAAGGGGGGCTGATTAGAGGCGAGAATAATGGCTGACACTTCACCAAGCCTGCCAAATACTGCACAGACTATAATAATAGGGCCTTCATTCCTTAACCTGTGACATTAGTTACGTCTTACAGCAAGATCTAAATATCCAAAATTCCCGAGTCTTTCCGACCCTTGATTGCTTACCCCGTGACTCTTATCGAGGAGAGTTTTTCAATTCCAGAGAAAAAATAAAGAAAAGCAGAGAGAACAATTTAAACCTGCGGATAAAATCTTCAAATAGGTACTAACCCTAGAAAAGAAGCGAATCATAGTTGTGTAACCCATAAGGAGCTCGAGATGAGGATAAGAAAAATAGACCCAAATGAGGACCAAAGTCTTCAGCGACAGAAACGAATAGAAGTTTACCTACGTGAACATCATATTAACACCCACCAGTGGATCTTCGTGAGATGAAGCTAGCACTGCACAAATGTGCATCCTAGTTTTTCTACAGGAAGCCGGTAGAGAAGAAGATGATATTATTGTTCTTGTTAAAAATCTTTGTAAAACGGACGCCATCTTTGTTATTGATACCTTTACGTCATGTAAGCGAATTCAAATTATCCTTTCCACGAGAAGCATGCTCTCCCCAGTTTCACACGTAAAACATTTCGTAGCAAGGATATATCTTTTTGTGTCTTTATAATAAATTTATGTTGTAATTTTTCTCTTTGATTATTCAGGAATAATTTTCTCTTCTTCTTTATCGCCGAGTACTCTTCTTCCTACCAATTTGTTTCACTTCTCCATTTGATTGTGTTTAGATTCAGAAACACCAGCTGTATCCCCTTCTTCCACGACAAACGCTCCCAGCTAATTAAGCTAATTACGTTGTAGCTCTGTAACTCCGCCTAAACTGTAGAAAGCCTTTTATAATGGTAAAGAGTCAAAGTTGATGTCTTTTGTTGAGAGTCGATTTTATTGTATTAATGAACGACCTATGCCGTGATGAGCACTCGATTACCATGGAAACTAATCGATTAATGCAACAATGCGATTTGATTTGTGATTTGATTTTCCACACAGGAATCTGCGTTGTACTGGTAGTGTGCACAATGTAACTAACGTCTAATTGATTCAATATCGAGAAATGTCCTTTGCCACTTTTGATGACGATGACGAGGATGGGATCGATCGAATAGTCTTGTCGCTAGAACAAGTTTCTCACGAACCGGAGGAATTCGTAGCATCGAGCGATGCTCTGTTGACTGGTTGGACTGTAGACCGCTGTGTAGCTCCAAATGAAAACAAACCTTCGTCTCACCGATCCTCTCTGGCCATAAAAGACTCTAAAGATCTGAGATCGAGTACTCCTCGAAAGATATTTTCTCGCCAGAGAAATCGTAATGACGTGATCGAGTTTAAACATTACCTACACCCTGAGAAATACATCGAAGAGTACAGGAATGAAAAGACTAAGCGACAAGAAGCTGCTCTGAGAGAATTAGCAAACAAGACCGATAGACACAGAGCGTCTGATAGCAGTGTAGAGTTGAGAAAAACTTGTACAAATTGCGATTATTTAGAGAATGGAACGTCCAAACACGTCCCTAGTGTTGTAAGTATGAAGGAAGTACAAACAGTTGAAGATGACAATACTGTTAAGCCGTTCATTGTTGTCAAATCAAAAGGATTAACTCGACCTGCTAATTTGCCAATGTCGGGACAATTCCACGGCAGAAAACTTCAGTGGAGGCCATCTGTTACGAACAGAAAGATAACTCACTCAAAGCCATCACCTTGGTAAGACAATTTAAAGATTGATTGTACCACATGTTACGCGTGACTGGAATAATAACGATCACTATTTATCTAAACATTCATTTTAATCCTTCAAACATCACTTACACGCCATAAACTACTGACTCCTTCAAATAAATTAATCATAAGTTGCTGAGTTTAGCCATAAGCTGTTTTCACATAATTGTTAAGTACAAATTCATACGATACACCATTCGTGAAGTCATGAAAATATAAATTCCTCCAATTATCTATAATTGAATTTTGATCGTAAGCAATGCGCCGATGGATCGATAAAAATGCTTAACATTTTTTATTACAATGGGTAATCAAAACAAAGTTTGAGAAGCGAGTTTTGAGGCCAGCACGGCTCTTTTTCCTTTTTTAAATTACGTAAACATGTTCTCTCTTCAAATAAATCTTGATTACTCCCGTTGTTTTCAGCGTAGCCTGCCTGCACGCAAGTTCGCCCCCGGCCGAGGAGAGAGGGAAGGGATTTCTTCCTTTCTTTCCTTCTTCCTAGTGTGTTTGTAGAAGCGTTATCCAATTACGCAAACGAATATCCTACTCGCAAGTTGCATTTATTAAGACGCTTTGAACGCTAGCTATACTTAAGATGTGGAGGAGATTAGTCAGAAACTCTCTCTCTTTTTAGGAGTCAAGCACACATTGATGTGACTCTTGAGATTACATCACAGGGTGGTGGTGACGTCAGTCAGTTGGTCCACACCAGCAAACAGGTCAGGCTTTGTAACTTTCTTAAGAATTCGCTGGTTTAGAAGAACAATGATAAAACTGCTTTATATGTTAATGAAAAAGATCATTTTCGTTATTGAAGCTACATTAAAGTGGTAGAAGATTAGGGGTCAGACGTTAGACCACAGAGTCAGCGTTCATTATCACATATAGTACAGTGTACCACCTTATCCGTGAAATCGATTGAAAAAAAATAAGGTTTAAAATCAGCTCAGGAACCAGAACCAGCCATCTTGGCCTGTTGACCGACTAAGCTTGAGCAATTTAGAATCTGCTACGTAGCCACAATAAATTCACAAACTCATAATGGTTTTCTTGATTTTGACTATCATCGACAATCAACTACGTTTTGCAACTCCTTTGTGGTAAGAATTTCGGATAAACGTTTTTTGGAAAGCAAAAAAAAAGGTTACATCCAAGTACGTAGGCCAAAAAATGAAATAGGAGTTCTAAGATCTGAAGGAGAGTGGTAACCTGCTATTGAGAAATGATACTTAGTGGGTGAAGGAAAGGGAATTTTAAAACTATCTTTGAAAAGGAAAAGGAAAAAACTGAACAGAATCCTGAAAGAAAAAAAGTTCTTGTTGTGGCTTCTTTGAAATTTAAACTTTCCTCAATTTTTTTTTGACTTTGACAACAGGAGCCTTTCGAAATTTTATCTCCACAGAACGAGGATTACAATTTATTCCAAGAGAGAAGATCATCGGCGAACCTAGTGATCAAGAGAGCAGACTTAGGAGGTTCACCAACTGCAACACTGCGAACAAACAACAAAAGTCCGTCCCCAGCTTCTCGAGCCATCACTTCTCAAGCTATCATAACTCAGTGCTCTCCGATTGAAAAATGCGATGCATGGGTGAAAAACCGAGATAATGAATTGGGAAATTTCTCCAGCAAAGCGAAGGAACAGCTCAGCGCAAAACCGCCGACTGTTCGAAGAATTCTCGCGTCATCTGGACACTCTACACCGCTTTCTTTACGCGGCAACTCAGTGAGCTCTCCTCAGAAAGATTCGTCTGGTCCACGATCGACGGAAAGCTCAGCGAGTTCAACTGGAATGGATTATTCTAAATACACTGACATGTTTAAGAATGTGTTAGAATTTTACGGAACGAGACGTTTGAGGCCAAAATCACATTCAGCAGTGGAACAGTTATTATCCATGAAGACATGACAGTCGCATATTTGTACAAAGAGGACTGTAGGCCTGTCTGTAGAGTATGTCTGTAGAGTTCTTTTTAAGCGTTGATTCAGTTTGAATGCCAGAATCCGGCGCTGCATTGCACGTTCAAGATCTCTTCAAGTTCTGCTTTACTCTGCAGACTAGGCTTAAGGAAAATAAATTACCTTAAGTCCGCGATAAATTTCAGTAAGGAACTCCACCTCGTTAAATCACCACTCTATAGTTAAGGAACATCAGTATACACGTATTGCAGTAAATGTACACTCATGTTCGGCGAACCTCGGATCACGACAAGTTAGTTTGACTCTTGTTGCTGATTATTTGTTTTTTAATCATGAATCTACGATCGCAAATTCTGAATCGGATTGGCTTCGCTAGTCACTATTGAGAGGATATCAGTTGATTTTCTACTGTCACTATCCATTCCATGGTAAACAACGAGTTAAGTAAGTAACTTAACAATGAGCTTTTGAAAACAAAAGAAAACTCTTAGGCATGAACCTATCCATTAACTTTTGAACGACTTCTAGATTTCGACTTTTATGCTTTTTAGTTGATTTAGGTTTCTCTCTCATCAACTATTACCAGATAGAAATCTTTAGCTCATTATCTATTGTTTAAGAAAAGCGCACATGTCTCAGAGTGTCACCAAGAACACCAAAATCAAAGAAAACCCAAACGACCAATCAGAACAGAGGGGAACGTCATAAAGAGCCAATGAGAACTCAAAGTATAAAAACTTCAATGTTAAATACGCAGGCTTAAGCACGATGAGTTGGGAATCGCTTGTTGAGTTAAAATTGTGTCAATATGTACAGCGAGTATGTATAAATATGTATCAAAATTTGTACATACAAAAAGGAACTAGAACAGTATAATAGGAATATAAATATCATGTCAAAAGTGCATGATGGTTGATCATAAATATATTATTTAATATGACTCCGTTGCTCTTCTCTTCTCGAATCTAACTATTTATTACCGCGCGACATGTTGTGCCGGTGAAGTGCATTGATATCGGAGTGGGGGGGGGGGGGGGTCCTTTTGGAGTGCAAAGAGAAAATATCACGAGAGGGGGAAATTTTTATACTCAAAGGAGGTTGGTTCGATAAATTCGAAAGGGCGAAAATTTCGTGAAGTTCGCAAATAATATACTTTCATGCTTACGTTCCTTTTGTGGCGGGTCAAAATAAGAATCGGATCGAATTGTGAGTATTTACTGGCGTCAATACAGAGTTCATTGGTAAAAACATTTGCGACTAGCTCCAACTACTGTTACCATAGTGATAATTTTGAGCTATATCTGAATGGGCTGTCTTGTATATATCTCAATTCTGATTGCAACCCGATTAGAAATATGATGTTTCCGGAGACATGCAAAGAACTGCTGCTATGTCCAAAAGGGCAAGCTAAGGCGTTTAATGTTTAGAACTACTTTTTCAAGGCACTTTTTGAAACGTAATCAGTGTACATTCGGATATTCCGTGCAAAACACTCACGCCCTATACTAATTACAGTATGTCATTCGTTTTCTTAAGCACAGTACGATACAGAAAAGCTGCAGCGCGCACCAACGTATGATGCATTTGAGAGCGCATGGAAGAATGGAATTTTCACCACAATATGCCAATAATTAATAGAAATCGCGAAATCAACTGGCCTGCTTGTCTAGTCGAGTGTGTACTTTCAGCGCACAAGATAAAAAAAAAAAGCTGCAACGAAAAATTCTGGCGAGGGAGACAAGGCCAAACGAGGCTAGATGGAGACCGTGATCACCACAGCTCTCCTGCTCGAAGAAAGCCTTAATACTTCAAATTTTAACCAAAAACTTTGAGATATTTTGAGAGGGAAATTTTCTAAAACAACGAAGTGTCGAGGAAATATTCGCCTCGGAAGAGTCTTTCGCAAATCACAGACATTTCTTGAGTGTTACTGTTCGCGAGTGTTCGTAATCGACACGGTAACAATTTCTCTGTTAAGGCTCGGATTCACATTTCTGTCGTTGTGGCAAAAAATTACATGATACATTGTACTTCGTTTGTGCTTATTTTATTATCATTCGAACAACTCGAGAGAAGGAAGACGCTGAGACTTAAAAATATGAACATTCGGTTTACAACCTGATGAAAAAAGTTGACATGTACTCCTACCGACATGTATAAATAAAATAAATAAGTAACGACAATGGATTGAGCGAATCTTCTTTATAATATAATTTTTACAAGATTCACAACGCAATAAAATATATTTGTGTGCATTATATTACATGCGTGATCCCCTGGCCTTTTGAATTGGATTCTTGAAAGTTAAAGGATGACACATACAGAACTTTGTCCTTGGGACTTGGGCCCAACCGACCGTCTACGATTGGCTGTTTCAAAAAATGAACGAATAGAAGTTTAGAGATTAAGTAGGAAAAAAAGCAAAACTGAGACACAAAGGACTAAGACTTCGATCCTATTTAAATTATTATAGAGCGATGTCAGGCTTAAGCAACAAATTGTTGTACCTTCAATATAAACATCTCGCATAAACTGGCCACCAGTCAAAGGAATACTGTCGAGTGAAAATAATAAAACAGCTGTTACACAAGCAATTCATTCGGCCTATATCGCAGACAATAACTCTGAAAACTACACTCTTAGATCCTGCGACACACGACGCATTCTAGCCTTCACTCATCCCCACTACAGTGTAAAGCAGAGTCGGTGACTTACTTTTCCCGGCAAGGGTCGAGTTCCACTTGATAAATGCCAAACACGGGTCTGGAAGAAGAACAAGAACAATTATTAGCACAGGCCAACCAATGATTCATCTGGAAATTATCAACACATAATTACAAAACAAAACTATGTTGTATAAAGGGGGTAAGTTTCTAAAGAAACTTTGGTGCTGCGTCGGTGAGAGAGTATAACAGGATAATTTAGTATTATCAACTAAGTTGATAACGTAAATTGGCCACCGTAAAGAGTTTAAAAGCTGACGTTTCGAGCGTTAGCCCCTCGTCAGAGTGATGAAACGTCAGCATTTAAACTCTTTACGGTGGCCAATTTACGTTATCAACTCAGTTGATGATACTAAAAAAAAACTGTGTTGTAGTCGCTGATCTTCACCTGTGATCTGAAGTTTTGACAGAGACACAGCTGCTGTACAGCACAGGTTGGATACTTGATGGATCTTTGCTGCGGTAAAGAACACGATCCTGATAGACAAGATAGAGCAAATGAATCATTACACGCTCCTTCATTTGTGCTTCAATACAACGCAAGTAGTAGCTCAAGTCTGCAGAAAGTAGGGTATGAATATACGCCTAACAAGTCTACTCCCCATTCGTTCCTTGGGATACCATGCAACGATCCCACATCCAAAAAGAACGGTTGCGGAAAGGGCCTAATGTCTGAATACATTTTAATGATGAAAACAAACCCATGCACATTGGTGTTTTGTTCAATTGAGTGTCGTAAAACCAGAATAATCACAACGACCAATCAGAACGAGGGTCGACATTAACCAACGAGAACTTAGAGTGAAAAGAGGCAAACTGTTTGAAACGCGGGAAAACGCGAGGGACTAAATCGCGATTGGGTTTAATATTTTTGCATCCGCTTGGTTAAGACGATGATGCGAATTTCTGGAACAATCACGTGGCAAAGAAGAACAAAAGTAGAGCGACCCAGGATTACTTCAGACTCTCCACTGAAAATTGCTCTGCGTCTCTTTTGGCTTTCGTGCTCCAGAGGGCGAGTTTGAGGCATACGCAAGGCCTTGAAAAAACAACTTGAGGTGCACCCAATGGGTAGAGGTGTGCAAAAAGAAAATATGAGAAGAGTTTAAGTGTCTCTCTTAGTTTTAGGTGAATCGAAGGAGAGAACTTATCTCACCGTCCAAGATGGTGTCCTGTTTTTCGATGAGGAGTCATAGTTGTCACTTTGTATGTCATGCTTGTAACTTGGTAAAAATTTGATGGGCGGTTCCGTGAACCCAACAAACACTTTTCCTGTTACAAAAAAGAAAGTGTGTTGATATTATGGGTGATGTTTGTTTTTTTAAAGCACAAAAAGAAGATCTAAATTATTTGTGGCTGAGTATAAAATGATAAAAAAGGCACTTAGTGATGAGTGTCATAAACACAACACAAAAGTAGAAAAAACAACTAATGCAGAATAGGGAAAAAAAACACAAGAAGGTGACAAGAACTCAGACTAAAATCAGTAGTTTCTGTTTGGTTGAGAAGATGACTCAATATTTTTTTGATCCATCATAGATGAAGAAAAAGCTAAACAAAAATAAAGGAAATTTAATGACATTCTATAAGTAATCTAGAATCACCTTGCTCCATAAGGTCGAGTAGCTGATCCTTTGCTAACAAATCCTGCAAGATAAATAGGATAATAAAAACTATCAGTGATTTTTCTGATGGACACATAACTTCTCCTCACCATTTCAACACATCATCGACAATTAAATTATGAGCTCAAGATTTCTATCTGCTAACAAATAGATTCCATAATGCTGTGCATATATAGCTCCCAAGATCAGATTGTCAATTCTTCCCTCTAGCTGCTACACATTTCCTTGTTAATAAGTTACAAGAATTTGGTGTTAGATTAAGATAACAACTTCTACCTGATACATTTGAGTATCCTCATTATCTGTTTGCTGGATAGTGTATGAATATTGTAGGGAGAAGTTACTTGTTAATCACTTTTGGGAGTTAAAGGGTTAATAGATCACAGAAAATAAAGTGGTAGACAAGGCACAGCACCAGGTTTTTCTCTTCACCACCAAGCAAAAAAAATAAGGAAAAAAACTTTAATCCATGTTATGACCACTGCATACTAACTTTACACTCAGGGTTTTCCTGATCTTTATATTTTTCAAGCATCCCATCCACTTCTGATCTGCCAAGAGTCACCCTAAAGTTAAAGTCTCCCAACCAAAATACTCGATCAAAGTTGGCTGTTAAGTCCAGCTCTACAACATAAAAAAATAAAAGTAGATCACCCTGGAAGTTAAAGCTTTTCATTCATTCATCTAAATTAAAACAGAATGTCACAAGAAAGACAAAGTGCCAAATTTTAATCTCAAACATCAAGATAAATGTGAAGTGGTCAGAGAAATGAATAATTGCAATGAATTCTGACCATTGGTTCTCTCGGGCTGATTCTCAGGCGACAGTGACAAAGACTTGCAAATTGTCTTGTAGTCAATCACACGGTCCAAAGCTTTACCCTCATCCGCTGCAAGATATGAGGTCTAAAAGTTAGTCTGAAGTCTTAGGGTTCAGCTATTTCTCACCTGAACAAGAATTGTTAACTCATTTGGGGCATTGTGTAGCATGATCATGTACAAGCCAGGGTATAACTCTTGGAGTCCTACAGACCCCTCTCCCCTTCCCCATGAAAAAACACCACATTCGGGAGACTAAATTTCAAAGTCAAGCACATGGTTGAAGAAAAACCAAAACCATCTAGTTGATTTTTTTCATGCTCGGTGACAACTGAAACAACATTATTATGGAAAATTACATTCACCATGAACACTGAGTAGAAAAGAAACTTGATTTTTCCAAACAACAATAAGAAGCAAACCTAATGCAGTAAGTAAAACTTACAGGTAAAGTGGGAGTCAATAAAAAGGAATGATGTTCCAAAAATGCTGAATGAAACTGCCAGTGCTCCCTTAGAAGAAAAAAAATACATGTTATCCAAAATATAAACATTACAAATAAATCATTCATTACAATTAATCTATAAAGACACTGCATATGGAAAAATAAGATTCAAGCACCATTTTAGTTTTAAAACTAATAAGTATCTTGGTGTCAATGAAAAAAAAAAAACAGGAAAAAAATAGGTTAAATGATATGTATTTTTACCTTAGTTTTTATCATGTGTCCCACTCGAGTAGACACACTATCTTCACTCACAGCTAAAAAATAAGGAAAGTTTATTTTTAGTATTTTGAAAAATGTACCTGAAAACTGATCTTAAGGTTGCCTTTGTTTTAACAAGATTCCCATGGCTTGATTGACACTGTGAATTTATTGACTGTGCACCAGGGAAGTTGAAAACTAAACAGCAAAAGCCAACCGAAAGGATACCAAAATTTAAGAATGGTGAAAATAACACAGAGCTAAAATGATGAAATTTAACAACAAGGATTAAATTTTCAAAATGAACAACATCTATTGATATTTACCATGCAGTGTGCAATTCCTAATAACAGTTGTGCTATTGTCTTAGGTTAATCATGCCCCAAACACAGTTAAACATCAATATTTAATATCTTATGAAGTGAGGAAACCAAACAGCTTGCTAACTACTGTAACAAAATAAGTGCACTGCATAGTTTGTACAAACCAGAACAAAACCAGACAAGTTCTCTTCTGATGAAAATTGCCAAATGCAGCAATCCAAATGAACAGGAGTGCATCAACACATGTGATGGGCCAAGGGTTTCTTGAAGACGGATCTCCCATTCTTTACTGCAAAGATAATGTTTTAAAAGAAAAAAGTGAAGTCAATCTATCCTCAATCATCACAACAATGAATAAATATCAATTTAGTCTATGGAAACTCATGACACAGAGTGTAAGCATTACCGCTGAGATGTACTTTCTTGCAAGCCTATGACATAAAGATCTTGTAAAAAGTCAGTTGAGTCTGGTATTAGGAAGTCATCTAAGTAAAATGGAACTTCCTGTTTGAGGAAAAATGAAATCAAAAGATCAAAGATGATATATGTCATTGAAGTTATTATTCATGCAATCTACATCAAAGGGACATAAAATCCCAAAGGGATTGGAAACTAGACAATTCAAAATCACAACAAAATCAGATTATCATTTATGACCAGTCGTCAAATGCTGTGTATTTACCCTTTACACCCTAACACCAGTATGCATATTCTCCATACTGTTCTCTACACATTTTTTAACTTGCTGACAAGGAGAACTTGTTTAACAATCTAGAGCTTCGTGAATGAAAGTGATCCTTGCAGTAATGTGCACTACTTAGGCAGTAGTGAAAATAAGGCCTGAAAAAAAATTCAGGCCTATACAGGATTTGAACCCATGACCTCTGTGATACCGGTGCAGCACTCTACCAACTGAGCTAACAATCTAGAGCTTCTTTAGTTGGTGATCATTTCCTTTATTCTCATGACCTTAATGTGTGACTCAGGGGTGGTATTGTAGGGAGAAATTAGGTGCGAGTCACTCTTAGGGGTTGAAAGGTTAAACTAAAATAGAGCAATGTCCTTTACACTTTCTTTGAAGCCCAGTAGTTTTGCATTTGATAGGGAAATGAATGACAACCTTTTTTTTTTTTAACATAAAATATCTATTTTCTTCAAACATCTGGATAAAAAGTCCATTCATTGCCGGTATCCATTCCAGAGGTTAAAGCATAAGCTTACCTTTTCCTCATGCATATTCCAGGTAGCAACAAATATTCCAATTTTTCTATCAGGCAAATAACGTTCCATTTCCTCCTTTAAAAAGTTGCCACTTCTTGTCCGTGCGCTTCTTGCCGAGACATGGGGAAGTACCATTGATCTTGTTGTGCTTGAGAATTCTCTAGTTGACCAATATGACAAATCTGTTTCTGATGAACACCTTTCGTTACTAGCTACCTGTTCTAATGCCTTACTCAGTTGTTGCAGATCAGAAGCAGAGTTACATTGAATATTGTCCTTATTTGTTTCATCAGGATGTATGCTCTCATATAATCCTGATGCATTTGCTTTAAGAGTTCTGTCATGGCCTTGCTTGGTTGGATCATTTTCATAATGATTGCTTGCCTTGATAGTCACATCCTTGCACAAACCAGCTGGGTTAACTCCTTGTGTTTTAGCATTCGATTGGTCAGGAAGGGTAGGGAGAGTAGAATTGGGGTCCCTGTGGTTTCCCTTGCCCTCTGATTTTCCTTCAGCGTCACTAACGCTCAATGAATTTTCTTCATCATCGCTTACACTGGTTAGGCTATCATTTGAGGAGGACAGTGTAGTTTCATCATCTGCAGGGGTCTCATTTTTCACCTCAATTGATCGTTCAGATTTTGGATGAATATATGTTGATTCTGTCTGTGTTGAGATGTCATCTGTTGATTTAACTTGCTGTGGCTCAACCCTCAAAGGATGGACAACATTCTTTTTCAAAACTTTCTTCACAAAATCATCGTTTTTGACGCTATTCTGATTAGATTTAAAACTATAAACGAGATCCTTTTCTGACCCGATATCTTTCAGAGGTTGTATACCCCTAAGATTGCGATTGATACTTCGATTATTCTTATCGCGAGGGCTCCCAAAAGATTCATTGGAACCAATGCTATCCAAACTTCCCGTGCTTCCTCTACGTTTCAAAGGTAACGGATCTAGCGCAACATTCGGAACATGTTTATGACTTCTCCTTTCGTCTTCTGATCCAGAAGCAGAGTTTCTGGGCGATTCATTGTGAGTTCTTTTGATTCCTTTTGAATTCAACGCCGCCAAACGAGGACTCCCTTCGCCGGAAGTTCGCGAATTAGAACGCGGAGAAGTAGGAGGATGTGGGGCAAATTTCACGTTTTGATCACTTACTTCTTTGACCAATAGCACCTTATCATTGTGGGATGATGATGAATCTGATCTATTTCCAGCTGATTGAGATTGCCGCTGGTGAAGAAGCTTTGGTCGGTCAAACGATTGCTTCATTGCGGCTGTGCGTAGATTATGATTGAAAAATGAATAATTTCCTCCTTCAGCCATGATGATGCGGCTTTATATGCATCGTGTAATTTTCCAAATTTAACGGTATTTCAAAATTCGAAAATAAAAGCGGCTAATAAGCAAAAAATTAAAATTGTTATGGGTCTGCCATGTTGTTTGTTCGCTGTGGTGATCAAGGTTACCGAGCCAGATATTTTGTTTGGGAGGAGTAGGTGAGGACATTAGTGTTTGTAGATCTTACCTGTGAAATTATGTAAGAGGTATATATAAGAGGCATCTCAGAGCCGAATGAGGGTGGAGCAAGACGAAACATCACACGAAATTTAATGTGCTTATGACAAGTTTGAAGTTTCACGAATACAGTTAAAGGTTGCAGCGACAACATTATAATCCTCTCCACCTCTACCCTGATAAATATATTCGGACGACTGTACCCTCGATGCCAGGTCGAGGTATAATCCAAGATGGCGGACGGAAAGGACATGAAGAAGTTCTTGGCAAATCATCCTCATTTTGAACTTTTCAGAGATGACCAGATGAGGGAGAAGGTATTCAAATGATTTAATTAATAATGAAGTCACTCTTTTGACGTTTTCTCTTCAATTCTGAAGAACTGCAGAAAATGTGATAATTTACACCAACACGCTTCGTAAGGGTAGAAGGAGACAACAAATCAGGGTCAGATTTGTTAATCACGAGTATAATTTCAGACAGAATTGGACGACTCGAAGTCCTGTAACCAGTTCATAAAAAATCTGACAAAATTTTAGAAAGAAGCTAGACATCGCGTATACTTTTTCATGAAAAGAAAAAACAAGAGTAACTCAGGGAAATGCACGACAACAGCGCGCACAAATGACGCATGCTGCCCACTCACACGAGTATGACGCGTCAACTGTCCTATTACACTGTCCAATTACAAGCATGACGTGAACACTGTCCTATAAGTGCTCAAATCAAGCTGGTGATTAACCAATCACGTCCAAGAATTTTGTTATAGTTTTGACTAATGATGGTAATAGGACCGAGTGGAGTCCAATTCGGTCTTTAATCATGCGATTGATGAACAAAATCGGACGACTTTGAGGCAGGAGTCAGATTTGTCAATTATAAGTACGAGTTCAGACAGAATTGGATGTTGCGAAGTGCTGTTACCAGGTAATAATAACTCTGACAAAATTTGAGATTCGAAACTAGACATCACTTATACTTTTTCATAAAAGGAAAAAAACAACAGTTAACTTAGGGAAATGCACAACAACAGCACACGCAAATGACACATGCTGTCCACTTACACAGGCGTGACATGTCAACTGTCCTATTATACTGTCCAATTACAAGCATGATGTGTACACTTTCCTCTAGGTGCTCAAATCAAGCTGGTGATCAACCAATCACATCCTAGAATTTTGTTATAGTTTTGATTAAGTTAGAAACCATACAAGTGAAGTTTGTCTGTGAATACAGGTGATTACAGGGACCTTAGGTAGGACTTGTGGAACTCTTCAATTGGGGGCTTATTTTACCTGCTTTGGGTTTTAACACTGGATCTCAATGTAAATAGAACAATGATTATCCACTTGTGACTTGCAGCCACATTTTTTATGAGGTAGAATAATAGAATAAAACATAAACAAGGAAATTTCATATTCAGTCAGTTGCCTAATAGCTGCTTCTCCTAAAATAGATGCCCCTTTTGAATAAGGGGGCTCTCAGTGAGCATAAATTCATCACAGGTGTCCTTTTCAAATAAATGCATGAGCCTCTCAGTACTGAATCTAACACTGCAGAGAATGTACAGTGAAATTATTGAAAGTTCCCTCCCCCCAACCCCCTTAGTCAAGCATCCCCCTTGAGTACAAGCCCCACATTATGTTTTCACATCTTATCTTTTGGTAACTTCGCAGCCTGGGCGCTATCGGAAGGATTTGTTGTCAGCCAACTTTCTCTGTCTATCAGAGAGTCTCTACAAATAATGTGAATCTCTCCAGCTCTCCTTTAAGTTTCCTAAATCTCCAAGAAAAAAATAAATTTGGACATTTTAATGATTTTGTTTTCTTCGTAAGGATGGCTTTATATTTGTGAAATGTTCATGATTCTGAGAGAAAGAAGCCAGGACAAAGTGGTCATATAACAGACTAAACCCTTTATACCCTAACATCAGTATGCATATTCTCCATACTGTACCTGGTTTCTATAGATTTGCTGACAAGGAGAGTTTTTTTAACAATCAAGTAGTTCTTTAGTTGGTGATCATTTCCTCTATTCTCATGACCTTTGTATGTGTTTCAGAGGTGACATTGTAAGGAGAAATTAGACATAGTTTGAAGCTACACTGGTTTGCAGATTTAATGAATGTAACCGAAGAAGACAAGTGTCTACCGTAAACCCACCCACACCGACAAATACCTCGCTTTCGATTCTCACCATCCTATTTGCCATAAGAAGTCTGTAGCCAAAACTTTATTTAGGAGGGCTGATTGTCTACCATCATCACTCGATTCTAAGGCTGAGGAGAGGAAATATGTTTCCAATGTCCTAAAGGCAAATGGCTATACAAAAACTTTTCTCCGTAACTGCCAAAAACCAGTTACAAATAGTACCGTATTTATTCGCCTATAAGCCGAGCGATTTTTCCAACAAATTAAACTGAGAACAGGTAAATTCTCGCCAAGGTAGGGGGTTCGGCTTATAGCCGAGTTTTTCGCCAAAAAAAATTTACGGGTGCTTAACAAGATTCGAAATTTGACAACATGAAAAACTGGCCAATCAGAAGCGGTCATTCCCACGGTTTGTGTAAACATTGCAACACGATCTGACAGATATCAGCTGATCGAAGCTTCTCATTGTTTTAAAGAAACGAAAGACTTACCTTGACTCCTCTGCTCTGAAAACCAGTCCAGTATTGTTTGATCCAATTCAGGATACTTTGGCGAAAAGCAGCCCATCGTCTTTCGCTTTGCTGACATTTTAAGCTCACCATTAAACAGGTTCGCTTGATCTTTTCGCCAGCGACGCACCATCGATACACTGATTCCGTAATCTCTAGCGATCTAGAATGATCTATGTTTATTCATAACCTACTTTTTGGTTGCATGTTTTCCGAGAGGGAAGCTCCTTTTGTTTTCGGTTTATGTTAATTCATCTCAGTTAACGACACGCGTGGAGTACTTTGCAATTATTAGGTCTCGGCTTATAGCCGAATGTTTTGTGTTTATTTTTTATTTCAATACAACAGCTGCTGACATGAAAAAGTTTAGGGTCTCGGCTTATAGCCGAGATCGGCTTATAGGCGAATAAATACGGTAACGCTCTTGATGAAAGGGAACCAGCGACTGGTTTTGCTGTTATTCCTTACATACAGGGTGTTACTGAACCCATCAAGAGAATTTTGAATAGCCACAACGTCAAAGTTGCTCAAAAACCTTTTCAAACTTTGGGGCATATTTTCGCCAAACCTAAGGATCCTGTCACGAAAGAACAACGAACCGACGCCATTTATTCTATTCCTTGCAATGACTGTGATAACGAATACATCGGACAGACCAAACGCCAGTTTGGTACACGGTTAAAAGAGCACCAAAAAGCGGTTTTTCTTTGCAAAAAGGAAAATTCAGCTTTATCGGAGCATACTTGCCTAACCAACCATACAATTGGGTGGGATAATTCTAAAATTATCACCACTAATCGGCGTTACCACCAGCGCCTTTGTTTGGAGGCTTGGCACATAAACTCCGCCCACGCTCCTTTAAATCGTGACGATGGCGGTCTGCTTCCTGACGCCTATTTACACCTCGTCAGAAAAAAGGCCGCTAATTAGTGATCATATAAAAGGACCTCTTGTTGCAGCGTTTAGATCACACCTGATGAAGGCACTAGACAGGAGTGTCGAAACGTTGGGTCTATGAATTGTAACTTCTTCGGTTACATTCATTAAATCTGCAAACCAGTGTAGCTTCAAACTATGTCTGATTGTCCACCTGGTTGCCGTGTGAACTTTAATATATTTTATTTGCGAGAAATTAGATGCTAGTCTATATTTGAGGTGGGTCAGGGGTGGGAGGGAAGCTGTAAGGTATAAACTAAAATCATACTTCTCTACTTTTCAGACTTCCTAAGGTTGGCATTTTTGAAATTTCTTCATGCAACCAGTGCAGTCCATCTTAATGTTTAGTTTCACTTATTAAATTCTTTCCTTGTGATGTTAGATCAGATGTAAATTAACTGGACATGAGTTACCAGCAAGACTGACAGACCTTGAAAACTATATTAAAGGGAAGAAGTATCAGAGACTAAGTAAGGCAATTCCTGATGAATCCCCTGGGTATGAAGAATACAAGGAATACTTAGTGCCAAGTGGAGAAAAGGGGTAATGATATCATATTTGTTATGCTATGATAAGAGCAAACTTATGCTTCTGGTAAGGGTGTATGTTGACAAAAGGAAGGCACATACCTTCCTGCAGAACTTTGGATTGTAAGAGTGTGACAAGAAAGAGCACAAGTACCTTGTCACTTCAAACTTGTTGTTGTTATCATTATTGTGTTCAGATGTAGATTCAAAACTCAAGAAGGTTTAAGTGTAGTTGAAGTGTAACCTTACTCTATACACCAATTCATATACTTTTGGCAGAAAGACAGAATTCAAAACAATTTGAATTTGGAGAAAGGGGGATAAATGAACCACTGTCCCCTTTAAGTCCTATTCAACATTCATGTTCCCATTCTTCCTGATTGTCAATATTTCATAAAAAAATAAACTGTCAATGGTCTATTTTTATTAAAAACACTACATGCCCCACGAGCCTAGAGCTTTTTCTTTGGTGTTTGCGGATGTACAAGAAAGCAACAGTTATATACAGGAAAAACAACTGAGATCTGACAATGGATCCCAATCATTCAATTTGCTCGTTAACTATTCATATCTAGTAGTGGTCTCCCAGAGGGGGAAGCGTTTTGGGTACTTGTTAGAATGTGATATATTATTGTTGAAATCTTGCCAAAACCATAGATTGTGTATGGTTACTTAATTGTGTGTTTTTTAACCTTAAAAATCTTGCAGTAATCAGTTACATTGCCAGTTGACCAAGAAATACATAAACAATGCTCCACATCATATTCAAAGACATGTCACTGGAAAACGCTTCAAACGTGCGTTGGAAAAACGTAAGGTTTTCTTATGCTTTTGTATCGTTGGTGATTCTCTTCAGAAATTCAAATTAAATTGAATGATCCTCTCTTATGTCAGTTATAAAAGACAAGAACCTTGAATCTGAGGATGCAGACGAAGACATGTGGGTTCCGTCTGACCTTGAATCAGAATCAGAACCTGACGAAGATGGAGAGGAGAAGATGGACGAGGGTGACTCTGGTGGAGAATTCTCTTCAGAAGGTGGCGTATCATGACAAAATATTAACAAGATTTAGTTCGTACTCTTTTCTTTCCTCCCTCTAATTGAGACCTCAGTACGTGGCCTACGAATAATTTCCAACGAGTAGTGGTCTGTTAATTCTTAATTCATCTGAGTTGTCCGAGTGTGATTTGACGATTGTGCTTTGCAGTGTATAACCGTAACTTTGGACTACCCCTTCTCTGAGGAGAGTCCGTCGGGCGACAAAAAAGAAATAAACGAACAAAATTTTGAGAATTTTCTTCCTGATTGCTTTTAACTTGCGATATGTACTTTGCCGAGATCGACAGCACGTAACTTTGTAATGTGTTTCCAAGTCAAGAACGGGCAATCGTCTGTTTATTTGTGTTTTCTTAATTAATTGAAGTCACTTTTTGGAGTACGGTGCCTTTCTTCCAACGATTGATTTTATGTTCAGATGAGGATGATACATATGAGGAAAAAAATCAAAGTGGATTGAAAAGAACGCTTAAGGTAAAGTAACTTTCTCTGTGAGCCAACACTGAATGAGATTGAACTAAGTTACAATATCAGTAAAGGTGTTTATCAATGATTCTCTTTGCCTCCTGCGTTGATATTTTGTTATTCAACGCAAGAAGGCTCTTGTCCCATGATAGATGTCAAATCTGACTAACTTGAAGTGCAATTCCGTCATTTCACCAGTTTTCAGTTAAACGTCTCTTAGTTCCTGTTTGTATTTCAAGTGGAACGAAGCACTTTTTTTATGCTGATTGGCTCTATATTCATCGTTCAATTTCACACCAATAATGGTAGTTTTTTTTTTGCCAACAGGAAACTAGCAAGAGTAAACCGACCAAAAGAGTGAAGGGAAGCGTAACTGGAAATTTGCCAAAGGACGAGGACGCAAAAAACCTTAAAACAACGAAAGACAGGAAGAAAACTATGAAATCGTAACCTGAGCACCTAAGACCAATTCTTTTTTTCAAAAATCTGCCACTTACTGAAGCGAGAGTGTGTGACATCTCTATTGTCGATTGCACACTCCGATAAGTAGCACGACAAAAGTCCAAATTTGACCGTCATCAGACAACGATATGTGTGTCACGGAAGCGTCTCGCTTCCTTGGAAAAAGTTATGGGATACAGTTTGAACAAGTTTTAAAGATAGTGGACAAGGTTCGCTAAAGTCTTTGAACATCAACAATTTGTCTTGCCTCAAAGGATAAATACGCTGATTGAGGCGCGAAGAAAACAAACACAAACAGTTTCCCTTGCGAATGCGGATGGTTGTTTTACTCCCTTCATTGTAAATGTATTTACAAATAAGATGATCAAGTACAACTGAATGACGTTAGCGAGTAGAAATAAAACTGACTCATTTCATGTAGTAGAGCGTGAAGTGTCCCATCATGATTCTCCGTCCCGTTTTCTGTGTACTAACAACTAAAATGTTAACATTACTCCATAGCTATAAATATTTTGCAAGCTACAACATTTTTGAATGCAAGTATCTGTTGCGGCTTTGGTAAAGACGTGCAGAAGTTTAAAAATGTACCCCAGGTGGAGAGATTGTTTAAAACAGCGAATATAAGACAGGAGTTGAAAACTAAAGCTTGTAAAAATGTTGCGAACGTTCCCGCCGTCGAAGGCCCATCTCAAACATCACCGCACATGATGTGCGGATATGACGTAAATGCTCGCAGTTTGAATTGCGATAAAACTGAACTGTCGCTGTATATACAGATAAAATACAATGAAAAGGGTATATAAAATAACGAATTAAAAATCAGGTGGGTAAAAGACAAAATAATTCTTCATTCATCCAACGGAGCCAGGCCCAGTTTTTTCACGAGTAGTCTTACTGCCTCCAAAGGATCTTGGACCATATTCAGCCGTTGCTGCCATTTCACTGAGTTGAATTTCTTTCCCTTATAAGGCGTGGGTGGGGCTAACTGGCAGGTGCTCCTCTCGTTGACCTTGTTTCGCTTAGCTTCCAGTCGGTGGTTTCGTTCCGCTATCTTGTGGACACTCTTGATATCTTCTACAATCTTTGTCATGTTGAGAATGTCTTGAGCGATTGAGGAGTCCCGGCATAAAACGAAAAGAAGGCAGCAAGTTTTGGCGAAGAGGAAACTTTTGTCTCGGAAGTTTGCCAACAGTTCAACCAAGGTTTCGATAGAATCTGGTTGCTCATAAACAGTAGTATAAACTGACGGGTACTGTGGAACAGAAGATAGCTAATAATTATATTCGTGAATTTCAACTATATCTGTCATGTTCTCGTATGCTCCGAAGGGATGAATCTGACGCAAAGTTATGTAGGTAACTACGATAAGGGGGACGTTTTTCTTACCTGTGCGACATTGAAGAGTATTGATATGGAATATTTAATGACTTCTAAGTGCGGTAAACTGCGGTTGCACTTCTTGATTACTTTGAATATAACAGGCAGTGCACCATCTCTCACGACCTGCTGACAGCAAACCTCCGACAGACGAGTTACAACCTCTGAGATACAAACAATAACAACGGTTAATGGCACAATTCTCATAAAGTTTCAGCCTTCCGTTCAGAGTGGATGCTACATGCAGCTCTCGTCCTTCGGGTCAGCGCTAATTCGAAGAACATTTGGTCGTGAAAAGTCGCGTTACTCTCAATCAGATGCAAAACAAAAATCGATTGAATCTTTTTTCGAGCTTACACGCTTGAAGTTCACACCTTTTTCTGATATCTTGTTTTGATATCACTTAGCCTCTTGTCATGTTTTTGTCTTGCTGTGATTGGGCTTTAAAATAGTAATTATTTTTTTCTCAAGGAACTCACCCAGGTTACCAAGCGCTCCCACTATCTTGCTGATGTTCTTACACTGCAATAGGAAGTCAAGGGCGGACCTGGTGCGGTTACAAAGCTTCATTGATTCGGTTGCTGCAGCATTTGCGGACTTGATCCGCTTACGCGCTTTTTTAACCTTAACGGATGACACTCCACGTCGAACTCGGTAACCTCGCCACAAAGCCTTAAGGAAAAAAAAGAAGAAAAAAAGCATAAGAAATCAGCGACACTAACATCTCGAGGAGTTATTGCTCAACAAAGGGTGAAGACTAAGCAAATTATGTAAACACAAGTAGTATTTTTCTAACTTGTATTCTCAGTGCGCATGCCCGACGTTTTCGCAAATGATTCCTTGCCAGGACTCCACGGATAAGGGACTGGATCTTCGCTGCGTTTTTGTTTTTCGTCACCAGTTTCTTCCGTGCTGCTCTCTGTACAAAAACAGCGGCTGAGCGAAGAGTGGTAAACCTTCGATGTTGAAGAACACCGCGCCACCAATACTGAGGGAAGAAAAGATAGCAACTTTCTTTACTTAGTTCCTGTTTAGGTAGAAAAGCCCTATAAAATTGCAGCCTGGATGATTACTGACTTCAAGAGTAACTAGAGAACTTGAACCTCTCTCTCTTTTATAAAGAACAGATATTGATCGCCTTAACAACAAGCTAAGGCAGATAGCAAGACAAGTCCAGAAACAAATTTTGTAATTTTGCGCCAAGCAAGATATGTCCTCGAATTATCATACCTGGATTAGAAGAACTGCGTCCATCCGCGCTTTTGCCACCACTATTGCCCGTGCCCGCCGATAACAACGCTGGATTCTGATGGCTTTCAGATGATGATATGCAGCTGCCGCAAACGTTTTCAACTGTACCAAACGCTGCGCCTTCTGACGCTGGAAAAGAGAAGTATTGCAAAACAAATTAGCAATTATTGACAACTCAAACTCAGTTTAACGTTCGTAGACTTTGATTGAGTTATGCGAAATGCAGTAAATGATTTGAATCCTGGTGTAACAGTTGTTCGTATACGTGTGAGTGTAGTCCTAAAAGATATTGTGTCAATTCAGGAGTTGTTTGTCAGTCAAGCGATCGAAGTTCACTGATAATCGAAAGGTAAACTTCTTCATTATCTCAGTTATAAAACACATGAAAACATATCTAAAAGAAAACTCTTACTTTTATCTTCCTTCTTGTTATAAATCCTCTGAAAGCTGCCTGAATAACACGAGCAGCGAACATTTTACGAGCGACCATCCGCCCGCGGTATCCACGGAAAGCGGCCTGCAGTATGACAGTAGCATCCTTGAGTCTTCGATAATCTTCACGAGCTGTTCTTCCAGCCATTGTACCTCGGAACCATCTCTGAATCTGAATCACAGCCTTCAGTTGACGGACAAAGAAGCGAGCCTTCCAGCCACGGTAAAAAGATTGAAGCGTAACTACTGCGCGTTTGACCTCTTGAAATTCTGCGCTCGCCCTTCTTGAGGCAATATTAGCTCGCACTTTTCTTTGCAGGAAAACTGTCGCGGCTTTGAGTTCTAAGTAACTCTTCCGATAGTGCCAGGCCTTTACTGAGGCTTGCATTCTGATCAGGATTTGTTTGGCATGGTAGTATTTCTGCCTCTGAATCATTCCACGTGCATGAGACTGAATAAGTATGGCTGATCTCAGTTTCTTCACTTCATCTCTCGCTTGGCAACCTCGGTAAAAGCTCTGAGTATAAATGAAAGGAAAGAAAGCACTACTTATGACTTACATGTGATCTTTCTTGAAAACGTAAAATGGACTTTTGTAATCTTACATTGACTGACCAGTTACATATAGAACATTAAAACAAGTTCTTGTAATCCGAAAGATAGAGCATGCTTCATAAAAGGGCCTAAGAACAATGTTAGTATCTGAGAAAGTGCGCACCTACCCCTCCCCTGACTCAACAACAGTCGACTGAAAACAAGTTAGGGTTAATGTTGGGTTGCGGGAGGGGTAGGTGTGCAGTTCCTTAGATACTGACATTGATCAAAGTACAATAAAAACATCCGTGAAAAATGGACTGTTTCAACTACCTGGATTCTAGTAGCTGCCCATTTCATCTCACGGAATCTCTGACGGACATCTTGGCCGATGATGAACGATCGATACCGACATTGAATGACGATGACTGCCGAGCGCTTTTGAAGGAACTTCGTCCGTTGTAGATGCATGCGCACGGAAGACTGAACCAGCACTACCTTTTGTCTGTCACAAAGATAAGACTTCCGCTGACAATAACCTTTGTAATACGACTGAATGAGGACTGTGGCGCGTCTGAGGCACTGATACTCTGCATAGATCTCCCTCATTGCCACTTGTGCTCTGTACCATTGTTGAATTGCAACGATTGCTTCCCTTGTCGCTACAAATTGCTGTCGGGTTTGATTGCGACGAACCGTTGCCTGTATTCTGCAGACAGATTCTCGCACGGCCAGGAAATTTCTACGTGTGACTGCTGTACGATATGCCGCTTGTATCTTAATAACAGCTCTGAGCCTGCGTGCAAACTTCTGCGCACGAACCATGCGGAAAGCAGACTGCAAAGTGATGATTGCACCACGGGTCACGTGATATGTAAAGAGAGTTTCCTTCATCAGGCGATATCCACGGTAGTAACGCTGAATCTTCAGGGCAGCTGCTCCCCGTCTCTGTTTCTCCATCAGCATTTCAGCAACACGCTGTCTCGCTATGAAACCACGCAGATGCGATTGTAGTATGATAGCACCTCGACGCATCATTTCGTAACTTTTACGCTGCCTTTTGCAAAGGTGATTAGCTCTGTAAATCTTCTGCAATGCCATGGTCGCATTCTTGAGCTTTTGATAAGCCCGAACTTCTTTTGTCATGCGCGCAAAGGCTTGTATCTTAATGGCAGCATCCTGAGCTCTCTTGTATTTTCTTCTAGCCGACGACATTCTCCAATAAGACTGAAACACAACAGTGGCACTCCGCAATTGCAAGAAACCTTCTCTTTGTGTATGAGACTTAACGCAAGCTCGGAAGTGTTGCTGGATAGTGATGGCTGCCGATTTAATCGCGCTATAGTGTCGTCTGCATTGCCATGCTCTAATCTCAGTCTGCAACACAACGCATGCCTTCCGCTGGAGAGTGAAACACCGTCTGACCACCTGCATCTCCCTCTGAGCTCGGAATCGGCGCTGAATCACAGATGCAGCACGACGAAGGTTCTGATAGGATCGCCGTGCTATGTAGCGTCTTACTTCTGCTTGGATAACAACCGCAGAAGACTTCTGGAGGAGATATTTGGAGGCACACACATGACAGCGATAGGCGCTTTGGATCTTGACCGCTGCCTGCTTACGTTTCAAATTAAGTCGCACCTTGTAGCGGCGATAACTTGATTGGATTATGAGAGAAGATGACTTTAACGCATTGAAATTCCGAGCTACTGCTCGACCGAGAAGCCAGGCGCGGTAACGAAGCTGTAAAATCAACACAGCTCTCTTGGTAGCTTCATATCGTCTCCACGTCCGAAACCCGCGAAAACAAGCCTGGATTTTAACAG